CTGGTTGCACTGTTCTGAAAAGGTGTTTCCTTGGGGTTTTACCAAGTTGACACTTTTTAAAGAAACTGAACTCAACACCCAAAACATAAGACAGGCGAAGGGAAAACGTCATCAAAATGCAAAGGGAGTCAGACCGTCCAAAAGTCAATTAATAACCTATTTCCATAGCCATTGTTAGGCTTTTCCCGCCATTAAATTCATTGATACAAATGTGATGGATTACTGACTAGTGACAGAAGGTCCCATCAGATACTTTTTCATTTTCCCACACCACACTACCCCTATTAAATGACGGATTCTTATCCAACTAGTTGCCTTAATGCAATATAAAGAAAATAATATATTTAAAGCAGTGTCCCCTCAATTGTAAGATTAATTATTGTTTGTGAAATAGTATATCGCTTATCGGAGTAAAATGTGTCACAATTCTGACGGTACAGGTGTCCAGATCGTGACCAACCCACCCACACACAGAAAAGAAGGATATAATTCGATTTGGGCAGAGATGAGAGAGAGCTGAGTGAGAAGTTTAGGGTTATGACTTATGAGTGAAGGGGTATAACTCAGAAGGTATGAGTCCGAAGAGGTTTTAGTGAGAAGATCTGAGTGAGAAGAGGTACAAGTGATAAGATTCAACATGTCTTCGTCTTCATCTCCCGCTCAAACAAAGAGGTGTCAGTATTGTGGAGCGGCAATGGTGCTTCGGGTTTCAAAATCAGATAAAAATCGCGGGAAGGCATTTTGGAAGTGTCTAACCTCCTATGTAAGTTCTCATTTCCAGAATATGTATGTGGGGTGAAAAAAAATCCTAGGTCTAACTCTGACAAAATTATTTTGCATATATGATGCCTGCAATTAGGGAGCCACCAGCTGCAATGGATTCGAATGGGTTGATGTAACCTCCGCTGAAGCAGATCAGCAAGCTGACACGTATGATGCTACAGTGCTTAATATGCTGAAGTCCATTAAGGACTTGGTATTAGTTTTATTAGTTGTATCAATTGTCATATTATTTGTTCTTTTAATGACCAATTAAGTGCACGGTTTCAAGGATTGTAAAAGTTCTCCCCAAAAACACATGTTGCACGCACCACCAATGACTTTTCAAACTCAATTTGTAATTTTTGTTATTGAAATAGGTGGATTAGCATTGAGTTTAAATTATTGTTTGAAACAAAAGCATTTACTTGTCAGAAACCCAGTAAAAACTTTCCTACAGTTACTTTACAAAAATAAAGTCAGACGAAGACGATAAAATGACAATACAGGGCCAATACGATGCAATAATAAGACAATACCTTTTTTTTAAGATTGCATAATTATTCAGTGTATATAGATTGTTTATTGATTGTTTACTGCATGTAAATCGCATGATATTGACTGTTTATTGAAGGTTCATTAACTGCATGTATTTCGCATGTTATTACTCCGATATTGAGTGTTTATTGAAGGTTTATTGATTGTTTACATGTTTCGTGAAGGTTTCATGATTGTTAACTGCATGTATTTCACATGTTATTGAACCGATATTGAAGGTTTATTGAAAGTTGATTGAGTGTTTACTGCATGTATATCGCATGTTATTGCTCCAATATTGCAAGTTTATTGGGGGCAAAAGTAGGACTCCAGTTAGATTTAAGGGGGGGAAACGGTCCTTATTCTTTGTTTTCGTAGGAAGAACAACTTAAGTAGAATTTCCTATTCAATACGACTTCCTTATGGTTGATGTAATTGGGGACTGATGTATATTGCATGTCTATTGCGTGTATATTTCATATCTATTGCGTGTATATTGCTTGTCTGTTGCCTGTGTATTGTTATTTATTTCCGTCGTAAGCAATACAAATCAATACAGACGCAAAAAATGTAAAGATATGCACGCAATAGACAAGCAATATAGACCCAACAGACATGCAATATAGACGCACCCAATATACATTACTGTTATGTTACTCAGCTGCCCAAAACCAATAAAATAAAGAAAATCAACCAATTTATTAACCGATTATAAAGGAGAGAGGGATTCAAACCCGAGGGGCAGTGCGGAACCCAATAGGGAGTTTTTAGAGCATTGCACCTGGGGACATTTTTTCATGTGTTTCTATAAGGAGGGCATGGTTGAATAAAATATTGGAGGCGAGGCCATAGCAGCCTATTCCCCTTACAGAATTACCTTAAGATGCAACCCATTGCGATTAAGTCAAGGCATGTTGAACGGCTTAAAGATTGGGATCTGATATTTGGAATGGTGGCTTGGATAAATGATGACATATCACTTTGCAATGATGTAATACACTTAAAAAGCCATCAGTCCCGTATGTGAATATGCATTCTTCAAATCCAAATTCACATATGCAGTCTTCAAATCCCAATTCAATGCAGTTTGGTTGAGGTTAGGTAAATGTCGTGAAGGAGTTAGGCCAATATTACACCGATGTTTGTTTCATTACATCAAAAAAAACTTTACACTCCATATGCACATTCTATGTATGGGAATGGCATGTGTCTAACTTCAAAAACGCATCTGCCTATCCATTTAGATTGCCCACGTGCAATAGATTTACAGATCCAGTTACTTTTCTCCTCTCCAACCCTCAGCATCTCCATTTCAGAGTCTTCATTTTTCTATGCTCTGCAACCAGCTCCATATACATTTTGCACAATATGAGAATACACATAGCGTAATATCACACTAATCAAAATGAAAGCATGCATCCGCTATAATATTTGCCACTATTTTGGTTCTAATTGTTATTGTCCAGTAACTTAAATCTAAATTTCTGTACACAAATACACTAAGATTGAGAAAGACGAAGAAGAATTCAGGAGCAGAGGTGGAATTCGAAAAGGACCCATGGGTCTCTATTGTGTATTTACATGACTTTGAAATTTGACATTCCCAAAACCTATTTCATCATCATGTGCCTAAACCAAGTTCAACCGATATCATGGCATGTAAGCATCTCCCCGTGCAATTTCTGCAGCCAACTTCAACCGAAAAAATGGCATGTTCTGCGAGGTGCAAGTAGCTAAGGAAATCTCAGCACTCAACAGCTCAATGTACTTCAACACGAACATACCACAATCGCCTCTGAAGCAAAACAAGAACTCGATCAATTCAACTAATGACATTCTAACATAATTGACAAATTAAAGTAATAAAATTAAATAAAAAGTTGTGCTCACTGATTAGCCTGTTGTGGAACATCCACACGATGTATTGGCCATGGACACCACCAATCTCGGGTGCACTCGTTCGCGTAAACACCTTCTTCATAAAAGTCGAGGGTGTGCAGAAGATTTGGAATCGTAATTGACAGGGGGCCGAGTTCTTCCTTTAAGCTCTGATCTGGAATGAGTGAAACCATTGAATCGTAGACTTTGATTTCACACTGAATCAGATCAATCTCTAGAGCCACCCAATGCTTATATTTTTGCAACATACAAGGTACATACACCTTATACGTGTTCTGCCAATCCAATCCACAAGCCGGAACCTTGCCATTTACAACGTTCACTAAACTGGTTCTAATTTTCCACCCAACTTGCTCTTTTTTCCTTTTATTATCCGCAAAGCAAGTATGGATGTGATTCTGTGAAATAGAAAACAATCAATGGTTAAACAACTCCACAAAGCAAGTATGGATAATTTGTAATTATTAACTGCACTTGGTCAAGGCCTATGCCCATACTGATGTAGCACAGCCCTGGGTGTGTTAGTTTAAACACTTAGAGCAATAAGACATAACAGATAAGAAAAGCTGAAGGGAAGAAAAGGTAGAAGGCAGGCAGAAATCAGAGAGTTTAAAGGAATGTTTAATCAATATTCAAATCTGAATTGTAAAGAACTACACAGGGGTATTTATAGCAAACTAAAACCTAGAGAGAATAGAATTAAAATCCCCAGGTAAAACAGAAATCCTATTCCTAATAAAATAGGAAACTTAGAAATCCTAATAGGATTTGGAAAACTAACTTAGAAATCCTACTAGGATTTGGAAAACTAAAGAATATAGGAAACTAACCAATAAATTAGGAAACTAAACAATTTAGGTCCTATGCATCCTGCATCACATACCATAAAAAATACATCGGTCGTTGTCCAATCCGATATTTCTACTTCCTCCAACTGTTGTTGTCGCTTCCGGATGAGATACAAGCCCAAATCAATGTGCTGCACATGTTTTCCTTGTCAATCTCATATCTATGCACATTCAAACAAATGCATAATCAATTAAACTTACATCTCCTTTCAGCCAGCCGTCAGCTTTGACGAGGGAAGCGAAGAATTCAATCTCAGCTTCCACGTTGCCAAATTGCATCACCAAACTATGAATATAAAAAAGTTTTAGAACACAACAATTACAAAATATATACACTCATGCCTTCTATCTCAAAAAAACAAAGGACTTACTTTGGGTTATGGCGCCATTCCGAACAAAGTTTCAGCAATTTCACCATATCATCATGCGGAAATCGCCTTCATTGGGTCTAACGTCCGAAGTCCGGTTGTCTTTGGCAAATTTTTTTTAACCACTTCACTAGCTTCAACGATCTTCCACATAGGAATAATCCTCTTCCTCTTCCGTAATGGACCCCTCGTTCCACACCTTGACCTTCATCATTCAACCAAAGTTCAACTGAGATAACACAGCTCTAGGTTGATCCAAATCAATGTCCCCGACAGTAACCTCAACCTTTGTCCCCTCCGTGCTCTCGCCAATGTCATCGCCAACCAACATAACTTCATCATCCTCTTCCTCACATTGGTTTCTTTGCACTTCCTTTTCCTCACTTCTCTGTCTTTTCACTTCCTTGCCCTTTTTTTTTTTTTTTCGGATCCTCTCCCTCACTGCTTTTTCTTTGCAGTTCTTCTCTCCCTCAATGCTCTTTCTTTGCGCTTCCTCTCCTTTGCTGCTTTTATTTTCACTTGCTCTCCCTCACTTCTTTTCCTTTGAGCTTCCTCTACCTCCCTTGGTTTTCTTTGCACTTGGCCTCCTTCAATCCCCTCTCTTCCTTTTCCTCTCCCTCATTTCTCTTACTTGGCACTTCACCCCTTCAATCCCCTCCTCTTCCTTTTCCTCTCCCTCATTTGTCTTACTTGCCCCTTCACCCCTTTCAATCCCCTCCTCTTCCTTGTCCTCTCCCTCATTTCTGTTATTTGGCCCTTCACCCCCTTCAATGTCCTCCTCTTCATTTGCCTCTCCTTCATTTTCTATTACTGGGCCCTTCATCCCATTGCATGCCATCCACTTCATATTCCCTTAAATAGATGTGACACGACACAACGATTCGTCCCTCTCTTTCAGTAAAGCTATGTCCCTTCTCACTTCCTGCTCAAAATGAGGACCTAAACAGTGGCCCAAATTTTTTCCATCCGTATGACCTTTAACTCAAGGACGTCCTTTTCCCGCTTTTACTTGAAACAACTCGGACCTCAACAAGCTTACCGCCTTGTTCAACTCATCAAGGTCAGCACATGAAGAAGGAATTGACTCTGCCGAGACAACAGCAGGGCGACCCTGTGGCCAACTCCAATATGGTTGTCTCATTTCCTCTTCACTTGGACATAGCGCCCGCAACTGAACTGACTGTTTCAGAAAACAGACAAGAGTCATATGCAATCATTCTACTTCATAATTTCATTGAATCTTATAAATAGTTCCAAGGGCTGCAAACCAAACCTCTTTGCTCTGGAAAAAAATAATTGTTCAACTTTCTCATCTCGGGAACAGACGTAGTAGTTCTCCATCGCAAAATACGCGGGAGAGCTGTCGGATCAACAACCTTGCAGTAATTCAGGTCCACCATTCTAGGAATTAATTCATATACCCAAATCTACACAATTCACAGGACACAAAGTTATTATTTAAGTTTTAAAGTCAACAAAACATAACGACATGAACATTATTACCATGTACCTGGAAAGCATACGTGAAACCTTTAAAACTCCAGCCACCCCTTTGCACTTCACCATGGTTATCCTTCTTGCCCTTCTCATTTCTCCGGCTTGTTCCGGTTACCTTACATTTCCCCTTCCCTCTTCCCTCTTATTTTCAAAGCTTTTCACATACTTTGTTGGTGCAGAAAACAGACTGTCTTGGGTTTTGTCAAACGACACCGAAACCCATGGAAACCTGTTGAACGCATCCAAGTCCTCTACAAGGGTCAGGTAATTTAGATTGATGTTCAAATGTTTGTCCCTTCCCAAAACCACTAACTCAGCAAAGTAAACAAGAGCTAGCTTGTAGACGTCATCTTCCTCTGTGCACCTCACAAATGCTTCTTCTAAAGCATTACATGTAATTCCTTCGTCTATAAAATATCTTTTCTGAAGTCTAATTTCATCACTTTCTCCACTGGAAACTTCAGGCACTTCCCCAAAACGAAAGCCCTGAGATCAAACAGAAATCCTGACGAGTGAACTGAGCAACGTCGCACCCTATTAAGAAACTCAGTCCATCCAAGTCTTTCACACCCTGCCCCGCTACTCTACGCAACACAACCCCATGCACAATCTGCCCGCTAAACTGAATCTTATCTATATTCAGAAGATGGCCAAAGCATGATGTCTTGAATTGTTCTAATGTTCGGCACTCAACTTCGCTCGAATTACAGCTAGGGATGAATTTGCATGTGAGCAGTTGTTCACACGGTGAGGAATATGCCTCTGACTCTGGCCATACCAGCTCAACGTTGGATCCCATTTCCTGAATACAAGATGAAAATCGTGAGACACACATATACTATACCACGGTATTTGCACAATCACATTGGTATTTACACAAACTAGTCAACCAGCACACATACAAATTTTAACAAAGTACATGCGCATAGGTTACTGATCACAGGCTTTAACATCATCAACGCAATATGACAATTTTGCTCTAATGACCAAATACCTGCCTATAATGCCAATGATTCTGCTCGCAGTTACAAGCCACTCGCATGTGGGTTTAGTTATGCGATCCCAAACTCCAATCAATGGTTGGATTTGGTGGTGAGTGTCAGAGCAATATAGCAAGTTCTGCACTTCCACTACATGACATAGTATTGTCAGTTCATACACAACACAAAATAAATCAATAAATAATGAAGAAAGATTGTGGAAGGAAAGCCAAAGAAAATGCATCTGCCGCTAGCTATCTGCTCCGCTAAGCCCATTTGCCCAATCCTTCTTTCCTTCATAGCCTCTTTTTCAGTCAGCCATATCGTCATCAGATCACCTATTTTTCAAATGCTTTGCACTTTTATTCATGAGTTTATATGATATGTTCTATTTTTAACCCGAACAAATTTAGTAACAAGCAGAATATAAATAGTTATTTCAAATAATAATCTATATTCTAGCTCCAGAGAAGCAGTAATCTGCACTCATGCACTAAGAAAAAAAAAAAAAAAAAAAAAAAAAAAAAAAAAAAAAAAAAAAAAAAAAAAAAAAAAAAAAAAAAAAAAAAAAAAAAAAAAAAAAAAAAAAAAAAAAAAAAAAAAAAAAAAAAAAAAAAAAAAAAAAAAAAAAAAAAAAAAAAAAAAAAAAAAAAAAAAAAAAAAAAAAAAAAAAAAAAAAAAAAAAAAAAAAAAAAAAAAAAAAAAAAAAAAAAAAAAAAAAAAAAAAAAAAAAAAAAAAAAAAAAAAAAAAAAAAAAAAAAAAAAAAAAAAAAAAAAAAAAAAAAAAAAAAAAAAAAAAAAAAAAAAAAAAAAAAAAAAAAAAAAAAAAAAAAAAAAAAAAAAAAAAAAAAAAAAAAAAAAAAAAAAAAAAAAAAAAAAAAAAAAAAAAGGCCGCTCACAGTCAGCGGGACAAGCAAAAAGGCTGCTTCCTGCTTCTGTCTTCCTGGTTATGGCCGTTAGTGGCTTTGTGGGCTCTCCTCCTCTTATGCGTGTGATGTGGGTTCATTTGGGCTTTGTAAATAAATTTCGGCTCATTTGATAATTATTTTAAGAGTAATGCTACACTTACCACATTTTTATCCCACATTTCTATACTACATGATGTGGCAAGTTCATATCATATGCCTCATCAATTAAATCAATGAAGTGTATTTTAATTAAGGCAATTAGAAAAACAAATACTAGAATAACTCATAAAAGAAAAGAAAATATTAAATAATTTTAATTGATGTGGATGTTCACCTCAACTGCCACATAAGGTATAAAGATATGGTATACAAATATGGTAAGAGTATCATTCTAATGTTTAATTTTTTTTTTTTTTTTTTTTTTTTTTTATAATGTTACTCTTACCACATTTATATACTACATTTCCATACTACTTTATATGATAGATAAGATAGACAACTACATCAATTAAATTAATTTAACATTTTCTTTTCTTTTAAGATTTATTGATACTTTTTAATTGACATGGTTGTCCACTTAATCTGCCACATAAGGTGATATGAGAATGTGGTATACAAATGCAGTAAGTATTATCTTTTTTTTTTTTTTTTTTTTTTTTTTTTTTTTTTTGTTAGTATAAAAGAAAATGAGAATGAGAATAGGAGTGACAATGAGAGGGGAGGATGGGAGGAACAAAAATGAAAATAATTTCAAATAGATTTCAATTTTTAATTTTTGTTTTCACTTTGGTTACTACTCTCTCCATCATTTCCTCTCATATGCCTTTTCAATCTCATCTCCACTCTCATTCTTCTTCCTCTTTTTCCTCTATACTCTAGCACAAAAAAAAGGAAAACTAAAAAATAAAATTGAAATGATAATCAAACAGACCCTATAATTTTTGAAAGTCACACGTGTCATTCGTTCTTTATTTTTCTTCCTCAAATTTTTCTTCTATTTATTATTATTATTTACCATGGAGAAGTACTAGAGATCTTTTTTTCTTTTTTCCTTTTCGTATAGGTCCGTCCTTTCCTACAATTAATTTAATTTTGTGCCCTTGAGGGTTGAAGTATAAGCCATTTTTACCAAGTATATAGGTCATTCTTTTACTTTGGTATATGTCCTTTCATCTATATTTGTGTGTCTTTAAGGCTTAAAGGTATACTTTATTTTGCACACTAAGCCTTGAAGCCCTTTTTTTTTTTTTTTTTTTTTTTTTTTTTTCACTTTTTTTACTTTTTTTACAGTTACAAATTTCTTATAATTAGTTATGTTTTCCACCCTTGAACCAGAGAATATTTCATTGTTCAACCCAACACTTGTGGGATATTGGAATGTTTCCCACCCTCAAGTTTTTCGTTATATAATTTCGCTTGCATGGCAGATTGCAAATTTTATGCAGACAATAAATTTGCACCAAATGGGAAAAAAAAGAAAATTTAAATTAAATCATAATGAAAGACCAACCATTCTTATCCATAAACTAAAAAATATATATTCAGGAAGGAAAAAAAAACACACACACATGATTTTGAAGAAGTTCTGAAAGTTACATTTGATAGATTCCTACCCAAAATAGAAAATAATTCAGTATTTGGTTTCTTCATTGTGGCAAGCATGCCTTTACTCACAGCATTTGTATGAATGTAATCATCATAATGTGACTTGTCCAAATGGCTAATTACATAGTCAATACCGACTTTGTCTGGAATGGTAGATAGCAATTATAATTTACCAAAAGTCATGCAACTTCTGAGAAGCCTTTAAAAGTTGACCCTTTTTTTTCTTCTTTGACCAACAACATGGAGATGACAAAAGGAAGCAGTTGCAATGGTCTTGAAGGAATCAAATCAAACTACACATGTCATTAGTTTATTCATGATCTGCCAAAAAGGACAATTGTACAAGTTCCTTGCACTTTCAGCTAAACTTAATTAATAATTCAATTAAGAGAGATGTCAACAAAGATTAAACAACCCTTCCACGCAAAACAGAGGGGTAGACGTGATTTTAAAAAAAAATTTAATTTAAGTTAAAACAACAAAACCAATGATAATTTATTTGCCAGATGTAAGAGGGTATCCAATGCCATGTCTTCTGGTGGGGAAGACCACAAACAGCGAGCTGCAAATAAGCCCAATACCAACTGGAACAATGTTCAAAACCTCCTGAGTCTCATGCCCAGGCGTAGGGTAGAAGCACCCCACAACATTCTTGTCCCTCAAAGCCACAGCCCCAAAGACAAACACAGACAAAACTGCATGAACCAAATCCATGAACCTTATCTTGTACTTGCTCAAATCAGGCAGACCTGAACCTGAGGCATCCGGGTAGTCAAACAAAAATAGCCCCTTGGTCGTTGCCAGGCCGTAGTAGACTTGTCCATCAGAGGCCTTGACGCTGTCGGTGAGGGACGCGACGAAACACGAGAGGGCAAAGAGGAGGAGCAGGATGAGGGTCATGGGGCGAGTGGCGGAGTCACAAGAGCCGTTGCTGGTGAAGATTGGGGTGAGGAGTTGGAAGGCGAGGAGGGTGCCTGTTGGGAGGAGGTTGGCTAGGTTTGCTGTGCTTGTTAGGGTTTGGGAGATGGCACGTTGGGAGAGGGTGGGTTGTGGTAGTTGAGGGCTTTTCGGGGTGTCAGGTTCCGATTCGGAGCTGGTGGTGGAGGCTGGTGGGTTGGTAGTAATGGAAACTGCATCTGATATCGATGGTTGCTTGGTAGGTGTTGGTCTTGGTCTAAGAGACATGTTGGACTGTGGCGGCGGAGGTGGTGGTGTTGGAGGCGGCGATTGTGGTGGCTTTGAGAATTGTTAGTATTTAGAGGAGACACTTGGCGTATGGGGGGAGATTAATGGTTTTGGTGATGGTTAGGGAGAGCTATATTATATATAGCGAGAGAGAACTCTGGTTAGGTGGATGGAAAATGATAAGAACGTTACGTTAGTTGTTGTTGCTTGTCTTGGAAGGTGGTTGTTTCCATGGGGTTTCTTGTTAGGTCAAGCTTTTGACATCTTCAATGTTCACGGGCTGTATATTCTCACACGTTCACATGCGTGACGTTATGTATCTGAATGCATATGTGCAATACTAATTAACAATATGTCACTTTAGTCATGTTCACCAATTTTGACAATTTATTTATACAATCTTGACAGGTCATTTCCCATCTTTTAATTAAGCTAGCAAGGAATCTTCTGCTGTATATTATCTTAATATAAACTTCGTGGTCATTAATTTTTATTTTATTTTTAAGGAAGAGGATACCACTTTATTACAACTCAGAAAAATAAAATTCATATCATGGATTTGAGCTTGTTTCTTGCAGGATCTACTTCCATGTATAATTGTGCTTTCACTAATCTTGAGGAAGTATAATTAAAGGGAAAATTTTCAAAATGTCACCTGAACTTTTACACCAATTTTAATTTGTCACTTCAAAGAAAAATTTAAGAGAAACATCACCTTAATTTTTCAAAATCCATGAAACATCATTTGACACTAACACACCATCCAATTTTTCATCCAAAATTTTGCTTGTGCAAGGGGCCGGCATATTAAACTTTTCAAGACCCAAACCTTACTTCAAGCTCCTTATTCGAAAAAGAGGGTTGAAATTGGGGATTGAGGTTTAGCGATGCAATAGTGAACACATTTACCCCAGGGTGAAATGAACATAAGGTTGTGATGCAAGGACAAATCCTTGCACACAGAACACAAGGTTGTGATGAACATGTTGCACTTAAACTGCGTTTGAGGTAGCTATACTTGATCGGTCTACTTTTTGGATATGTCCTATAAGTCCCGATGAACAAGTTTGAAGAAGGAAGGATTTTGTTTTGAATTGAGGAGAGTGGGGTTCTGAAGCAGTCAAAAAGACTGACGTGAAGAAAGAGAGCTGAAGCTCTCAACTTGGAAGAGAATGAGAAAAGTGTTGTGTTGTGTGAGAGTTATCAATGGTCAAACTTAGGAATCATAAGGAACATATGATTTATTGACACTTTTTAATTGATGTGGTTGTCCACTTCATCTGTCATATTAGATGGTATGAGAATGTGGTAAACAAATGTAGTAAAAGTAGCATTGTTCTTTTAAAAAATGTATTATTAGAAGAGTCAACAACTTTCAATTCCTAATACATCACAAAAGAAAGTGACATTTCTTAATACTCATTTCCCATTATTCCAAACATGAGAATGAATATTTCCCATTTATATCTCGTGGGATTAGACAGTGCATTTTATTCTCAAGAAGTTTATTTTGCGAACCAAACAGGTCCTTAAAAATGGAAGAATCGAATATAGGTCATTAATCCATTAATAAACATTTAATGCCTGTTTGGCATTACTTTTTAAACATTTTAACAAAAAAAAATTTCAACATAATGCCTTTCTTAGTTATTATACACAGCTCACCGCACTTTCATAAAAAAATTTACTAAACACTTAGAAAATGATTATTGTACCAACAACATTTTTAACAAATAGTTTACCAAATGCCAAACTGCTTTCTCTTACAGTAAATTTGACAACAATTATTTTCACAACACAACAATGTCAAACTTGCCCTTAGAGCAACTCCACCCATTTGCCCTTTGCCATGGCAAAGAGGGGGGGGCTGAGGGCAGCCATTATTCACGTGAATAGTGGTTGCCCATGCAAAAAGCCATTTTCGTTTCCACCCGTTGCCATAGCAAAGGGCAATTACTATTTATTTTTTTGTTTTTTTACAAATTTTTTTACCTAAACAATTAATTTGGATAATATTTTCGGATTAGATTTTTGGGTTCCTACATGTCAATCTTTATTATAAAATTCATATCTCAAAATCGGAAAAAAATTTCAGATAAGATTTCGAAAAAATAAAACTTGAAAGTGAAAAAAATATTAAATAGAAAGTGAATAATAGTTGAAAGAGACGAAAATGTATGAGGATTTGGTGTTAAAAGTAAAGAGTATTGGTTAGTATTTATAGAAAAAAAAATTCATTAATTTTTGGGTATTTTTTTCATTATTTTATTGCACAAAAATTCGATGTCGTTGGATTGGAGGAAAAAATCCGATCTGAGAGCCTAGACGACGCCACGTGGCTGCTGGCTTTGAGCGGCACTGTAGCGCGCTGACGTTATCCAAAACTCGGGCTCCAAGTCGGGCTAGTCTCCCCCAAGGGCCAGCCCAGTCTGCTGGGGTCCACCTGTTGCCCGAGCAAGCCTCTGTTGCTGGAATCACTTTTTTTGCCCAAACCCCCTCCAACCCGCGACTCTGTCATGCCGATGGAGTTGCTCTTAGAGCAAGTACAGCGGATAGCTGAGCCCGAGGTTGGGGGGGGGGAAAAAAAAAGCTGTTTCCGGCGATCAGCCCAGGCCCGGGGGAGGTGTGGGACCCACCAACTCGGTTTGGCCTGAAGCCAACTTCAGCCCGAGGTCCAAAACGCGAGGGGTGACGTCACGCTCGACGCCAGGTTGACGTCGCACGCGCCAACGGTAAAAAAAATTTAAACCAGCGTGCGCTAACGTCAGCGCGACGCAGCTCCAACGGTTGGAAGTCACATGTCACGCCCAGCGCTCTGATTTGCTTCTACAGACTTCATCCAACAGCTGGCCTTTTTCTAGCAATAAAATTATGAAAAAAAATCGAAATTTGTTTTAAAAAAATACTAAAAAATGCTAATTTTTTTCCCTATAAATACCTATAAATACCCTTCACTTTCAACACCAATCCTTATACATTTTATTCTACTTCTACTATTACTCAACATTTTATTCACTCTTTACTCAATATTTTCTTCTCTTTCACCTTGTATTTTTATACCATTATTTTTATGGCTTCTTCTATCGAAACCGAAGGGGCGTGGAGCACCATGGAAGATGTTTCTTTGTGTGAGGCTTGGCTCCAAGTTTGTCATTGTCCCGTGACAGGTAATGAGATGAAATTTTTCCATATGTGGAAAAAAATTCATGCCGAATTTTGCGAAAAAATTCTGGGTCAACTCGTACGGAAATGACATTGTCGAGTAGGTGGAAAATTCTCAACAAAGAGTTGGCAAAATGGAGAGATGCCTTGACGAAAGCGATGAACAACTATAGAAGCAGGGAAAATTGTACTAACGAGGTAAGTATTTTGTAATTTTCGTTTTATTAAGTTTAATGTCCTATTATATATATGTTGTTAATATTTATTGCATTTTCAATATTTTGTTAATATTTCTTGCATTTTAAATATTTTGTTAATATTTCTTGCATTTTCAATATGTTGTTATATTTCTTGCATTTCCAATTGTTTCTTCATATTTCTTGCACTTCCAATTTATTTGTAAGGTTAATTGCATTTCCATTATTTTTTTTTTGTTACTTGCATATCCAATATATTTTAAATATTTCTTGCATTTCCATTTTTTTGTTAAATAGATTATTCAATCACAGATGTGGTTCGGTGCAACCGAGGGTGTCAAAAAAAGTTTCAACCATCATGAATGTTGGGAGGTGGTGAAATATTGTAAACGCTTCATAATTATTCCCACAGGTCCCGCCGTTGTGTTAAACGAGACGCCACTCCGTGATTCAACAACAACGGATTCACCTCTCAATTCCCCTATGAGTGAAGACTCACCCATCCAAAAGGAGCTGAGGCCCATTGGCCGAAAGGCTGCGAAGGCAAAGAAAGCGGGTAATTCAAGCAATAATAATTCAAAGTTTTTGGAGGAAATTGCAAGGCAGAACGCCATAAGAATTGAAATGGAGTAGAAACGCCAAGATATGGAGGTGGCAATTCAAGCCGAGTGTGCACGAGAAAAGGAGTATTTGCGCAAAAAAGATATTAGATGGATCGGGAAACCATGGCGATGGATACAAGCCATATGTCCCCTGAACCAAAACAATATTGGAAGCTAGAACGAAGGGATGTTATGAGAAGAAGACTTTTCCAGGATTATGGGCCTAGCAACACGGATTGGTTAAATGATCAAAACCATTAAATTAGTTGGCATACCTTTTATGTATTTTTATTTTTCATGTTTTCTATTAAAGTTGTTGTACTTCATATATTTTATTTTAGTAGTAGTAATTCTTAATGACTTGTATTGGATTTCTTTATTTAATAAACAAAGCATTCAATAAAAGACCTTTTTATTCAACATATTCCATATATCAAACAAAACATAATTAAAATTAAAAAAAACTACAAACAAGGCACAATAATAAATAAATAAAACCACAACCAAACCATAATAAATAAAAAACAACACAACCAAACCATAATAAATAAAAAACAACACAACCAAACCATAACTAAATAAAATATAACCAAAGCATCTATGCTTCATCATTCATTTTCATTGCCTTTCACCGCCCATAAATGCTTCATCAAGTCAAGTTGACGCCTTTCATGAATATACGAAGATTGCATCTCTGTATATCGATCTATCATCCGAGTCATGAAACGACCGTTCCTCACCAACAGTTCCGGCTCAAACGGTTCTCCATTTGGTCTCATGGGCCTTTCATAAGTCCGAGTCAAGGCCGTGTTCATTGGATCCAGTTCGTAGACCTCTAAAGCATCATAATCGTACTCATCCTCCACAATCATATTATGGAGGATGATGCAAGTCATCATAATGCTTCTGAGGATCTCCGCATCAAACATACGGGCCGCACCTCGAATAATCAACTACTGAGCTTGAAGGATGCCAAAACATCTTTCGACATCTTTCCTATATCCTTCTTGATAGGTAGCAAATAATTTTTGCTTCTGAGATCGGGGATTCGGAATGGATTTGACAAATGTGGTCCACCTTGGGTAGATGCCGTCAGCTAGATAATACCCCGTCTGGTAGACTGTATTGTTGACTTGATATGTGATATTGGGGCCTTGGCCTCCCAAAACATCGTTGAAGACCGGAGATTGACCCAGGACGTTGAGGTCATTTTGGGATCAGGCAACTCCGAAGAAGGCATGCCAAATCCATGTGTTGAAGCGAGCAACGGCTTCCAAGATGATACTTTTTTGGCCTTTTCTATTTCCGTAATCACCTTGCAAGGCAGTTGAGCAATTCTTCCATTGCTAGTGCATGCAGTCGATGCTACCAATCATTCCTGGAAATCCTCGAGCTTCGGCTTTTTGTAGAAGCCGTTGGAGGTCCTTGGGAGTAGGTCTACGCAGGTAATCCCTAGTGTACAGATTTTCAACAGCATCACAAAATCTTACCAAAGCCTCCAACGTAGTGGACTTCCCCATTCGGGCAATCTCATCCACCTGATCAGCAGATGCTCCATACGCTAACATTCGTATAACAATTGTAAGCTTTTGCTCCGGAAGAAGCCCCAAAACCCCAGCAGCATCACACTTTTGAACAAAGTATGCATCATAATTGCAAATATCATGCATGACTTTATTGAACTAATGGGGTTGCATTCTAAATCACCTTCGAAAATCAACATCAGAGTACAAAACAGTTGGGATAAAATAATCTTCCAAAAGATTCTTACCCCGAGAATGCCTATGTCTGTCCACATTCCGGCAACTGCTGACTTGCGAACCACGGCGGCGACCTTGGTTCTCTTCCTCTTCCATTGCCACTGCTATGAGAACTTGTTCATCAACTTGTCTTTGCAACTCATTGATTTCATCGGCTCTACGGTTTCTCTCATTTCTTTCTCGCTCTTGCCTCTCCAATCATCTCCTATATTCTTCCATTGAGAATGAATGGAGTATGAATTCTAAACTCTAAGAAATGAAAATATAGAAAGATGTGGTGTGAGAGGTATGAGCTGAGCCTCTGGTTTTATAGAAAAATTTGGCAAGATAGAGATTCCACGTGGCTTGATTTGATTGGATGAAAATCTTATCTGAAATTTGAAATTCATCCGAAATTTGAACCCAAATTTATCTAAAATTTGAACCGAAAAACCTTATCCGAAAATTTTATCCGATTATGAATAGTCTTGACACGTATGAACCCGGAAATCTTATCCGAAAATATTATCCAAATTAATTATGTTTGCCCTTAGCCATGGCAAGGGGGAGCTAGGGCAGTCACTATTCACGTGAATAATGGTTGCCCTTGCAAATAGTATTTTGTGTTTCCACCCGTTGCCATGGTTAAGGGCAATTACTATTCATTTCTTTGTTTTATTCACAAATTTTTTAACCTCAATAATTAATTTGGATAATATTTTCGGATAAGATTTCTGGGTTCCTACGTGTCAAGACTATTCATAATCGGATAAAATTTCCGGATAAGATTTTTGAGTTCAAATTTCGGATGAATTTCAAAATTCAAATTTCAGATAAATTTGGGTTCAAATTTTGAATGAATTTCAAATTTCATATAAGATTTTCATCCAATCAAATCAAGCCATGTGGCATCTCTATCTTGCCAAATTTTTCTATAAAACCAGAGGCTCAGCTCATACCTCTCATACCACATCTTTCTATATTTTCATTTATTAGAGTTTAGAATTCATACTTCATTCATTCTCAATGGAAGAATATAGGAGATGCTTCGAGAGGCAAGAGCGAGAAAGAAATGAGAGAAACCGTAGAGCCGATAAAATCAATGAGTTGCAGAGACAAGTCGATGAACAAGTTCTCATAGCAGTGGCAATGGAAAAGGAAGAGAACCAAGGTCGCTGCCGTGGTTCACAAGTCGGCCGTCGCCGGAACGTGGATAGACATAGGCATTCTCGGGGTAAGAATCTTTTGGAGGATTATTTTATCCCAACTGCTTTGTACTCTGATGTTGATTTTCGAAGGCGATTTAGAATGCAACCTCATTTGTTCAATAAAGTCATGCATGATATTTGCAATTATGATGCATACTTTGTTCAAAAGTGTGATGCTGCTGGGGTTTTGGGGCTTCTTCCGGAGCAAAATCTTATAGCTGTTATACGAATGTTGGTGTATGGAGCATCTGCTGATCAGGTGGATGAGATTGCCCGAATGGGGAAGTCCACTACGTTGGAGGCTTTGGTAAGATTTTGTGATGCAGTTGAAATTCTGTACACTAGGGACTACTTACGTAGACCTACTCCTAGGGACCTCCAACGGCTTCTACAAAAAGCCGAAGCTCGAGGATTTTCAGGAATGATTGGTAGCATCGACTGCATGCACTGGCAATGGAAGAATTGCCCAACTGCCTTGCAAGGTGATTACGGAAATAGAAAAGGCAAAAAAAGTATCATCCTGGAAGCCATTGCTGGCTTCGACACATGGGTTTGGCATGCCTTCTTCGGAGTTGCCTGATCCCAAAATGACCTCAATGTCCTGGGTCAATCTCTGGTCTTCAACAATGTTTTGGGAGGCCAAGGCCCCAATATCACCTATCAAGTCAACAATACAGTCTACCAGACGGGGTATTATCTAGCTGACGGCATCTACCCAAGGTGGACCACATTTGTTAAATCCATTCCGAATCCCCGATCCCAGAAGCAAAAATTATTTGCTACCTATCAAGGAGGATACAGGAAAGATGTCGAAAGATGTTTTGGCATCCTTCAAGCTCGGTGGTTGATTATTCGAGGTGCGGCTCGTATGTTTGATAAGGAGATCCTCAGAAGCATTATGATGATTTGCATCATCCTCCATAATATGATTGTGGAGGATGAGTACGATTATGATGCTTTAGAGGTCTACGAACCGGATCCAATGAACACGGCCTTGACCCGGATTTATGAAAGGCCTATGGGGCCAAATGGAGAACTGTTTGAGCCGGAACCGTTGGTAAGGAACGATCGTTTCATGACCCGAATGATAGATCGATATACAGAGATGCAATCTTCGTATATTCATGAAAGGCGTCAACTTGACATGATGGAGCATTTATGGGCGGTGAAAAGCAATGAAGATGAATGATGGAGCTTTGGTTATGTTTTATTTAGTTATGGTTGGTTGTGTTGTTTTTTATTTATTATGGTTTGGTTGTGTTGTTTTTTATTTATTATGGTTTGGTTGTGGTGTTTTTATTTATTATTGTGCCTTGTTTGTAGTTTTTTTAAATTTTAATTATGTTTTGTTTGATGTATGGAATATGTTGAATAAAAAGGTCTTTTATTGAATGCTTTGTTTATTAAATAAAGAAATCCAATACAAGTCATTAAGAATTACTACTACTAAAATAAAATACATGAAGTACAACAACTTTAATAGAAAACATGAAAAATAAAAATACATAAAAGGTATGCCAACTAATTTAATGGTTTTGATCATTTAACCAATCCGTGTTGCTAAGCCCATAATCCCGGAAAAGTCTTCTTCTCATAACATCCCTTCGTTCTAGCTTCCAATATTGTTTTGTTTCAGGGAACATATGGCTTGTATCCATCGCCATGGTTTCCCGATCCGTCTAATATCTTTTTTGCGCAAATACTCCTTTTCTCGTGCACACTCGGCTTGAATTGCCACCTCCATATCTTGGCGTTTCTACTCCATTTCAATTCTTATGGCGTTCTGCCTTGCAATTTCCTCCAAAAACTTTGAATTATTATTGCTTGAATTACCCGCTTTCTTTGCCTTCGCAGCCTTTCAGCCAATGGGCCTCGGCTTCTTTTCGATGAGTGAGTCTTCACTCATAGGGGAATCGAGAGGTGAATCCGTTGTCGTTGAATCACGGAGTGGCGTCTCGTTTAACACAACGGCGGGACCCGTGGGAATAATTATGAAGCGTTTACAATATTTCACCACCTCCCAACATTCATGATGGTTGAAACTTTTTTTGCCACCCCCGGTTGCACCGAACCACATCTGTGCTTGAATAATCTATTTAACAAAAAAATGGAAATGCAAGAAATATTTAAAATATATTGGATATGCAAGTAACAAAAAAAAAAAATTAATGGAAATGCAATTAACCTTACAAATAAATTGGAAGTGCAAGAAATATGAAGAAACAATTGGAAATGCAAGAAATATTAACAAAATATTTAAAATGCAAGAAATATTAACAAAATATTGAAAATGCAATAAATATTAACAACATATATATAATAGGACATTAAACTTAATAAAACGAAAATTACAAAATACTTACCTCGTTAGTACGATTTTCCCCGCTTCTATAGTTGTTCATCGCTTTTGCCAAGGCGTCTCTCCATTTTGCCAACTCTTTGTTGAGAATTTTCCACCTACTCGACAATGTCATTTCCGTACGAGTCGACCCCGGAATTTTTTCTCAAAATTCGGCATGAATTTTTTTCCACATATGGAAAAATTTCATCTCATTGCCTATCACGGGACAATGACAAACTTGGAGCCAAGCCTCACACAAAGAAACATATTTCATGGTGCTCCACGCCCCTCCGGTTTCGATAGAAGAAGCCATAAAAATAATGGTATAAAAATACAAGGTGAAAGATAGGAAAATATTGAGTAAATAGTGAATAAAATGTTGAGTAATAGTAGAAGTAGAATAAAATGTATGAGGATTGGTGTTGAAAGTGAAGGGTATTTATAGGTATTTATAGGAAAAAAAAATTAGAATTTTTTAGTATTTTTTTAAACAAATTTCAATTTTTTTTGTTAATTTTCTTGTTGGAAAAACGCCAGCCGTTGGATGAAGTCTGTAGAAGCAAATCAAAGCGCTGGGGGCGTGACACGTGGCTTCCAACCGTTGGAGTTGCGCGCGCTGATGTTAGCGCACGCTGATTTAAATTTTTTTTATCGTTGGCGCGTGCGACGTCAGCCTAACGTCGAGCGTGATGTCACCCCCCACGTTTTGAACCTCGGGCTGAAGCTACTTTCGAGCCAGACCAAGTTGGTGGGTCCCACACCTCCCCCGGGCCTGGGCTGACCGCTGGAAACAATTTCCGGCCCCCCCCCCAGCCTTGGGCTCAGCTATCCGCTGGACTTGCTCTTAATGACAATAATGTGGTTGGTTGGTTACAAAAACTAACCATGGTTATTTGCCTTTGGTGGCCGCTATGGTCGCGGCATTACCGTGGTCAAGGAAAATGCAAACTAGCATTTAGCAGCGGCATGTTCCTTTGGCGCACACTTGGAGCAACGAGTCTGTGTGCTAGTCCCTGCAAACCAAAATCCCAGTGAAAAACAAAGTAATCAAACCCTAATCCCCAAATGCCCAACTATTCCCAAGCCTGATCTCTACGATCCATTTGATTCAAGCAAAGGTAACTTTCTCTGTCTCACTCTCACTCTCACTCTCACTTTACATACACATGTGTCTTCGATCTTTTTGCTTCAGATAAAGGAAAATCGTTATATATCTATTTGTTTGTATATTTGTATGAGTGTGAAGTGAAACGGCTGCGGTTAAGCTTATATGCTGCTCCATTGTGACTAAGATAATAACTTTTTTGGTGACAACAAGAGTTTTTTCTTTAATTATTTTTCTGACTGATTTTCGTTCTCTTATTTGAACGAATTTAACAAACTTTGAAGCTTGTAAGCATATAATTACTGCTTATATTAAATATTGTAGCCTGTCTTACTTAGAGAGCATTTCGAGTAACCCAGTTTGCTCTGACTGATTGGTTTTCTTTTTTAATTTGTGAAGTTTGTTAGTAGATCATGAGGCGCAAACAAGCATGCAGGGGAAGGGGAAGGCCACGAAAAAAACCCAATGTGGTCAGTGAGAGACTGGTAAGTGAGAGAGTGGTCAGTGAGAAGGTGGTCAATGAGAAAGAAGGAGCGTTCTTGAATTTTGTGAGTCAAAATATTGAAGGAAATGATATTGGGTGGAATCAATCTGATGACGAAGACCATAACGATGAGGAATTTAACCCTGAAATGGAGATTGATTCAGGCAATTCTTCTGCTTCTTCAATGGGGAGTGACTGGTCGTACAAGGATCAAAATGTGAGCTCCGTGGATAGGACAGTGCAGAGGTTGATTAGGAAGTATGGTGAAGTGAATCTCCAGATGGGAGACGCATCCAAGAAGATTGATGTTGCACAAACTAAGCCATTGCAAGTCTTTGGTTCTTGGAGTAGATTCCAGCATGAGCAAGAGGCTCCTTCTCATGATCCTCGCTGTAACAAGAAAGAATTGAGTGCTTCTTTGTCGGTATGATGGAAATTCTGTAATTGGTTTCTGTTGTGACATTTTAGTTTTAGATTTAGGTTGTGTAGTCTTTTGTATATTCATAGGAAGGAACAAAATGTTTTCGGTTTTCGTAAACAATTGGAGTGCTTTTCTAACCAGACATTTTGTTGCGATAGCTTTTCTGACCATATTATCCGTAATGTGATTGAACTTACTGCTGTTCTCGAATTATTTCACCTTTCAGGTTATTAAGAGGGTTATGAAAATGGATGCAGCTGTACCTTTCAACATTCCTGTGGATCCAATTGCTCTGAGATTACATGTGAGTGTGAAATATGCATATTTTATAAATATTTTTCTTGAGTGATAACATGATATGGTAATCGTTATGATGCACCATGCTCCAGAATCTGTCTTATTGTTCTTTGTAAAAAGAGTAATAATAATCCCTTATTTCTTTTGCGAGCTTCTAAGAGGGGATTGTTGTGGGTTCTAGCTTCAAGTTTATTGAGTTACAATGTCAAACTATTTCCTTTGGGATACAAGCTTGACTAGTCACTAAGCTTGTAAATTTAGTGGAAAAATGACTTGGTTGAATTTAAACATCATTTTTTTGTTGTAATAACGCGAGTCTTCTGCAATGACCTGTTATATATATGTACATATTTATATTAACTTTTTAATAACATACTTTAATAGTAATTCCAAAATTTTAAGGTGCCTTTCATGTCCAGCAACTCCTACCATATATGTGGTATAGCTGTTTTATTTTGATGATCTTATTTTTAAATTCAATTCTCTTTAAATCCGTAGCTTTCAAGCTATATCTATATGTTTGTTGGGTTTGCTATATCTGTTTGCACTACGATGAGTATGCTATTTTGCAATTTTCAGTACACCTTGGATTTTAGAGAGAGCAAAACCTTTTATTTTCATTCACACATATGACTTCATTTAAAAAGCTGGTCAAAAACCAGTTTTGTTTTCATTTAAGTATATATACACATCACTTTTGATTATATATGTAATTGTATATACATATATTATTCTACTTTGTCTATGTTGCAAAATATAAGTAATACCTACTGCTAGGACAAAGGTTACAAAGTGAGGGTCAAAAGTACCAAAAATGACCCTGCATTAACCTGAAACGCACTTAATTCTTGGTGCAGATGCAATAGTGTGTTCATGGAAGATTTGGATATTCTATGAGGATTGTACGTCTCTGTTTTTCATGTACATATATATCTGCAAGTTAATGCACATTTGGGTTCATATCATGTTCTGGACATTCTGTAGCATAACATGTATTTGAAAAGGAGAAATATGTTAACTGCAAGGTTTTAAGGTTTTATTATGTTTCCTGAAACAATAAGTTGGAAATATTGAATTTCTTAGGGATGATTTTAATTCTTCAGCTGATCTAATTAGACAGTTCCACAATGCAGCATTGCTGTCATAGATGTCTTATCTATTCTGAAATGCATTGCTATGTTCCTTTCATAATTCTTCTCTCCCTTACTGTTTTATCTTTCTTTGTTTTTTTTCTTTTCTGGGGTGTGTTGATGGTTGGAACCAGGATTACTTTGATGTCATAGATACACCAATGGATTTTGGAACAATTTGCAACCATCTTGAAAATGGTACTAAGTATACGAACTCAGAGGATGTATTCAAGGACGTCCAATACATTTGGAAGAACTGCTGCAACTATTACAATGAGGGTAACTTTGTTTGGACCTTATGAAAAGGGTGAAGGAGAAGTTCATGACATATTGGACAGCTGCTGGTTTGTGCAGTAAAGAACCAGGGACAAGTAGTGGTAAGGGTTTAACATTACTTTTGTTTTGTTACTTCAATTTGATAGTTGTTGTGCTAAACTTGTTGGTGATAAATTTTCACTTGGGAGGTAGTTAGCATAGATAAACTTGATGGATGTCATTTATGCATCCAATACATGCCTACTTGCCAACATATCAAGATTTTGGCCACCAATATAGATAGAGGGGTTGAAACCATTTCTTTCCTGTTCCCAGATCTCGTCACTGATATTTGGACAGAATCAGTGACAATTTGCTGAAACTGAAAGAAGAACAGATAAAATTCCACTCTAATCCGTGTTAAAAATGCTAATTAAGTCAAATCATTTCCGTCATATACAAGAGTAACCCTCGATAACGGTATATGTAGTTCAAGTTTTATTTTCATATACATATCATTTACTTATCATAGGCATAGTATACTATAAAATATATTTGTTTTTTACATGCTGTGGTATATGATAGACAAAGTATATTATATGATTTAACATTTCTTGATGTTTCATTTAAATTTCCATGTTTTAAAGTCGATATCTGTCATTTTTCATTGACAGTCACTGATATCGGAAACTACATGGAAATATCAGTCGATATATGTTTACGTTTAAGTACCATATTGTTTGCATGCTTGATTATATCATCCTTGGTTGTCCTTGTATGTAAGATATTGGTTTGCCTTCTCATATTTCATTTTGTCTCTGTTACTGTGCATTTCAGCATGGCCTCTTTTGATTCTGTGATCACCATCAGGAGTGAGATTTTGCTGTTATTAACCAAAGAAAAGAATTCAAGAGTAGGTTCTATATCAATTGGTAAAGTTACCAAGATCCCAGTATGTTTGGGTTTGTTGGGTACCGGGAGGTGGCATGCTCCTATTCCCAGTATGCAGTACTTTTAGAGTTACGCTTAATTTGTTTGTTTGTTTGTTAGATTATAATTTGCATACTTGGGTTTCTATGCACAGTATAAAAGAAGATCCATTCCTGCATGCATAAGCACTTACGAACAAATAGACTAATTAAAAGATTACAGAATATTTGAATCAGCACATATTTCATCTTGACTTCTCAAGGTCTAAAATTGTTGGCTATGAGGTATTCTTTAGTTTAACCTTTTATTTTTCTTTCCTATCTCATATATCTTAGATTTTATCCCTTCTGTTTGACAACGGATTGGAAATACTTGTGATCTCGGGGTAGAGGCAGGTTGCTAGAATGGCTAGAAGAGAGCTGACTGTCTTCCATAAATAATTGATGAACTACGCATTTCATGCATACATTGCCTTCGATGAGTTTGAGCTCTGATAAGCATATCAACGAAATAAGTGGTCTTCAAATGATTACAAGACTTTACAGTTGCTCGAATCACTTACCAAGAAAGATTGCATTTATTGAATTGTTCTATAAAGTCCTCATAGGTCTCATGCTAGAACAATAACTCTTTAGTCATTGTCTGTTTCATGGTTGTGGTTTAGATACAATATGTTTTGGCTTTGATCAATTCTTCAAAGTTCAAACGTTGGCCTTAAGTATATGTGTACAAACAGATTTATCATTTTTCTTTTGGTTGTAAAGGAGCCAATAGGGAAACCATATTGTGTTGGATTAATTCTTCTTTTCACTGCCCCTAAGATTGCAGTATCTTCATAAATCCTTTGAACTTTTGTATGTATCATTATTCAACTTTTTCATAATGTTCTATTAAGATGATAGTGTTTATGATGAAAAAAATTTATATTTGAGTTTATTTGTTAATAATAATAATTATTTTTTAATAATTTTTTTCTGAATCAGTATCTTCAATGCATTTGAATTTAGTTAGGGTTTTTTTTTTTTTTTTTTTTTTTTTTTTTTTTTTTTTTTTTTTTTTTTTTTTTTTTTTTTTGTAATAATTATTAATAATTCATATATGCTTATATGTGCCTAACTCATTTTCAAGATAAAGTAGAGGAGTTTCCATATACCGGTGTATGAATGGTGCATATATATACTTCGAAACTCAAATTGACCGCAAATTTTAATTTTCCATTATGATAGTTCCTTAGGATGAGGCCTGCATATTATATTTTTCATCATTAGTGTAGGTTACTTCTGGTTTCAATTTCGTTAAGTTTTGGTTTTTTTCTTTTTTAGTTTTAACAAGCTCTAACATGGGGAAAAGGAGAACACGAGGGCCCACCCGTAACCTTAAACTAGCTCAAATTCCAATTGGGGAAAGATTTGAAATCAGCTGGAGGAACCGGAGAGCTGTAGGTGAAAGCTCCACGTTTTTCAAAGCAGAGTGTACAGCCCTAGTTAGGCAAACCCAGGACCTACCCCTTCAGGTCAAGTCATGGAAGGAAATCCCATTTGATATTAAAAAGAAGGCATTTGAACATATGTTGGTTAGTACAACAAAAGATTTTGAAGGAAGTAGTTCCCTTAAGTCTTCATTTTTGCATGTTTATTTTGTAATATTTCTTCATTCATGTTCTCAGAAGCGTTTCAAAGTCGAAGATCACATGACATGGGTGTTGGATCAGATTCATAGATCCTACCACAATTATCGGCATCACCTCAAGAAGATGTGGTATGAAACGTGTGAGACAACTGAGGAAGCACGGAAAAAAGTACCACCAAATGTTGCGGACGATGATTGGCAGTATCTTATAAACCTGTGGAGCTCACCTGAATGGCAGGTACCACAAAATGTTGCATATGAAGGAAAATATTGAGGATGAAAGAAACTTTACATTTTTTCCAATTTTCCTTTCAGTTATCCCTACTCTGTTTTCTCCTTAGATTTTTATACATTCATGGTCTTCCTTGAATGCAGTCAATGAGTATGAAAAACAAGGAGAATGGTTCCAAAAATAACATAATCCACACATCTGGCTCCAAGAGTTTCTCGCAAATCCGCGAAGAAGAGGTATGACTATTCACTTCTTGAGTAATATTTATTTTGTTTCTCATCATTCTTAGTTTTTTATGTTTGTCCCATGGTAGAGAAAGAAAACTGGAAATGACCCTGGACGTACCCTCCTATGGGAGCTCACCCATGTGCGGCCTGATGGACTAGCTGCAAATCCAGCTTCACAGGAGGCATTGGTATATATTGATCCCGAAATTAAATTGAATATGCAAGCACACCTAATTTTCAGTTAATTTAATAGTATGCTTCTCTTAAAAATATATATAGTTTTGGTTCTCTCTCTCTCTCTCTCTCTCTCTCTCTCTCTCTCTCTCTCTCTCTCTTAAGTTTTTTTTTCCATTGTACATATTGGTTCCATTTTCTGAATGCAGTCAAAGCTCAAGAAACTTTATACTCAGATATCTGCGGAGAACTCACAGATGACTGAAGACGAGATTTTTGTAAAGGTTTTTGGACCTGAGCGTTCGAGTCGGGTGCGTGGTTACGGGGATGGTGTAACCCCCAAAGAGTTATGGGGCCCATCATCGTCGTCGTCATCTACTGTTAATGAACTCAGAAGGCAACTTGAGGAATCAAAGCAGCGACAAGAGGAGTCTGAACAAAGAAGTGCTGCTGAGCTACAGGGCTTGAAAGAGCAACTTGGTCGGGTTGAGGGTTTGGTATCAGCTCAAATGAATCGCTTTGAAGGTTTACTAGTACAGTTGATGAGTCATATGCACTCCCCGGCCCAGATTGAGAGACGTACTGAAATTTCACCCTCCCGAAATGGTATGCATCTTTGATTACTTACTTTATAAAGAATTCTCATATAGGGTTTTTGGAAAAATGGAATTACAATCTTTGAACAATTTATATTGAAGTGTGACTCATTTGAATTGAGAATTCTGCGTTTGTCTTGTTTGGTAAAAGTAGGGAAGAAGAATATGAGTCAGGCACCACAATATTTCGATTGTTTCATAATTCTTCATTGAGAAAGAAGTATACCCAATGCTGGGGCCTCAATGAAGGTTGAGTTTATGTGTGTTGTTTTGTTCAATGATCTCTTTGTTCGGAGAAAAAGCCTTTCGAGTTGCAACATATTGTGTTTTTTGTCCATCATAACTTTTGACATATATGTACTAATAGCTTTTGGTCCATGAATAACTCACCCTCCTAGAATCAGTGAGAGCGGTGATAGGAGGTGTAATTGTCATCATTTCCATTGTTTGCTTCCTCTTGTGTAATTAAAAATGGAAAACTTTCAGTTTCTGATTTGGTTTAACAAATACCATAGTGTGCACCATCATGTGATGTTACTGCACATGGTTTGCAAGATCCCAAATACATTGTGCTACATCTCCCTAGAGAAAATTTGGCATTGTGTATACTCTGTCTTTATCGCTGTGCTGTGTCGAAACTGCATGAAGATTTGCCCCTTACTGTCTCCATATATTGTGAAATCAAATGGAAGCAAGTATGCCACTAGCTTCTTCTTGATGCACCCTCAAATTAGTTTCGTGTTATTTCACTTGGATCAGGATTGAAGATATGGTAATTCTAATAATGTCCTACTCGTTGTTTGGAGGTGTCTGAATTGGTATTACTAATCTTTTAATACAAAATAGGTATTATTTGATCATGTGGGTATTTCAAATTCCTGCTGATTTCCCTCAAAGGCATTTGATTATGTGGAAAATTGAACTATAAATATCAATGTATAGCTTCTTTTGGTCCAATTCCCTTAGTGTTGGATGTGGTAACTATTATTCTTTTTGTTCGTTTTCAGGCCGCCCACGAACGACCCGACCTAGAAGATGAAGTACATATCAGCTATGTTTTATGTTTTGTTTTTCGGCAAGAAGTTGATATTTGGTTGGTAGTATCATATTACATTTGATGCATCAAATGTGTTGTGTGAATGAATTACATGGACATGTGTTCCACTAGTAACTGATAAACTCAAGGGATATAAGAGCATCGGAGCTTCTCCATTACGGAGTCCATCAATGCGAATTGGTTTCTATTTTTGACCATGGGATGATTTTAATACTTCGGATTAGACATCTGTTCTTCTTTCTTCTTTCTTCCTCTCCCCCAGTTCACTCTTCTCTTTTTCCTTTTTCTTTTTTATTTCCTTTCCTTCTCTTTTTTTTCTTCTTTCTCCCCACCAGTTTTCTTCTTCCTCTTGTCATGGGTTGATTTTTTTCTTCTCAGAGCTGGAAAACTGGGCGTTTCCCCCTTCTCTGTCTCTATCTGAGAATGATTTGGCTACAGTATGCTGGGGTTGGGGAAAATTGTCATGGTGTCGGCTTCTATTGGCCTCTTCTTCTACCTCCGTTCACTTTTTATTTTATTTTGGAAAAAATTGAACAAAAAGAGAACAAAAAAACCCAGACACAGACCCATTCGCTCCCCCCATCCCCTCTGTTATTTTCCCCCATGGCCTGAAGAAAAAAGAGAACAAAAAACCCCACTGTAATTATGTATTTGTCCTCCTTTGTAATATTCTGGGGTCTCGGGTGTTTTTTTGGGGCCAGAGAGATTGTTGTGTTGCAGAGCAAGGAAGGTAAGAGAATGTGAGTGAAACTGACTGGGACAGAACCAGAAAATGAATTGTAGCTCAGAAGATTGAGCCCGTAAAGCTTTGTAGAGTTTGTAAGACTATCTGGGATTTTGTCAGTGAGAGAGTTGTTGCTAAGATCAAGGGTCTGAACTAAAACCCAATGGAGGGATAGAATCAGAGAGCCTATTGTTGAATAGTTGAACTCCTCTGAGGCTTGGAAGGAAGCCCAACGACTGAGGGATCGGACCCTCAATCTGGTTGTCGTGGAGGCTGAGCTTTCGAAGCGCCTGAAGTCGGCCTATTTTCTCTGAGATTCTGCCACCCAATCCCAGATTTCGCTTCTGACTGGCCGCGTGGCTATACTGCGGTCCCTTTTTTAATTTTTTTTAAATAAATCGTATAGCCGCACGGCCATACAAAAAAAATCTAAAGTCTAGCCGGCGGCCAGGCCCGCTATTCGACGAGTATAGCCGCGCGGCTATACTAGGGTCCCTTTTCAATTTTTTTAAATAAATAGTATAGCCGATCAGCAATACTGTGGTCCCTTTTTAAATTTTTTGTTTAGTAAACAGTATAGCCGTCCGGCCCTACGTTAAAAAATATATATTTAAATAGTATAGCCGCGCGGCTATACGGCGGTCCCTTTTTTGATTTTTTAAATATCTAGTCGCGCACACTTCGCGCGTGTTATGCGTCACCGAGTATATATATAATAATAAAATTCTAGCCCAATTGGAAGGCCCAGCAGCAGCAAGCAACATTATACTTCTCATTGCAATAATCTCACCGCCTCTCTCTCTCTGTCTGTCTCGCAGACACCAAAAAGGCTCGCGCTACACTCCTTTTTCAAATGTTTCTCCGAAACGTTACCTTCAATCAGTGGTACGTACCTCTCTTGCTTGTCTAAAGTTAGTTTTTTTTTCGTTTTCTGTATTCATGGCTAACCGATTGCGATTGTATTCGATTTCCGAACGGACCATTCGGTTCTCGCTTAGCAAGATATACCACTAATACTTTCTTTGTATAAATTAATTCCTTGATGTTGATCAATCTAGGGTTTTCTACTGTTGTTTGTTTGCTTTTTCAATGAAGTTTTGTTCTTTCTTTTACTTGTTGTTAGGGCTTAGAAAATTGCTGAAAAAAGAATAATTTTGTTCTTCTTAAATTATTGAAATTCTTGGAGAATTTGAGTAAAATTAAGAATTTGTTTATATCGCAGACCGTTTATATTTTTATTGTTTTTTTTAGTTGATCAAATTGTTGGGAACTTTGGTCATTTTGTTTTCTTCAGTTGTAATTAAATTTATGGGGGTTCGGTTTGTCAGTGTATGGAAACGGAGACTCGGGTTGTTTATTAGTTTTTTGTTAGGACGAAATGTCCCACATTGGAAAAATAGCATATCTTGGGATGGTTTAAAAGACACCCTTCTCTTGCAATCCGGTATCCACCATGCTTCTGTACTCAACCTTTGAGGCGGCTTCACTCATCCATGAGTATTTTAATGACTCAATAATATGCCCATACATAATACTGATCATCTTTACCCAGGTTCCCCCTCTCGCAGAGTTTGGCCCAGTTGCTTGGCAATGCTCTGATACCAATTGATAAGAGCCCATTTGTAGAACTTGCCCCTAAAAACTGGCTTGTAAAGTAAGAGTGCTCTTAAACCATCATGAGATATGCTATTTTTCCAATGTGGGATATTGGGTCATAAAATTTATGCTTAAAATTTATGTTTGTTTGTTGCTTTTAATTTTTTATTTTTCATATGAAAATATTTCATGACCTTTATTTTCTTTCTTGGAATGAATTGGAATGCAAATTCAAGTAATTCAGCTTACTTTTGTGGTTACAGGCAGCGTGAGGTGTTCAGAGTTTAATTTTAGGTTAGAAAATGAAGCGGAAGCGAAAGAACAAGAAGGGAAAGCCTAAAGGGTCTGTGGCTGGTGGAAATGAGGCACTTTCAAGTGGGGTTATTGTAAATTTGGAGGATGATGCAAATTTGGATGAAGACGGTAATTACGAGAATAGATCTGAGTCTGCAATGGAGGTTGATACCCCTTCTTCAACTGGGACAGATCAACATTGCAATCTTGCCAATATTAATCCTGATGGTTCGATTGATAGGGGGGTCGGGAAATCCATGGGTAGAGTTAAAGTGAAGCTTAGGACTTCGAGAACAATGGAATCTCAGCCTACTTCTTCTGATGCATATACACAAAGTGATACGGATAAGAGTAGCCAACAAATTGGTTTGGAAAAACAAGGTGTGGTTTCTGAGAAAATGGAGGATAGTGCCAATTCATTGGCTGAAGTAAAAATTGGTGCTTCTGGGAATGTGTCAAAGAAAGTTGGGAGTATAAAGATTAAATCATCGAAGGCATTGGGGTCTAGTGTTAATCATGGTATTGATCCTGTACCTGCACGGAGTGAGAGTCCGTACGACAGAGAACCAAAGATGTCTGATCAAGATTCTCAATATAATAAGGAAGAATTAGACACCACACTGATGGTATGTTGAGAATTTTGATATGCATCTTCGTGATTATTTTGGGTCATGTAAATCTTTAATCTAGTGTCATGGGTTTCAGTTCAAAGTGTGCTTAAATGCCTCCGTACTTATATTTATCTTCATTTATCACTTCACAGATAATAAAGAAGGTAATGAAAATGGATGCTGCTGAACCCTTCAATGTCCCTGTGAATCCTGAAGCTTTGGGAATACCGGTAAGTACAAATTTAGCACGTGCATGCATGTTTTTTGGTGCAAAAAATATGTTATGCTATCATTGTCTTTCCAAATAAAAAAAACAAATTTTCTTTTCCTATTTTTGAATAGAGGAAGAATACAAAGTAAAGAAAGTGAGAACTATAGCCCATCCTAGGGTAACAGAACAATAGGAATGAAAATGATGCGATGCCACACATTAAGGAAAAGTAAAAACAGTAACAACACTCTTCCAATTCCCCAAAGGGAACTAAAAATTCCTTCATAACCAGTTGGGATTGAAGATCATAACAAAGCCAAATTGATGCAGGACGCGTGGGACCTAAATTTATTAGTTTCCTAGATTCTCTAGTTTTCCAAATTCTAGTAGGATTTCTACTTTGCCAGATTTCTAGTTTTAAGTTTCCTATTTTATTTGGGTTAGGATTTCTGTTTAAGCAAGGGATTTTTATCCTATTATGTCTAGGTTTTAGTTTGCTAGAATTCTCTGATTTCTGCCCTTTCTTTTGTCCCTTCAATCTATATTTTCTTCTCCTCGATCTCTGATATTCTTCTTGTTCTACTGTTCTGCCCTTTCTTTTGTCTTTTCGATCTATATTTCCGCATCCTCGATCTCATATATTCTTCTCTGTTCTATTGTTTAAGTGCTTAATCTAATACATACGGGCTGTACTACATCAATTGGTACATCACAAATACATAATTCTCCTTCAAAGTATTTCTAAATCTTCTTTATTTTGTTCAAAATTCAATTATTTCTCAGTCCACGCGACCCATAACTATGCTTGCACTGCACTTTTCCATAAACTTGAACCCCTCTTGGTCTTTGCAAAACCTCCAAAATCATGCTGAAAATATGGAAAGCTGATTGAGATAAAAACCCATTAGCGAAACTGCATCCCCATGTTTCTTACAAAGTATGGACCAATGGAGAGATAAAAGATGTTTTGCCTTCAACAAATCTTATGTCAATTTCCTTTTCAAAAGGTTCCAATTTGCTTTAACGCTCTATGCTTTTCAATCTCTTTGCTTTTTTCATACCTTTTTTATTTTTTTTCCATGAAGTAGGCTTCGTAAGTTTTTTTTTCTTTTCTTTGTTTATAATTTTTGTGATGTCAACAGCTCTTTAGAGGGTTGTGGCACTAGATGCTGTTGTCTTGGCTGGAAGACAACTTCTATTGTGTTATGACTGAGGCTTAATTCATTTCATTGGGTCATTACTGGAATGTGATTACAAGTGGGCATGATGGGTTGGTTTCTGGAGCTCCAACTAAGAAATGATTTTGTATTTGTCAAAAAAAAAAAAAAAAAAAAAAAAAAAAAAAAAAAAACCATCCTCTAATATACAAAGCATATGTATACCAAAAACTCAGTTGAATTGATTGGTCTCTGCCCTCAGTGCTTCCTAGACTTTATGAGACTCAATTATATGTTTGTGATATCCAATATACTGTACAGATGATCACAGGACTCCTAAAAGTTCATGAGCTTTTTTTTGTTAAGAGTATTGGGAATTGATTGTTTATGTTTATTGCATGTGACTCTTGTCACACACGCATTGAACAAAGCTGTGAGCTTGAACGGTGCCTCTTCTTTTCTTTTTTTATGTTTGTTGCATGCTTTACTTTGTCTCGTTGAGGATTTATATCTGTATGTTATGCTATAAATGTTGCATCATGCCTATTTTGTTTGTCCAACATTTTGATTCATTACATGGTTTGTCTGGAGTCAGGATTATTTTGATGTGATAGATACACCAATGGATTTTGGAACAATATGCAGCAATCTTGAACAGGGTGTTAAGTATTTAAGTTCTGAGGATGTATTCAAAGATGTTCAGTACATTTGGGACAACTGTTATAAGTACAACAATAAGGGTGACTACATCTTGGATCTTATGAGGCGTGTGAAGAAAAATTTTACAAAATATTGGACAGCAGCTGGGTTGTATAGTGGACAACCAAGAGGAACTAGTGGTGAGGGCTTTATAACTTTGCCTTTTTTCCTTAGTCATACGTTTTAATAGTCTTTTCTATCCTGAATTTGACACCCAATCTCCTGTTTTGATATGAATACTATAGCCTTCTTTGGGAATTTACCCATTACCTGCACATGTATTATTACAAGATTTCCTAGAGTCAATGACCGATCAGTAATTGAAAGAACTACAAGATGCACTTACGGCAATGGTTGTGTTACCTTATTGGAAGAAGGAGACGGAAATAGTGAGCATCCCTTGATGGGACACTAACTATAGGTTGATGTTTAGAACCACTTTTGTTGAAAAATATATTGTTTGAGTTGAGCGTAAGGGATGCTTAATGTTGACGTGTTTTGCGCTGACTCTAAAAATTTATTAAAAATTTAAGCAAATCATTTACCCTGGAAGTTTATACATGGTTGTTTCCTCTGCTTGTGTTATGCAAAGATATGCTAAGTGGTGCACTCTGATTCGGATGGTTTCTTTTCCGAAAATGCTGGTTATACCAGATTATCACCTGAACTTGAGTACTTATGCAGCTTGTTCAGTGGTTTATTATGGCTTATCATGCTTTTCCCTTGCTGTTTTGGACTTTGGAGATGCTAGTGTCCATGTTTATAACAGCAATCTAAGCGTTGTATCTTCTTCATGCTAGGTGTTGAAAGCACTCAAGATACTATGGAACCATCTGATCAGGGAAAAGTACATCTTAAAGGTAGCCAATTAAAGCAGAAAACACGAAAGGGTCATGGGTATGTTTTCGCATATTAGTCTCTATCGATTTGCTGTTTGAACTCTTAATCCATATAGTTTGGAAATTGTTTTGAGTTTCTTTTCATTCCATAGACTCCCGTGTTACGAATTTTAGAGTACAGTATGTTTGTAATTCCTAAAATAGAAACGTTAATCAGGAGAAGAAAAGGGATTTTTGCTCATATTATTCTATCAAATTACAAGTGAATATTGAATGGCTTTTATGCTAGCAGGTAACCACCATTATAGTTGCTGGCCAATAGGTTTCCAGACCTCATTTACTGGTATCTTTATATTATAGTATAACAAATTAGCTATGAGCCTCTTCTTGTCCGAGAATTAGGTAAGGCTTCAAACCCTTCCTTCAGCTAGTAAATGACTTCCCCTTGTTAAGTTGGGTTTAACCAAGTATTGTGGAAGGGGAAGTTTTTTATTTCCGGATGATGATGACATTTGCTTTCTCATTAACTTCATAACTTATTTCCTTGTTTCATTTTCTTTTCATCTACAAACAATGATTTCTCTGTGCATTCGTGCACTCGAGTTAATGGTTAATGTCATGCTGATGAGCTTACATATTTGTATCATTTTTTGACTGCATTGTTAGTCTGCAAAAATACCATGACGTTTTTATAAATTTCTCTGTGTTTTAAGGCAGAGGGATTTGTATGTTTGAGAATTGATAAGGTGTATTTCCCCACAAACAAAAAAAAAAAAAAAAAAAAAAAAAAAAAAAATTTATAAGGTGTATTCCTGAGTGGAGACATGTTCCATATGATGAAAGTGCCCGGAAAGTTGATCGAAACTGTTGTAATTGCTTTTTCTTCTCTCATGTATATCTGGCTAGATAGGGTATGTAGGTACTGTATTCATCAATGTTCTATATTACAAGAATTGTATTTTTTTTTCTCTGTTGTTTTTTGTTTGAATGTTGACCTTCAGAAGCGAACATCATATCCTGTACTTCTTCCCCGTGCAATCAGCACAAACACAGATAAATTGCATGTAATGTTACAACTTCAAAATGACAAATGTATATCATTTCTTCGTGCCTAGAATTTTTGGAAGTTTTTGTGCCTGATGCCTCATGTTTGTTGAGACATGACAGAAGTATGTGTTCCACAACACACATCTTTTCATTTTTGGATTAGTTTCTCCTTGAAAGCATTTAATCTAGATAGCTTTCGTTTTTCTAGTGTTATAGTAGAAAACTTATTCTTATCTTTGGGGTTTCTTCAATTTGTAGAAGGCGTCATAAATCCGATTGTTTATGTGCTATTTGTGTTCTAAAGCGCCGTAGAAGGGAGCGTGAGGAGAATGCTCGAATTGCAAAGAGCCAGCACGGAGCTAGTGATAATAAGCTTACTCATGAGTTAAAGCAAGAGGTAAATAGGAAGTTTTATCCAATGACTATATTTGGTCCATTTGGAAAATGATTATTAAAGTAGGTTTTCACTTTGAATTCCTGCAATCAGATGCATTGCTCAGCAACTTATTAACTAAATTATAAAAACATAAAGACGATGAGAGAAATTTTAGGAGATCGCATGAACTAGTAAAATCTTTTGTTAATTCACCGTGAGCTCTTTGTGTAACATTTAAAATTTAAAATGCAATTTTCTTTTAGAGTTAAACTGACAGGTCTTATGTGAAAAAGACTGCCTTAAACAGTGGCTTTTACTTGTGAAAAAGGCCTTTAACAGTTAAATTTGCATGTTTGGTTAACCTAGTTATTATTACTATCATTATTTTTGTTGCTGTTACTGTTCTTATTGTTACTCGGGAATCTTCTTTTGATGAATAAAAGTGCTCTCTTAAGGAAGCTTCACTTGGGGAAAGCCCATCTGGTGAGAATTCCTCTTCCGATATGGATGGATCATTGGACCCCAATCCTGATGCTGAGGTAGAAGATAAAGCAGAAGAGGTGAAAATGGGGGTATCCAAACAGCAGTATGGCCCTTCAGGGGAGAAGCACGAGGAAGAGGATGATGGTGATGAGGGGGATGAGGAGGAAGACAGTGACACAGAGAGGAAAGATGAAGGTAATGGTGAGCACTAGAGAAGGACAAACAAGAGAGCAGAAGAATGGGAAAAGCAACCAAAAAGAAAAGACAGAGAGGGGGCGGAGGAGAAAAAGAAGAGAAAGGAAGAGAAGGGGGGGAGCCAAAGGAGGAAGAACGGAGGAGGAAACCGAAGGGAGAACAGGGAGGGGAGGGCAGAAAAGGGGGGTGTGGGAGAGCGAGACCGCCCAGGTTTGCGCCTCCGCAGGTGTGGAGGAGAGATCTAAAAAAAAAAAATGGTGTGCAGGAAATAAAGTTATACTAGGATCACGGGTCTCCTAGTGGGATACCCATTCGGCATTAATGGCCTCCGGAGCACTCTCTGGGTATGGTTGGCGGTAGGGTCTCTGAGTCCCTCTCTCGTGTCACATACCTTTCTCGGTCAGTTCATTCACCCCCTCCGGCTTCCTGCCGGGCTCGTGGGCCCTCCCCCTTGTTCTCGTTACTCAGCCGGCTTGGGTCCGCTCCATCGAAGCGCATTTCCGTGGGCTCACGGACCCCGGGCCTCCCCCGCGCTCGCGCCCCCCCGCCCCCAGCCCCCGGTCATCCGGAGTTGCCCCCGCCGATAACTGTTCCTGTCAGCTTCGGGCAATGGTGTCTGAAGATACGCACTTATTGTTTTAAGGTGTCAAGTGACCCGTGTTCCACTCTGAATATACTTGACCTGACTTGATTCAGGACTGTTATATCTACCCAGCGCTCACGCGCTCACCCCCGATCAGTTTAGTGCCGTCGGGCTCCATTAAAACGTGGCTGTCCCGAATCGTCCTTTCGGTGTCTCATTCGTAATAGTGCTGAGCAATGCATCTGCTTGCGCACCAGTGACAACTACTTTCCCCTATTTCCAAATGGACAATATCGTCATTGCTAAAACCTAGAACCTCGCCTAATCCGGAAAGCCTCTCATAGTCCCGTGTGGCTCTGAATTCCGGTTTCTCCCGCCCTTTCCCGGCGCTTTACAACACCCGCAACAACCCCGGCTTTATGCGTTCTCCAATTGACAGCGCCCACCGATCCGCTAAGTTTTCCTCCATCACTCACTCGCCAAAATCGCCCGCTATCTAGATTAAATGCTTTCAAGGAGAAACTAATCCAAAAATGAAAAGATGTGTGTTGTGGAACACATACTTCTGTCATGTCTCAACAAACAGAGGCATCAGGCACAAAAACTTCCAAAAATTCTAGGCACGAAGAAATGATATACATTTGTCATTTTGAAGTTGTAACATTACATGCAATTTATCTGTGTTTGTGCTGATTGCACGGGGAAGAAGTACAGGATATGATGTTCGCTTCTGAAGGTCAACATTCAAACAAAAAACAACAGAGAAAAAAAAATACAATTCTTGTAATATAGAACATTGATGAATACAGTACCTACATACCCTATCTAGCCAGATATACATGAGAAGAAGAAAAAGCAATTACAACAGTTTCGAATCAACTTTCCGGGCACTTTCATCATATGGAACATGTCTCTCACTCAGCACACCCTACATAAATTTCTTTTTTTTTTTTTTTTTTTTTTTTTTTTTTTTTTTGTTTGGTGAAAATACACCTTATCAATTCTCAAACATACAAATCCCTCTGCCTTAAAACACAGAGAAATTTATAAAAACGTCATGGTATTTTTGCAGACTAACAATGCAGTCAAAAAATGATACAAATATGTAAGCTCATCAGCATGACATTAACCATTAACTCGAGTGCACGAATGCACAGAGAAATCATTGTTTGTAGATGAAAAGAAAATGAAACAAGGAAATAAGTTATGAAGTTAATGAGAAAGCAAATGTCATCATCATCCGGAAATAAAAAACTTCCCCTTCCACAATACTTGGTTAAACCCAACTTAACAAGGGGAAGTCATTTACTAGCTGAAGGAAGGGTTTGAAGCCTTACCTAATTCTCGGACAAGAAGAGGCTCATAGCTAATTTGTTATACTATAATATAAAGATACCAGTAAATGAGGTCTGGAAACCTATTGGCCAGCAACTATAATGGTGGTTACCTGCTAGCATAAAAGCCATTCAATATTCACTTGTAATTTGATAGAATAATATGAGCAAAAATCCCTTTTCTTCTCCTGATTAACGTTTCTATTTTAGGAATTACAAACATACTGTACTCTAAAATTCGTAACACGGGAGTCTATGGAATGAAAAGAAACTCAAAACAATTTCCAAACTATATGGATTAAGAGTTCAAACAGCAAATCGATAGAGACTAATATGCGAAAACATACCCATGACCCTTTCGTGTTTTCTGCTTTAATTGGCTACCTTTAAGATGTACTTTTCCCTGATCAGATGGTTCCATAGTATCTTGAGTGCTTTCAACACCTAGCATGAAGAAGATACAACGCTTAGATTGCTGTTATAAACATGGACACTAGCATCTCCAAAGTCCAAAACAGCAAGGGAAAAGCATGATAAGCCATAATAAACCACTGAACAAGCTGCATAAGTACTCAAGTTCAGGTGATAATCTGGTATAACCAGCATTTTCGGAAAAGAAACCATCCGAATCAGAGTGCACCACTTAGCATATCTTTGCATAACACAAGCAGAGGAAACAACCATGTATAAACTTCCAGGGTAAATGATTTGCTTAAATTTTTAATAAATTTTTAGAGTCAGCGCAAAACACGTCAACATTAAGCATCCCTTACGCTCAACTCAAACAATATATTTTTCAACAAAAGTGGTTCTAAACATCAACCTATAGTTAGTGTCCCATCAAGGGATGCTCACTATTTCCGTCTCCTTCTTCCAATAAGGTAACACAACCATTGCCGTAAGTGCATCTTGTAGTTCTTTCAATTACTGATCGGTCATTGACTCTAGGAAATCTTGTAATAATACATGTGCAGGTAATGGGTAAATTCCCAAAGAAGGCTATAGTATTCATATCAAAACAGGAGATTGGGTGTCAATTCAGGATAGAAAAGACTATTAAAACGTATGACTAAGGAAAAAAGGCAAAGTTATAAAGCCCTCACCACTAGTTCCTCTTGGTTGTCCACTATACAACCCAGCTGCTGTCCAATATTTTGTAAAATTTTTCTTCACACGCCTCATAAGATCCAAGATGTAGTCACCCTTATTGTTGTACTTATAACAGTTGTCCCAAATGTACTGAACATCTTTGAATACATCCTCAGAACTTAAATACTTAACACCCTGTTCAAGATTGCTGCATATTGTTCCAAAATCCATTGGTGTATCTATCACATCAAAATAATCCTGACTCCAGACAAACCATGTAATGAATCAAAATGTTGGACAAACAAAATAGGCATGATGCAACATTTATAGCATAACATACAGATATAAATCCTCAACGAGACAAAGTAAAGCATGCAACAAACATAAAAAAAGAAAAGAAGAGGCACCGTTCAAGCTCACAGCTTTGTTCAATGCGTGTGTGACAAGAGTCACATGCAATAAACATAAACAATCAATTCCCAATACTCTTAACAAAAAAAAGCTCATGAACTTTTAGGAGTCCTGTGATCATCTGTACAGTATATTGGATATCACAAACATATAATTGAGTCTCATAAAGTCTAGGAAGCACTGAGGGCAGAGACCAATCAATTCAACTGAGTTTTTGGTATACATATGCTTTGTATATGAGGGATGGTTTTTTTTTTTTTTTTTTTTTTTTGAATATCAAATACAAAATCATTTCTTAGTTGGAGCTCCAGAAACCAACCCATCATGCCCACTTGTAATCACATTCCAGTAATGACCCAATGAAATGAATTAAGCCTCAGTCATAACACAATAGAAGTTGTCTTCCAGCCAAGACAACAGCATCTAGTGCCACAACCCTCTAAAGAGCTGTTGACATCACAAAAATTATAAACAAAGAAAAGAAAAAAAAACTTACGAAGCCTACTTCATGGAAAAAAAATAAAAAAGGTATGAAAAAAGCAAAGAGATTGAAAAGCATAGAGCGTTAAAGCAAATTGGAACCTTTTGAAAAGGAAATTGACATAAGATTTGTTGAAGGCAAAACATCTTTTATCTCTCCATTGGTCCATACTTTGTAAGAAACATGGGGATGCAGTTTCGCTAATGGGTTTTTATCTCAATCAGCTTTCCATATTTTCAGCATGATTTTGGAGGTTTTGCAAAGACCAAGAGGGGTTCAAGTTTATGGAAAAGTGCAGTGCAAGCATAGTTATGGGTCGCGTGGACTGAGAAATAATTGAATTTTGAACAAAATAAAGAAGATTTAGAAATACTTTGAAGGAGAATTATGTATTTGTGATGTACCAATTGATGTAGTACAGCCCGTATGTATTAGATTAAGCACTTAAACAATAGAACAGAGAAGAATATATGAGATCGAGGATGCGGAAATATAGATCGAAAAGACAAAAGAAAGGGCAGAACAGTAGAACAAGAAGAATATCAGAGATCGAGGAGAAGAAAATATAGATTGAAGGGACAAAAGAAAGGGCAGAAATCAGAGAATTCTAGCAAACTAAAACCTAGACATAATAGGATAAAAATCCCTTGCTTAAACAGAAATCCTAACCCAAATAAAATAGGAAACTTAAAACTAGAAATCTGGCAAAGTAGAAATCCTACTAGAATTTGGAAAACTAGAGAATCTAGGAAACTAATAAATTTAGGTCCCACGCGTCCTGCATCAATTTGGCTTTGTTATGATCTTCAATCCCAACTGGTTATGAAGGAATTTTTAGTTCCCTTTGGGGAATTGGAAGAGTGTTGTTACTGTTTTTACTTTTCCTTAATGTGTGGCATCGCATCATTTTCATTCCTATTGTTCTGTTACCCTAGGATGGGCTATAGTTCTCACTTTCTTTACTTTGTATTCTTCCTCTATTCAAAAATAGGAAAAGAAAATTTGTTTTTTTTATTTGGAAAGACAATGATAGCATAACATATTTTTTGCACCAAAAAACATGCATGCACGTGCTAAATTTGTACTTACCGGTATTCCCAAAGCTTCAGGATTCACAGGGACATTGAAGGGTTCAGCAGCATCCATTTTCATTACCTTCTTTATTATCTGTGAAGTGATAAATGAAGATAAATATAAGTACGGAGGCATTTAAGCACACTTTGAACTGAAACCCATGACACTAGATTAAAGATTTACATGACCCAAAATAATCACGAAGATGCATATCAAAATTCTCAACATACCATCAGTGTGGTGTCTAATTCTTCCTTATTATATTGAGAATCTTGATCAGACATCTTTGGTTCTCTGTCGTACGGACTCTCACTCCGTGCAGGTACAGGATCAATACCATGATTAACACTAGACCCCAATGCCTTCGATGATTTAATCTTTATACTCCCAACTTTCTTTGACACATTCCCAGAAGCACCAATTTTTACTTCAGCCAATGAATTGGCACTATCCTCCATTTTCTCAGAAACCACACCTTGTTTTTCCAAACCAATTTGTTGGCTACTCTTATCCGTATCACTTTGTGTATATGCATCAGAAGAAGTAGGCTGAGATTCCATTGTTCTCGAAGTCCTAAGCTTCACTTTAACTCTACCCATGGATTTCCCGACCCCCCTATCAATCGAACCATCAGGATTAATATTGGCAAGATTGCAATGTTGATCTGTCCCAGTTGAAGAAGGGGTATCAACCTCCATTGCAGACTCAGATCTATTCTCGTAATTACCGTCTTCATCCAAATTTGCATCATCCTCCAAATTTACAATAACCCCACTTGAAAGTGCCTCATTTCCACCAGCCACAGACCCTTTAGGCTTTCCCTTCTTGTTCTTTCGCTTCCGCTTCATTTTCTAACCTAAAATTAAACTCTGAACACCTCACGCTGCCTGTAACCACAAAAGTAAGCTGAATTACTTGAATTTGCATTCCAATTCATTCCAAGAAAGAAAATAAAGGTCATGAAATATTTTCATATGAAAAATAAAAATTAAAAGCAACAAACAAACATAAATTTTAAGCATAAATTTTATGACCCAATATCCCACATTGGAAAAATAGCATATCTCATGATGGTTTAAGAGCACTCTTACTTTACAAGCCAGTTTTTAGGGGCAAGTTCTACAAATGGGCTCTTATCAATTGGTATCAGAGCATTGCCAAGCAACTGGGCCAAACTCTGCGAGAGGGGGAACCTGGGTAAAGATGATCAGTATTATGTATGGGCATATTATTGAGTCATTAAAATACTCATGGATGAGTGAAGCCGCCTCAAAGGTTGAGTACAGAAGCATGGTGGATACCGGATTGCAAGAGAAGGGTGTCTTTTAAACCATCCCAAGATATGCTATTTTTCCAATGTGGGACATTTCGTCCTAACAAAAAACTAATAAACAACCCGAGTCTCCGTTTCCATACACTGACAAACCGAACCCCCATAAATTTAATTACAACTGAAGAAAACAAAATGACCAAAGTTCCCAACAATTTGATCAACTAAAAAAAACAATAAAAATATAAACGGTCTGCGATATAAACAAATTCTTAATTTTACTCAAATTCTCCAAGAATTTCAATAATTTAAGAAGAACAAAATTATTCTTTTTTCAGCAATTTTCTAAGCCCTAACAACAAGTAAAAGAAAGAACAAAACTTCATTGAAAAAGCAAACAAACAACAGTAGAAAACCCTAGATTGATCAACATCAAGGAATTAATTTATACAAAGAAAGTATTAGTGGTATATCTTGCTAAGCGAGAACCGAATGGTCCGTTCGGAAATCGAATACAATCGCAATCGGTTAGCCATGAATACAGAAAACGAAAAAAAAACTAAACTTTAGACAAGCAAGAGAGGTACGTACCACTGATTGAAGGTAACGTTTCGGAGAAACATTTGAAAAAGGAGTGTAGCGCGAGCCTTTTTGGTGTCTGCGAGACAGACAGAGAGAGAGAGGCGGTGAGATTATTGCAATGAGAAGTATAATGTTGCTTGCTGCTGCTGGGCCTTCCAATTGGGCTAGAATTTTATTATTATATATATACTCGGTGACGCATAACACGCGCGAAGTGTGCGCGACTAGATATTTAAAAAATCAAAAAAGGGACCGCCGTATAGCCGCGCGGCTATACTATTTAAATATATATTTTTTAACGTAGGGCCGGACGGCTATACTGTTTACTAAACAAAAAATTTAAAAAGGGACCACAGTATTGCTGATCGGCTATACTATTTATTTAAAAAAATTGAAAAGGGACCCTAGTATAGCCGCGCGGCTATACTCGTCGAATAGCGGGCCTGGCCGCCGGCTAGACTTTAGATTTTTTTTGTATGGCCGTGCGGCTATACGATTTATTTAAAAAAAATTAAAAAAGGGACCGCAGTATAGCCACGCGGCCAGTCAGAAGCGAAATCTGGGATTGGGTGGCAGAATCTCAGAGAAAATAGGCCGACTTCAGGCGCTTCGAAAGCTCAGCCTCCACGACAACCAGATTGAGGGTCCGATCCCTCAGTCGTTGGGCTTCCTTCCAAGCCTCAGAGGAGTTCAACTATTCAACAATAGGCTCTCTGATTCTATCCCTCCATTGGGTTTTAGTTCAGACCCTTGATCTTAGCAACAACTCTCTCACTGACAAAATCCCAGATAGTCTTACAAACTCTACAAAGCTTTACGGGCTCAATCTTCTGAGCTACAATTCATTTTCTGGTTCTGTCCCAGTCAGTTTCACTCACATTCTCTTACCTTCCTTGCTCTGCAACACAACAATCTCTCTGGCCCCAAAAAAACACCCGAGACCCCAGAATATTACAAAGGAGGACAAATACATAATTACAGTGGGGTTTTTGTTCTCTTTTTTCTTCAGGCCATGGGGGAAAATAACAGAGGGGATGGGGGGAGCGAATGGGTCTGTGTCTGGGTTTTTTTGTTCTCTTTTTGTTCAATTTTTTCCAAAATAAAAATAAAAAGTGAACGGAGGTAGAAGAAGAGGCCAATAGAAGCCGACACCATGACAATTTTCCCCAACCCCAGCATACTGTAGCCAAATCATTCTCAGATAGAGACAGAGAAGGGGGAAACGCCCAGTTTTCCAGCTCTGAGAAGAAAAAAATCAACCCATGACAAGAGGAAGAAGAAAACTGGTGGGGAGAAAGAAGAAAAAAAAGAGAAGGAAAGGAAATAAAAAAGAAAAAGGAAAAAGAGAAGAGTGAACTGGGGGAGAGGAAGAAAGAAGAAAGAAGAACAGATGTCTAATCCGAAGTATTAAAATCATCCCATGGTCAAAAATAGAAACCAATTCGCATTGATGGACTCCGTAATGGAGAAGCTCCGATGCTCTTATATCCCTTGAGTTTATCAGTTACTAGTGGAACACATGTCCATGTAATTCATTCACACAACACATTTGATGCATCAAATGTAATATGATACTACCAACCAAATATCAACTTCTTGCCGAAAAACAAAACATAAAACATAGCTGATATGTACTTCATCTTCTAGGTCGGGTCGTTCGTGGGCGGCCTGAAAACGAACAAAAAGAATAATAGTTACCACATCCAACACTAAGGGAATTGGACCAAAAGAAGCTATACATTGATATTTATAGTTCAATTTTCCACATAATCAAATGCCTTTGAGGGAAATCAGCAGGAATTTGAAATACCCACATGATCAAATAATACCTATTTTGTATTAAAAGATTAGTAATACCAATTCAGACACCTCCAAACAACGAGTAGGACATTATTAGAATTACCATATCTTCAATCCTGATCCAAGTGAAATAACACGAAACTAATTTGAGGGTGCATCAAGAAGAAGCTAGTGGCATACTTGCTTCCATTTGATTTCACAATATATGGAGACAGTAAGGGGCAAATCTTCATGCAGTTTCGACACAGCACAGCGATAAAGACAGAGTATACACAATGCCAAATTTTCTCTAGGGAGATGTAGCACAATGTATTTGGGATCTTGCAAACCATGTGCAGTAACATCACATGATGGTGCACACTATGGTATTTGTTAAACCAAATCAGAAACTGAAAGTTTTCCATTTTTAATTACACAAGAGGAAGCAAACAATGGAAATGATGACAATTACACCTCCTATCACCGCTCTCACTGATTCTAGGAGGGTGAGTTATTCATGGACCAAAAGCTATTAGTACATATATGTCAAAAGTTATGATGGACAAAAAACACAATATGTTGCAACTCGAAAGGCTTTTTTCTCCGAACAAAGAGATCATTGAACAAAACAACACACATAAACTCAACCTTCATTGAGGCCCCAGCATTGGGTATACTTCTTTCTCAATGAAGAATTATGAAACAATCGAAATATTGTGGTGCCTGACTCATATTCTTCTTCCCTACTTTTACCAAACAAGACAAACGCAGAATTCTCAATTCAAATGAGTCACACTTCAATATAAATTGTTCAAAGATTGTAATTCCATTTTTCCAAAAACCCTATATGAGAATTCTTTATAAAGTAAGTAATCAAAGATGCATACCATTTCGGGAGGGTGAAATTTCAGTACGTCTCTCAATCTGGGCCGGGGAGTGCATATGACTCATCAACTGTACTAGTAAACCTTCAAAGCGATTCATTTGAGCTGATACCAAACCCTCAACCCGACCAAGTTGCTCTTTCAAGCCCTGTAGCTCAGCAGCACTTCTTTGTTCAGACTCCTCTTGTCGCTGCTTTGATTCCTCAAGTTGCCTTCTGAGTTCATTAACAGTAGATGACGACGACGATGATGGGCCCCATAACTCTTTGGGGGTTACACCATCCCCGTAACCACGCACCCGACTCGAACGCTCAGGTCCAAAAACCTTTACAAAAATCTCGTCTTCAGTCATCTGTGAGTTCTCCGCAGATATCTGAGTATAAAGTTTCTTGAGCTTTGACTGCATTCAGAAAATGGAACCAATATGTACAATGGAAAAAAAAACTTAAGAGAGAGAGAGAGAGAGAGAGAGAGAGAGAGAGAGAGAGAGAGAGAGAACCAAAACTATATATATTTTTAAGAGAAGCATACTATTAAATTAACTGAAAATTAGGTGTGCTTGCATATTCAATTTAATTTCGGGATCAATATATACCAATGCCTCCTGTGAAGCTGGATTTGCAGCTAGTCCATCAGGCCGCACATGGGTGAGCTCCCATAGGAGGGTACGTCCAGGGTCATTTCCAGTTTTCTTTCTCTACCATGGGACAAACATAAAAAACTAAGAATGATGAGAAACAAAATAAAATATTACTCAAGAAGTGAATAGTCATACCTCTTCTTCGCGGATTTGCGAGAAACTCTTGGAGCCAGATGTGTGGATTATGTTATTTTTGGAACCATTCTCCTTGTTTTTCATACTCATTGACTGCATTCAAGGAAGACCATGAATGTATAAAAATCTAAGGAGAAAACAGAGTAGGGATAACTGAAAGGAAAATTGGAAAAAATGTAAAGTTTCTTTCATCCTCAATATTTTCCTTCATATGCAACATTTTGTGGTACCTGCCATTCAGGTGAGCTCCACAGGTTTATAAGATACTGCCAATCATCGTCCGCAACATTTGGTGGTACTTTTTTCCGTGCTTCCTCAGTTGTCTCACACGTTTCATACCACATCTTCTTGAGGTGATGCCGATAATTGTGGTAGGATCTATGAATCTGATCCAACACCCATGTCATGTGATCTTCGACTTTGAAACGCTTCTGAGAACATGAATGAAGAAATATTACAAAATAAACATGCAAAAATGAAGACTTAAGGGAACTACTTCCTTCAAAATCTTTTGTTGTACTAACCAACATATGTTCAAATGCCTTCTTTTTAATATCAAATGGGATTTCCTTCCATGACTTGACCTGAAGGGGTAGGTCCTGGGTTTGCCTAACTAGGGCTGTACACTCTGCTTTGAAAAACGTGGAGCTTTCACCTACAGCTCTCCGGTTCCTCCAGCTGATTTCAAATCTTTCCCCAATTGGAATTTGAGCTAGTTTAAGGTTACGGGTGGGCCCTCGTGTTCTCCTTTTCCCCATGTTAGAGCTTGTTAAAACTAAAAAAGAAAAAAACCAAAACTTAACGAAATTGAAACCAGAAGTAACCTACACTAATGATGAAAAATATAATATGCAGGCCTCATCCTAAGGAACTATCATAATGGAAAATTAAAATTTGCGGTCAATTTGAGTTTCGAAGTATATATATGCACCATTCATACACCGGTATATGGAAACTCCTCTACTTTATCTTGAAAATGAGTTAGGCACATATATAGCATTATTAATGAATTATTAATAAAAAAAAATACAAAAAAAAAAAAAAAAAAAAAAAAAAAAAAAAAAAAAAAATAAACCTTCCCTAAATAAATTCAAATGCATTGAAGATACTGATTCAGAAAAAAATTATTAAAAAATAATTATTATTATTAACAAATAAACTCAAATATAAATTTTTTTCATCATAAACACTATCATCTTAATAGAACATTATGAAAAAGTTGAATAATGATACATACAAAAGTTCAAAGGATTTATGAAGATACTGCAATCTTAGGGGCAGTGAAAAGAAGAATTAATCCAACACAATATGGTTTCCCTATTGGCTCCTTTACAACCAAAAGAAAAATGATAAATCTGTTTGTACACATATACTTAAGGCCAACGTTTGAACTTTGAAGAATTGATCAAAGCCAAAACATATTGTATCTAAACCACAACCATGAAACAGACAATGACTAAAGAGTTATTGTTCTAGCATGAGACCTATGAGGACTTTATAGAACAATTCAATAAATGCAATCTTTCTTGGTAAGTGATTCGAGCAACTGTAAAGTCTTGTAATCATTTGAAGACCACTTATTTCGTTGATATGCTTATCAGAGCTCAAACTCATCGAAGGCAATGTATGCATGAAATGCGTAGTTCATCAATTATTTATGGAAGACAGTCAGCTCTCTTCTAGCCATTCTAGCAACCTGCCTCTACCCCGAGATCACAAGTATTTCCAATCCGTTGTCAAACAGAAGGGATAAAATCTAAGATATATGAGATAGGAAAGAAAAATAAAAGGTTAAACTAAAGAATACCTCATAGCCAACAATTTTAGACCTTGAGAAGTCAAGATGAAATATGTGCTGATTCAAATATTCTGTAATCTTTTAATTAGTCTATTTGTTCGTAAGTGCTTATGCATGCAGGAATGGATCTTCTTTTATACTGTGCATAGAAACCCAAGTATGCAAATTATAATCTAACAAACAAACAAACAAATTAAGCGTAACTCTAAAAGTACTGCATACTGGGAATAGGAGCATGCCACCTCCCGGTACCCAACAAACCCAAACATACTGGGATCTTGGTAACTTTACCAATTGATATAGAACCTACTCTTGAATTCTTTTCTTTGGTTAATAACAGCAAAATCTCACTCCTGATGGTGATCACAGAATCAAAAGAGGCCATGCTGAAATGCACAGTAACAGAGACAAAATGAAATATGAGAAGGCAAACCAATATCTTACATACAAGGACAACCAAGGATGATATAATCAAGCATGCAAACAATATGGTACTTAAACGTAAACATATATCGACTGATATTTCCATGTAGTTTCCGATATCAGTGACTGTCAATGAAAAATGACAGATATCGACTTTAAAACATGGAAATTTAAATGAAACATCAAGAAATGTTAAATCATATAATATACTTTGTCTATCATATACCACAGCATGTAAAAAACAAATATATTTTATAGTATACTATGCCTATGATAAGTAAATGATATGTATATGAAAATAAAACTTGAACTACATATACCGTTATCGAGGGTTACTCTTGTATATGACGGAAATGATTTGACTTAATTAGCATTTTTAACACGGATTAGAGTGGAATTTTATCTGTTCTTCTTTCAGTTTCAGCAAATTGTCACTGATTCTGTCCAAATATCAGTGACGAGATCTGGGAACAGGAAAGAAATGGTTTCAACCCCTCTATCTATATTGGTGGCCAAAATCTTGATATGTTGGCAAGTAGGCATGTATTGGATGCATAAATGACATCCATCAAGTTTATCTATGCTAACTACCTCCCAAGTGAAAATTTATCACCAACAAGTTTAGCACAACAACTATCAAATTGAAGTAACAAAACAAAAGTAATGTTAAACCCTTACCACTACTTGTCCCTGGTTCTTTACTGCACAAACCAGCAGCTGTCCAATATGTCATGAACTTCTCCTTCACCCTTTTCATAAGGTCCAAAACAAAGTTACCCTCATTGTAATAGTTGCAGCAGTTCTTCCAAATGTATTGGACGTCCTTGAATACATCCTCTGAGTTCGTATACTTAGTACCATTTTCAAGATGGTTGCAAATTGTTCCAAAATCCATTGGTGTATCTATGACATCAAAGTAATCCTGGTTCCAACCATCAACACACCCCAGAAAAGAAAAAAAACAAAGAAAGATAAAACAGTAAGGGAGAGAAGAATTATGAAAGGAACATAGCAATGCATTTCAGAATAGATAAGACATCTATGACAGCAATGCTGCATTGTGGAACTGTCTAATTAGATCAGCTGAAGAATTAAAATCATCCCTAAGAAATTCAATATTTCCAACTTATTGTTTCAGGAAACATAATAAAACCTTAAAACCTTGCAGTTAACATATTTCTCCTTTTCAAATACATGTTATGCTACAGAATGTCCAGAACATGATATGAACCCAAATGTGCATTAACTTGCAGATATATATGTACATGAAAAACAGAGACGTACAATCCTCATAGAATATCCAAATCTTCCATGAACACACTATTGCATCTGCACCAAGAATTAAGTGCGTTTCAGGTTAATGCAGGGTCATTTTTGGTACTTTTGACCCTCACTTTGTAACCTTTGTCCTAGCAGTAGGTATTACTTATATTTTGCAACATAGACAAAGTAGAATAATATATGTATATACAATTACATATATAATCAAAAGTGATGTGTATATATACTTAAATGAAAACAAAACTGGTTTTTGACCAGCTTTTTAAATGAAGTCATATGTGTGAATGAAAATAAAAGGTTTTGCTCTCTCTAAAATCCAAGGTGTACTGAAAATTGCAAAATAGCATACTCATCGTAGTGCAAACAGATATAGCAAACCCAACAAACATATAGATATAGCTTGAAAGCTACGGATTTAAAGAGAATTGAATTTAAAAATAAGATCATCAAAATAAAACAGCTATACCACATATATGGTAGGAGTTGCTGGACATGAAAGGCACCTTAAAATTTTGGAATTACTATTAAAGTATGTTATTAAAAAGTTAATATAAATATGTACATATATATAACAGGTCATTGCAGAAGACTCGCGTTATTACAACAAAAAAATGATGTTTAAATTCAACCAAGTCATTTTTCCACTAAATTTACAAGCTTAGTGACTAGTCAAGCTTGTATCCCAAAGGAAATAGTTTGACATTGTAACTCAATAAACTTGAAGCTAGAACCCACAACAATCCCCTCTTAGAAGCTCGCAAAAGAAATAAGGGATTATTATTACTCTTTTTACAAAGAACAATAAGACAGATTCTGGAGCATGGTGCATCATAACGATTACCATATCATGTTATCACTCAAGAAAAATATTTATAAAATATGCATATTTCACACTCACATGTAATCTCAGAGCAATTGGATCCACAGGAATGTTGAAAGGTACAGCTGCATCCATTTTCATAACCCTCTTAATAACCTGAAAGGTGAAATAATTCGAGAACAGCAGTAAGTTCAATCACATTACGGATAATATGGTCAGAAAAGCTATCGCAACAAAATGTCTGGTTAGAAAAGCACTCCAATTGTTTACGAAAACCGAAAACATTTTGTTCCTTCCTATGAATATACAAAAGACTACACAACCTAAATCTAAAACTAAAATGTCACAACAGAAACCAATTACAGAATTTCCATCATACCGACAAAGAAGCACTCAATTCTTTCTTGTTACAGCGAGGATCATGAGAAGGAGCCTCTTGCTCATGCTGGAATCTACTCCAAGAACCAAAGACTTGCAATGGCTTAGTTTGTGCAACATCAATCTTCTTGGATGCGTCTCCCATCTGGAGATTCACTTCACCATACTTCCTAATCAACCTCTGCACTGTCCTATCCACGGAGCTCACATTTTGATCCTTGTACGACCAGTCACTCCCCATTGAAGAAGCAGAAGAATTGCCTGAATCAATCTCCATTTCAGGGTTAAATTCCTCATCGTTATGGTCTTCGTCATCAGATTGATTCCACCCAATATCATTTCCTTCAATATTTTGACTCACAAAATTCAAGAACGCTCCTTCTTTCTCATTGACCACCTTCTCACTGACCACTCTCTCACTTACCAGTCTCTCACTGACCACATTGGGTTTTTTTCGTGGCCTTCCCCTTCCCCTGCATGCTTGTTTGCGCCTCATGATCTACTAACAAACTTCACAAATTAAAAAAGAAAACCAATCAGTCAGAGCAAACTGGGTTACTCGAAATGCTCTCTAAGTAAGACAGGCTACAATATTTAATATAAGCAGTAATTATATGCTTACAAGCTTCAAAGTTTGTTAAATTCGTTCAAATAAGAGAACGAAAATCAGTCAGAAAAAATAATTAAAGAAAAAACTCTTGTTGTCACCAAAAAAGTTATTATCTTAGTCACAATGGAGCAGCATATAAGCTTAACCGCAGCCGTTTCACTTCACACTCATACAAATATACAAACAAATAGATATATAACGATTTTCCTTTATCTGAAGCAAAAAGATCGAAGACACATGTGTATGTAAAGTGAGAGTGAGAGTGAGAGTGAGACAGAGAAAGTTACCTTTGCTTGAATCAAATGGATCGTAGAGATCAGGCTTGGGAATAGTTGGGCATTTGGGGATTAGGGTTTGATTACTTTGTTTTTCACTGGGATTTTGGTTTGCAGGGACTAGCACACAGACTCGTTGCTCCAAGTGTGCGCCAAAGGAACATGCCGCTGCTAAATGCTAGTTTGCATTTTCCTTGACCACGGTAATGCCGCGACCATAGCGGCCACCAAAGGCAAATAACCATGGTTAGTTTTTGTAACCAACCAACCACATTATTGTCATTAAGAGCAAGTCCAGCGGATAGCTGAGCCCAAGGCTGGGGGGGGGGCCGGAAATTGTTTCCAGCGGTCAGCCCAGGCCCGGGGGAGGTGTGGGACCCACCAACTTGGTCTGGCTCGAAAGTAGCTTCAGCCCGAGGTTCAAAACGTGGGGGGTGACATCACGCTCGACGTTAGGCTGACGTCGCACGCGCCAACGATAAAAAAAATTTAAATCAGCGTGCGCTAACATCAGCGCGCGCAACTCCAACGGTTGGAAGGAGAAAAAAAAAAAAAAAAAAAAAAAAAAAAAAAAAAAAAAAAAAAAAAAAAAAAAAAAAAAAAAAAAAAAAAAAAAAAAAAAAAAAAAAAAAAAAAAAAAAAAAAAAAAAAAAAAAAAAAAAAAAAAAAAAAAAAAAAAAAAAAAAAAAAAAAAAAAAAAAAAAAAAAAAAAAAAAAAAAAAAAAAAAAAAAAAAAAAAAAAAAAAAAAAAAAAAAAAAAAAAAAAAAAAAAAAAAAAAAAAAAAAAAAAAAAAAAAAAAAAAAAAAAAAAAAAAAAAAAAAAAAAAAAAAAAAAAAAAAAAAAAAAAAAAAAAAAAAAAAAAAAAAAAAAAAAAAAAAAAAAAAAAAAAAAAAAAAAAAAAAAAAAAAAAAAAAAAAAAAAAAAAAAAACAATTGGTTTGGTCGTGGTGCTGAGATAAAACCAATCCAATCCAGATCGTGCCTACCCATGGGATTGTTGAATTTAAGAGGGAACGACGGTCAATTTTTTGTGAAGTCTATTTAATTCCCATTGAGAGGAAACTTTATGTTTCTCGCACTCCAAAAAGCAACAATATATTGGGTTGAGTAAGTTTCCTAATTTAAGTTACTTCACCTGTGGTTTTTTAGTACAAAGTGTACAAGATGATCTTAACACAAAGTTTACATGCAACCAAAATACAAAACAGGCAGCAAGTTTCTTTATTGCACCGACGCTGATAGTATTAACAATGGCAATCCATACTTTTGGGACATAAAACATAGTTTACATGCAATCGTTCACAAATTTCCAACCATTAAATTGACATCTACTGCTTACAAATGCTTCCGGTGTTTACGAACTCAGTTGAGAAATTTGAATCACCAATGTGTACTGTAGGCTGTGAAGAATTGGCACAGGGGTATAACCCTTGAAATTTGGATCAACAATATCTACTGTCGGCTTTGAAGAATTGGAGCAAGTGTCCGTCCCAAGAATAGTGGAACTGGTTCAAAGATAGAATGTTTACCCTGAACACAAGCCCTGATCACACGTCTTCTTTAAGATTCCGCAGAAGTCCATCGTAAACATCTGACAGAGTTACAGTTTTCCTCTCAGGGCAAATCGTATTTACATGTCCAAGATATAGACCACAAGCAGGCGCCATGGGACTAGCAGCAGTCACTGTCTTCGCATTCAAGATCCTCTCAACTGAAAATTCCATTTTTATCAGGAAAGCAAAAACTGTTAGTTCATTCATTACAAGAAAACAATCAAAATACAAAGAAATTTTTTTAAATAATAATAATAATTTTATGCACCCCACCATCAGGTACTTTTAAATCTCCAGTCCCAACAGCTTTCAGTACACCAACAAGCAGTCTAACCTGCATAAATCTCAACAATCTCAGTAAACAGGTCCGGAACGACTTCAACTGAGGGTAGGACGACGGACTACAATAAGACTCCAAGATGAATTTCCAATACTTTGAGCTACAACTCTGAATTTCAGTTCGCATCAGTTGGAAAACAAAAAAGAAAAAACAAAACAAAAAACTTTGCCCAAAAATAATTGAACTGTTGAAGCTAATTAGACGTTTCTGTAGAATTCATACCACAGTGCCAAATGGGGCACAAATACCCCAGAGACCAACTATGAATGCTCAAAGTTGCATAGGCATTTACAACATAAAAAACTAGAGAACTCAGAAATGAGAAAAGGATAATGTTTAAGCCAAAGTAAACAAACTTTTATTTAGATGTATGCTGCAATTGAAACCCTGTTAATTATGTCTATTCATAAGTCACCTAATGAAAAATTTGTAGGTTATTTTACGGGGTACAGTGTTAGGGGACCTGAACACTATAAGAAGCTATAAAGTATAAACTCAAAAGTAACCAAAAATAAAACAAACTCAAAAAACATGACCGTCATCCTAAGGGCGGAAATCTAGAGAACATACTGCAGGCCATTAAAGTAATCATTAAAAATTTGAAGTTTAGAAAGCAGAACCTACGCTAGAGAACAGACTGCAGGCCATTAAAATATCATAAAAATTTGACGTTTAGAAAGCAGAACCTCGACCTGGTGGTATAGAAAAGCGCGTGCTCGTGCTGTTACCACAAAGCAACAGTGTTTTTTTCTCAAGCCAAATCCTAGATCAGCCCCTCCATTGAAATAGGGGGTGGGTCAGTCTCAGATTTGTTCATGCCGGCATGAGGATTTCCCCTAAATGTTTTGTTTCCTCTCCATTATGATGGAAAGCAAGGAGTTGACACTACCTCAGACACATTAAGTTCATCTAATGTTCTGATTGGTGATTTGGCCTGTAAATAACGTAGTTTTAAAACATTACAATAGTCTTTTCCTTAAAAAAAAGCATATTTAGAGAACGTCCAACAGACAGGCAATAAAACCACAGAATATGCAAGACAAGCTAGATTGAGTATGCTATGGTACAATGTCAATAGCAAGGCAGCCAACATGCGTTTAGATATATATAAAGATGTCAACTCATAGAATAACATCACCAACAAGAACAAGAGCAAGGCAGCCAACATGCATTTACCAACAATTTGGAGGTAAGGAACAACCTGACAACCTGCTGCCCTAAAGGAACTAAAATCATGATGTCCAACCAGAACCTTGCATGCTTCCTGCATAAATGCAATTGCATTGGACATGATAATCTAATGACCAGATATATTTGAAGCAAGCATAATATTTTGAAAACTGTTAATGAACCTGCATAGCTCGAAGATTCAGCTCTTCTGGTACATGCCATGCCCGGTCTTTTTCAAAGGTTGACAAAGGCTCTGCCCCAGACAGCAAGCGGTAGAAGTACCTGAAGAAAATTTGAATGAAGCAAATCAAACAATTTTCCTATATGGTTCATTAAATATGATCATACATAAAGCAGGCCCAACTACATCAATATTACTGTCATGTTAAATATTTTTACAGTAATAGCTTACTGTAACTCAACCATTGGAAGGTTATGATTCATTCTACAGCATTTTCTCTGGTGGATACCACCATGCTGTGTGAAATGGCACCTAGCTGCAACCTAGTTTACATTTACCAGACTAACTTCAAAGTTATACACTCAAGTCAAATGTGTATAGAAAAATCTGCATGGGTACCATTAATAACACAGACATGAGTCCCAGGACCTTAGATTGTATATTATTTTTACATAATTTTAGATTCATGAGTACCTACGTGCGCTCTTGGGCTTTATATCGAGCATGAAAATTAGCTGGGACACTGCGAACATCAATCACCGTTACGTCACCTTCATTCTTCTGATGGAACAAAATAAAGTGTCAGATCTCATCATTAAAGCAAAACTTCAAGTATCAATTGGCTGTGGTTTCAGATCCGCAATTCCAGATATATAGTCAAACTGAGTTTCCAATCTGATATTTTTGTGTTTCAACAAATCAAAACAAACCACACCTGTAAGAAATGATTCACAGCTCTTTTGACTACTGCAGGTTCATGGGGTTCTAACTGCACTTCAACAGAAATAAAAGTAACTTTTACAGCAACCAGAAGTGTTCAAATACGACATCTTCATAATTCTTCTACCTTATCCGGCAGACACAAACTACAAAGAAAATTTAAATTTTTAAAAAGTGACCTGAAATAGAACCATTGATTATTGGGCATTATTACAAAGCCCAAATTACTTAAAAGAAGAATGTTTAGCAAAACTAAACTAAAATCAACTTTAAAACAAATACAACAAAAAAATTTCAAAATGCTTTGAGATTTCCATGTGGATGCATGTAAATTCATACAAACTATCATATCAAAATACAAAACCGTTGGTAAAGTGATTCAGGCAATGGCATAAGGGGAGTGACACACACTAGGACACTTCAACAATCTTATATCATAGCCACAGAGCCAAGAGAAACTAGAGAAGAAATGCTTCAAAACTTTATGTTAACTTGCCAAAAACTTGGAAATCTGACTATAATAATGTCAATTATGTAAAGTGTTGTTGACTCGTAATATAATCAAGGTTTTTTCGGAGGATGAAGAAAGCCTGCAAGAAATCTGAGTAAAAGTCCCACATAGGAAAGAGAATAAAGATGGATGAATTTATAAAGTGACACCTCATACATGTGGTACTCATGAAATTTTGTGTGCAGTCAATTATAAATATTTGATGTTATCACCACGTGACTGCATGATAATGCAGGATCGATATTGTGATCGTCAATTGGACTAACCTTGTGGCAAATTGGACAAAGACAACAGATTGTGATCATGAAGATGATGTGGTGCTTGAGATCAAATCAAGTTGGGATTTGATGAAGGATTTATTTTTAACAGGAGAATAACTAACAATCTGACTGCCAACCATCTTGAATTTCAAGACTCAAACTTTAAATGACAACCACAGTAACTAGCTACATATTCAGTCGTTAAATAATTTATAGTAGAATGTTGCAGTGAACTAACTGAAGGACTCAAATCAAAGCTAGATCTACCAATCAAGATTCAAATGAGATTTGAAAACCAAATTAAATAGGAGTGATGTTGTTCAAACATAGAATCAATTGCATGAGGAATTGTAGTGTTAAAGTACACATAACCCTGTTTAACAGGTACCAAAAGTCTATATGCCCGTAGAACTCCCCATTGCAACACATTCCCAATCAATTCTCACTCTCTAGTTCATAGAATTAAAGTCAAAGGCTCTCCTAAACTACAAAAAAAAATGCTCGAAAGAAAGGTTCCCTCTGGTCCAAAAGACACGATATGCAAAATGCATCTAAACTACCCCATGGGACCTGCACATACTCAAAAAAACAACTATTGTTCCTTTCTTTCCTTTCCTTTACACAAGGGAGCTGTAAGCCAACAATATCTAAACTCCCTACTAACTTTGTAAACCCTGTAGGACCATAAGAAGTCTCTTGTTGATCTAGGAATGACCCACCACACCAAAAAAGGCAAGGAAAGAATCCCACAATTCTATGGTCACCTGGCAGTGTAACATGAAGTGGTGAACTGATTCCTCTGAATTTTACCAGATGCAACAAAATGATCCTCCCCTTCTCCAGGTTATCAGAGGCAATAATTCTACCCGAAGCCGAATACCAAAATAGGGATATTAAAAGACAAAAACTATCATGTACACATTTTCTTCAACTAAGAAGTCTTTGAAATTTACGTGCAATTCAAAAGTATGCTGCTTCTGTAACAGATTGATCAGACAACATCAAATTTAACTGTGACCTCAGTGGAATGAGACAGCTTCACCATGAAGTGATTATATCACAGACCTTCAAATCAAAACCACCAAATGAATCTTGAAGGTAAAAATAAGAAAGAAATGGGACTTCTCAAATTGGTTAACTCAATTTTTATTTTCCTTTATTTGTTAAGAAGAGGAGTTTTACTATTTCCTCACTAACCCCATAAATCTGAGAAAAATAAAAACAAAAATTGAGTTAAAACTTCATTTGTCCTATCCATTATATGCAGTGCATAGATGATATAATATACTAGCTTTAAAAATGACATACCACTTCACCAGGCTTCCTTTTGCTTATGCGCTCAACATCTACATGACAAACATTCGACAAGGCATGGACTCCTGCATCCTGCAACAACAAAAAACAGAATGCATCCACCTCATTTCCCACCAAATGTAATGCATGCTAGAAAACAACTGCAACAAAGTGGCACTTAATACTAGTAATCCTAAAGTGTTTAATAAGATTAGAAGGAGAAGAAAACAGTGGTAATAAACCCCAAATACAAGAAAGTCACCAGTAAATACAAAATAGACTTACAGTTCGACTTGAACAGAATATTGAAACCGGCTGGCCAATAAATTTCTGAAAAGCCTCCTACACAAGTAAAAGAACCACTTGATTTGGAATAAAAATAGCATTTTGAATAAAGCATAAACCGCAGCTCAAGGATCCCATTAGTTGCAGAGACGAGGAAGGAAATGAAAGGACAACAGAACTCAAAAGTAACGAAATTTCCACTAGTAACCAAAAACATAATATTCATAAATGTAGTTCTCTAATTTATTTTTTCGTATTTTCTATCAGCACCCAGACAGAGAAAACAAAGTATCATAAATATTAAACACCTATGTGTCTAACTTCCTCCATTTTCTCACCAACCAAACAGAAATCAGAGCACAGTATTATTTCATGAACTTCTGTCTATTGATTTTCCATTTGCAAACGAAGCTAATAAAAGTCAAACTTTGATCAAAGGCTAAAACGACAATGAATGAATCACCTCAAGAACGCCAACTACTGTACGGCAATTGGACTGTTGCTGAGACCCCGAGAAGCGAGTCCCAATGTACTCTATTGCGAGTAGATACCGTTGAATTCCAGGGCGTTGGCTCATCGATTCTGGTTGTTGTTGTTGTTGTTGTTGTTGTTGTTGTTCGTCGTCGCTGAGATCGTCGGTGGTTTTGGAAATCTTTGAAGGTCTATGCGGAGAATGGGAGCTACTGATACTATCTAGTGAGTGCTTCAAATTTTCTGTCATTGATTTTCGAGCAATTTCTCAGGCCCCGAACAGTAAATTGGAGTCTGCTAGGGTTTTGCGAGTGTGAAGTTTCGAACGTTAGGAAAACAGGGTTTAAGGGCTTTAGCTACTGTTTGGATGCAGGACTATATCAAACCGAAAGCAGGATTGACAGTAAATAAGAAAATGCCTCTGTACTAGTTTACCTTTTTTCTTCAATTGCAATTTGCATGTATTGCGTTGGACTGGAGATGATAATCCAAAATGCGTTCGGTGCGAGTCCAATACTTTTTTATATATTTTTAGACTATGTTTAACGGCGTTGTACTTGACTTCTCCGGTACCGATATAGTTTAGGCTTTCTAGCTAAACACAAATCATCATGGAATTGGAGTGACATAAGCTTTGAGATTCAAGATAAGATCACGGCGAGACAAGCCGTTTATAGACATCCATTAATTATGATTTATGATATCAACTAAGTTTACCATGTGATTGTGATTAAACTCAAATGGTTGTGATTTATAGACATCAATTAATTATGATTTATAAAGTTTCTTTCTTTCAATTTTATGGATCTACAAGTTATGTTTCTTCGTTTCTCTAGTGCAATGATTTTCTCACAAAAACGCAGACTGTTCAATTAATAATCAATCTGTTATAAGAGTGGGGAAAAAAAGACAATTATTTCCCAGACTCCAATTGTTCACCAGAAATTCAACTTGAATCACTACTACTCACCATCTAACTGACCCAAGAAACTAAAAAAATAAAAATAAAAACTAAACACGCACACCAGCTAGATAGAAAACCAGGAAAGAAAAATATAACATAGACTGAAAAACAAAAACAAAAAAGAGAACCAAGAAACAAAATCTCTAGACCTAAGGTGCTTTGACTAACTCACAAAATGCCTAAAGTGCAGACGAGGAATGTATCCCATTCCTCATCCATCATGGGCAACCATTGAGGGAAAGATTTTTGGTGAGTGAAATGAGAGATGCTCGATCGGAAGCCATCCTTATTCCAGCTGATTCATCATCAACGTTTCTCCCTCCTGCATTTATATGTTTCTGCAAAATGTGGCAATGAAGTGAGAAATTCAAACTCTACTTTAACAGCTATTTAGATTATAAAGAAAAGTAGGAACATTTAAGCATTAACCCAAAAAAGTGAACAATAGAACATTTCATTTCCACTATTTTTTGTCTGAGTGGAATCTCCAAAACATCATTCAACTTTAGAGGAAAAATATCTCAAAGTGAAAAAGTGCTCTTGTTCTATTGTTCACTATTTTTTACGGATGAAGATTTCATCACTAACCACAACCAACCGAACAAGCCCACCCCTTAAAAACATCAGCAAAATACCCTTCAACCCTAATCTACCTTTTTCTATATCATTTTTTTTTAATGAATGGTAACTTAAACCTTAATCTACAATATAATTGGAACAGCCTAATATATGCCAATAAAATACAAATCAACCAAATAATAGTCATGGGACACATAAGCATAAGCAGCAGTGTTTACAGTGTCCCGGGTTTAGTGCATTGCTTGCTAATAAGAGAATCAAATAAGGATGTAGATGTAGTACCCAATATTAAACCAGGAAAAACAGAACTTACAGTAATATCATTATTGTCATAAGTTTCCATCTTCAAAGTTGCAGGCTTACTGCTCCTCCTGGCTTTCAGAGACTTCTCTCGATCCTCATAGAAATTAAAATCATCTAACAATGATGTTTTAGCTGTGTGGCTTTTAAATATGTTCAGCATTTCCAAACCTTGCTTCAGTCCAATCTGAAAATTATAAAACACAAAAGAAAAGTCTAAATAATAAACACAACAAAAACAATGGAGCAGAGAACAATCTGAACATCCAACAGAGAAAACAAGAAAAACGAAAAATAATTTCCACATCATGCATATAGCACAACCTTGACTTAAGGACCAAAATGCATAATTTAACAGACTTGTAATCAATGCAAACTATGTTTCAATGCAAAAAATAAAAAGAAACACAAAAAAACAAATCCAAAGCAAGACTTGAATGAAACATAATTTACACATCATACGTATAGCACAACCTCAACTTTAGGACCAAATATGCTTAATAATTTAACAGACTTGTCATCAATGCAAATTATGTTTCAGTGTTTTAATGCACAAACTAAAAAGAAAATAACAAATCTAACCAAAGCAAGACCTAGCAAAATTTCATTAGTATATAAAACAAAGTTATTTAAAATAAAATGTAACCAATGGAAAACAAAAAACAAAGTAGTACCTCTTGAGTGTCCCGGGTAAAAGTTACAGGTCTGTTATCATTATTTTCGAGGATAATATGCCGCAATTGAGTGTTAGGTATGTCCTTTATTACATGCCATTTTACTGGGAAGAAACCACTCCACTTGTCAACTTGCCAGAAATCCATATCTTTATTAAAATCCACCTGGCCAGCCATCTCAGCTAGGCCAATAAACTGTCCACTTCCATTTACCTGAGAATGAGAATAAGAGTTCAATCTCATTGTATTACCGAGCATGCCACATAACAAAAAACTCAATAACCCAAACAATCAAGAGATATTAATGTGAAAATGTGTGACATGGATCCCACATCCTACAATGTCAATTCATATCAATTATTGCATATATCAAACTCACCGAGAAGAAGAGGAAGATGGGACACTGTGTGCCTGTCTCCCTAGATTTTGATTCAGCATCACGAAATGACGCATCTAGTTTTTTATTGCCGTTTGGAGTGCTGGCCCAAACATCATATTTAATGGACTTATGGACGTCATCCTCACTGTAAGACTTGATGACATAAAACTTCGCTTTTTCATAATCAGTCTGAAAATCTGGTAGATTATATTGATCTCTATGGACTGTAAACGATAGTTCTTCCTTCTCAATTGCTGAATCTAAAGGAGCACTCTTGTTTCGGGACCTTGGACCACGTGTCAGCTCAGTTGAGGATTCAAAATCTTCATTCCTGTTAAAGTTTTCCCTGGACTTAAATCTATCATTTCCATTCGAAATTCTCGCATTAGATTTGTAGTTCATGTGACCATTTGGAGGAAAAAGACCATACTTCTGGTTAGCAAATGATGAGAACCTTCCAGCTGGGTTGTACCCCTTCAAAAGACCCGCTGAGAAATCATTGCCCAAATGCGGTACCTGTAGAATAAAATTCAAAAGATCTATATCAACATTTCGAAGGCTATTCATGTCAAGCAAATACAATACAACACAACATCCTATTAATGGTCTAAAGCAAATGCAGGAATCTTCTCTAACACTTAAGCAGCAAAGCCACCCACTACAGTAACAAATAAAGTGAAGCTATGAGTTGAATGCAAACGTGAAAAATTATAAAAACCATAAAGTTACCGAATCAAAGTTGCACAGAAAAATTATGCAAACTGCAAACCTTGTTTAATGATTTGAAGGGTTGTGTATGAGGGAGAGACTTGGAAAATCTGCTTGGAAGATTGCCATTGGTTTTAGTCGAAACAAAGCCACCCGACTTAGACAAAGCAGCAGAACCTGGACCGACCTTTGCATTTCCAAAACCAGAATTCGCTGCAGTAGAGACGTCTCCAACAAATGTTGAATCCCATGAATAACAAGGCGCAGCTTCTGAACCATAGGAAACAGGAGGTTGCATATATCCTGAGGAAGGAAAATACTGCTGTTGACCAACACCTTGGCCGTCAATTCCCATAAGAGTTCCCGGGGCATATGGGTTATAGCCCGGAAGATAATAGACCATTGAACCATTGTCTGACTGCACACCCTGGATCAGAATAAAGGTGATAAGAATAAAATCATTTTATGTTCAACCAGTAACGACAGATTCATGATAAAATTTGATCTTCCAAAACCTGATTGACACATAGAAAAAGGAAGAACATACCGTATGCTGATTATTAGCATGTAAATAACCATGATCATCCATCTGTGTAAACGATCCATTATAACCTGCTAAATATACAAGAGTTTCATTTTTTATTTTATTTTTTTGACGAAAATGAATATACAATGAAGAATTCATAGGTAGTTTAACTAAAAGTACAAATTTAACAAACAAAATTTTACAAGATGCACTCTTCTTAAATGCTTTCAAGTTTTTTTATTGCATACACTTCCAAAAAAGGTTTTCATGTTTTTTACTGCATACACTTCGAATAAAGGATTTCATGTTTCTAATGATATATACGACTTGAGAGTTTCAACAAACAAGAACTGTATTACATACGCCATTCATAAAGGGTTTCATGTTTCTACTGTATACTTCAGTCTCAAACTGATAGCCTTGTTACTCTAGTCCAGACTAGTAACAGCCAATTCACCCCTTATCACACCCAAACCCAAGAGTGGGGGAAAATCTGACTGAGCATCCCAAACTGTCCAAATACGAATATTCAAAAAAGTACGCCCAATTGACCTACTGATATTTACCACCCTGTCTAAGACAAAGTTTACTCTTCTGCCAAGAGTAGATATAGAGGGATAACAAAACACCACAATTTTTAGTAAGGTAGTATAGTGTTCCATTAAAGGAATATATTTTAGTATAGCAAGAAAAATATTATTTCGTTTTGTGCCATAACTACAATGCTCTTTCCATTTATTGACTTGAGGTCCAATTAGACACTAAATACTTCTTTTTTCAAAGGAAATATACAAAGTCTTGAGGCCAACTAGAACTATATACCATTAAAAAATCAGATTAAATACAAAAAATCATTTTCACATCTAACCTGGGTAATAATAATTGTAACAGCTAGTAGGTTGATAGTAAACACCATGCTCTCCAACTGAATCTTGATCAGTCTCACCTTTGATGCTAGAGTTGGAATCCAATAAAGAAGACATGGAGGGGATTGGATCAGATGGTATTCCGTCTTTTCCAGATACCTGCAAGAGAAATACAAGAAGAACAATGGCAAAGAAAAAAATTATAGTTGAGCGAAAGTCCACACATTAACTTAAACTTGAGCTCTCACCAACAAAAATAAAAACAAATATATATAAGGAAAAAAAAACTATCTAATTGAATGAGATAGAACAATCCAAAAGAAAAATCGATATACAAACCCAAGTCAGGTCAGTTGTATTCAGACCCAGACCATAAAGTATGCAAGAAAATCCAAATAAAAAAAACTCAATCTGTTTGGGTTCATTCAGGTCTTGAGGTACAAAAGATTAAGAATCCCAGGTGGCAGCTTATAGTCATTTAAGCCAACAACTATACTTCCAACAACCAAAACTAAAGCTCTACCCTTCTTTCAGCACCATAAGTATAAACATCCCAACTTACAGTCTGAAAATTTCATACTTTAAGCATGTGAAACACGCTTTCATGCACATCAATGACTGCAGTCTTAGCAAAGTTGGTACTAATCGACAACAACATCAAATAAATTTACAAAACAGTAAGCACAGATAGAAATAACGGGATAAGAGGGAGGGGACACACATGATCAGAGAGAGAGAGAGAGAGAGAGAAGGTGAAGGTTAAAACACTAAGAAAGGGAATATTTGACATACCACTTCTTGCTGACTCAATCCAGTAACAGAATCTGCCGTCAGTACAGTGGATATAGGCTCTCCTGAAAACAGACAGTCAAGAAAACAACACAACTATAAAAACAGAAAACTTATTGCATCCAAAGGAATATTTCAATCAAGTATGCAGAAATTGAAATCAATTGGTCCATCATTCTGAACAAAATTTCAAACCAATCATCACATTGCATAACTCTGGAAAATCCAACAAATGATATTTTAGTACGGAAATCATACGAAAGAAACATTCAAGTGTTAGCATCACTGCACCAGAAGACTGCAAGATGATAAACAAAAATTGCAGCCTTAAACTGAGGGAGAAAAACAACGGTTTCTTTTTTTTTTCAGCAGTACCAATTAAATACAACTGTAGTAACAAAAGAGAGTTCTGCTGCAATATAAACAACCCATGAACTTTTTTTCGTGAAAGCTCATATCTACAGCTTTGAAAATTATTTGCAGCAAACACTTCATTGAATAAATTAAAAGAACCCGGGAAATTCTTTCAACCTAGGAACTATGCAATCATGACTCTCTACCAAAAGTTCAAGGACTTGGTGAATAATTAACTAAAAGAACAAATAAAATACCTTTCTCAATTTTCTTTTCGCCAGCCATTACCAATCCTTAAACACAATTCAAACCTAGAACCGAACAACAGGAAAAACAAAAAACAAAAAAACAAGGGTTAGTAACAAGGGAAAGCACTATTCTCTCCTCCTAGTGCTTATAGAAGCCCAGCTGTGTTGCCCTAACTGATTAAACTTTCCAATTAAAAAAATATAATTATTGTAATTATAAATTCACTATGAACTTAACCCTTAAGTTTTCTTTATTTAAAATTTGACCGAAAAATAATAGTTTTCAAAAGAGATTTAAAAAATAAGAGGGGGCAAATTATGCAAGAGGCGTACAGTAGCAAAACCAAGAAATATTCGATTCTGCCTTGGAAAACATTAGATTCCCCTATTCCTTCATATAACGACATGTGGGTCGTCTTCCTTTATTTTTTTCTTTCTTTAAAACAAAATTAGAAGTTTTACCCAAAAAAATCTCAGCGGAAAATTACGAGGACAAAATAATTATATTTTTAAACGAAATATCTCAAAGTGAAGATATTTTTCAGATAAATTCGGAATTCTTGTTTTCCAAGATTTGCTAAAATCAATACAAATAAGAAAGATATTTTCAATTTTTCTTTTCTTCTTTCCCAAGAAAATTTGTTTGGTTTCGACGATAATACAAGCAGAAAAGCCAAAAAGGAAAAAAAAACACTAAATAAAAGATATATCATTTATCAAGAAAAGAAACCAAAGCGAAAAAAGCGAAAATTATTTATGACAATAAATTTTCGTTAAAAGAAAAAAAAAAGATATGCAGAATTTAGAGGCTTCCTTCATCTGTTGAAACGAAAACTGAACTAGAACGGCAAGCGTTTTGAAGAACCAAAAAACCTTAAAAGAAACGAAGTGAGAGAAGAAACGAACCTAAGAAACGCGGATCGAAACAGCAGAAGCCGATCTGCGATGAAGGAAGAACCGCTTTTGCGATTGAGAAAAGCGCGGCGGTTTTCCCACAGAGAGTGAATTGAGTGAAAGGACTGTTTGTGTAGAAGAAGAAGTGGGAGAGGAACCGGCACTGACGCACTGTGTGTTGTAAGCCCTTAAGAAATAAAGGAAAGATCTGACGGTCACGATTAGTTCCTAGTTTTTTGAAGAACGCTTTTGGACCGTCGGATTAGCGAGGTCAAAGAAGCGGGTGCCGACGTTTTGGGAATTGGGCCTTCTCATTAATTTCCCGTTTGTCGTTTGGAGGGATTTGAAAATTTGTTACTTCGGGTCTCCATTTTTAGCAAGGCTTCCCTTTTGAACCCAAAAATTTGATGTCATCTTTTACCTTAAATTTGTTGTCAACAAAAAATTCTCAAATTTATCCTGGAGACAATACTTTTTTGGTCAAATCCTGGAGACAATTTCTTCATAACAAAAATGTAAAAATTCACCAAACCAATCACCATCTTCACAACAGTAAGCATTCACTATTCACCGCGCACTTTTATTACCAACATATAATTTTACGTGGAACTTTTTACATGTGCTATTTTCTCATTAGTTTCCTTTTAATCTTGCCATGAACTGCATTATACTCAATTCCCAATCGTATATGTATATATGCATAATCCTATATGGTTAACTTCTTGCTTTTGGGTTTTTTTTTTAGGACATTTCCTATTTAGAAGGGCAATAATTTACTAAATTCACACACATTACACGCATGCTATGACTTAAACTCAAAACCTTGCCTGAATGAGCTAATTTACCTTTTCGATATGAATGCATTTAAGATACGACGTAATAAGTGTTTTTGCAATTTAACATTAAAAAAAAAAGTTATAGTTCATACTTCGTAAAGGTAGGAGTCACGCTAAATTTTATTTATTTATAAAAAGACTTCACTATTGCTTTGCCTCCTCTACTATTTGTCAAATCTTTCTTTACTGTATACTCTAGAGAGTCTCACTTTATCCCATATACTTTTTACTTTGTGTCTCAGTTTACACCATTTCTTGTCTCAGTCAATGAAACTGTTAACTTCTTGTTGTGCCATGAACATTTTGGTAATTATAGTCACTGAAAAAATAATTAAATTAAACTCATTTGGTATTAACTTATGTAATATTATTTCATCAAGCATATTATAAACTTAAGCACTTATATTAAATCAGTTTGAATAAGATCTAAAGTATATTCGGTGAAATTTCATTAATTATGCAACAACTTATGCATAAACATGTGTGTGATCGCAAAACTGTACTTTAATAATATTGTTGCTAATTATTTTTAAAAAACAAAATAGCAGATAATGAAGAAAATTTAATAATATCCATGAAGTTAGATACAAAATTCCATATTTTTCTTATGATTTCCGTCTTGTGTTTTGATACAATAATGTTGAGTTTCGTTATTTTGGACCCTCAATATTTTATACCTTACTCTTAGTTTAGCTTATTTTTTTCTTTTTGCAATGATAAGTTAATATGTGTCATCCAAGAATCTCGACCCTCTACATTTAGCATCAGTGAATTTATACGCATTTAAAGGTAACCATTTGATTAATCTTATGGCTAAGATTAAACCACATCAACAAAATTGTATTAAGTTAAAAACTCACCTTATGTATTGCATCAATCACCCGTGTCATCAAGATCGTCTAGCAAGCATATACTTTTGTATAATCTGAATATAGTGATTCTAACTAAGTGTCTGACACGGTATGGCCCGTATCTTTGGACGAGCCAGGACAAAGGTAATTTGGCTTAATATGCCAGGTCAATCCAACGCCCGTCATGGGTCGTGCCGCCCTAAAGCCCAATGAGCCAGACCTACTAAAGCCCATTATTAAATTACATTTGTTTTAGAGAAAAAATATTACATAGCATTATTATATTTATATCTTAAATTCAAGTCTATTTGTTTTTTAGGTTTCCATTTTTAAAACCCGAACAATAATCTAGCCATACTCTATTTAAATGTACTTCAAATAATGTTATTGACCTATTTTTCCAACAAATAATAAATATTGTTAGTATATACAAAAAATATTTAAATGAAGTTGTAAAAAAATTAAAAAAGAAAAAAGAAAAACAATACATTCAATTTTGGTGTGGGCCCATATCGGCCCATTTAGTGGCCCAACACGAGTCTGACCATGTTCCATATGGTCTAGGGCTGTCGTCTCAGGCGGGGATTGATGATTTTCATAAATAGGTTATCCCAGTACGACTAGTTTATTAAAGGGTAGACTCCAAAGGTGTTGGCTCAGCCCGACACGACTGGTGTGACACCTCTAGTGTCAAGTGGACCGTTGTGAATTTGTAAAAACTTTCAAATTAGAGATTGGAGGTCATGAGCCCCACATGCCTGGTTTACCTAGAAGGTGGGCCCCATTGGCTCAGTCAAGACCAAATGGTTATGAGGTGTTTCTAAGTGGCTTTGGTTTCTAAAGGGGTTTAATGTCTTAGTTCGGGATTTGATTTGAATTACTTATGAAGGTTTTTCAATTTTATTTGATTGAGTTACCTATGTATACTTATAATTTATGATGAAAGTTGGAGAAATGATTGGTTTCAGTCTTTAATACGTTTAAGAGAAATGAATGATTTTGCTCTTCATTTGTGTACATGAGCTTTATGTGAGTTTTGAAGGAAAGATTAAAAGTGTTTTATGAGCTTGTTTGTTTTTATATATAATTTACGCAAGTAAAATATAAGTTGACTTATGGGTTTGAGGAAATTCCTTCAATAGCCTATTTATGTGCAAGTATGAACTGCTTTAAGAGTTGGGAAAGTTGGAAAGCATTGCTTTAGAGTTTGTGAATATTATTGAGCATATCACTAACATGAGAACTTGGATTGATTTGCAAATTACATTGAAAAATAATAATTGATAAAGATATACAAGTGCAAATTAAAAAAGAGAAAGAACATTGAAAACTAGTTTTAGTAAGAATAATTTCTGTTTTCAAATGTCATACTAAAAGAAGTCTAGCTTTTTGTGGAGAGAATGATAAAATTTACAAAGATAATAATGGTAACTTTTGGGGCTCCTTGAATTGATTGTAGAATTTGATGTGGTAATGCGAGAACATTTTAGACGTATTCAAAATAATGAGATTCATTATCACTATCTTAGTCATAAAACTCAAAATGAGTTTATTGGTATCTAAAGTTAAAAGTGCTATAACTGAAAAATCAAATACGCAAAATACTTTTATGTAATACTTTATTGTACTCCAAATGCAAGTCACCATGAGTAAATGACTTTAAAAATTCGATGTGTAGATATGTCAAATGCTCCAATAAAGGTATGTTTTAGAGTTCTTGAAAGTGGATGTTACATCTGGATTTGGGCTTTTTAATGAGTTACAAGTTGTATTAAAGTATCTTAAACTTGATATTGATAATGTAAGGGGCTTCTTTCAAGATTATGTCCATGGATTAACTCTTAAATCATTGTCAACAACAAGATGGGAAAGTCATATTAATAGTGTTAAAGCCATAATAACCCAACTGATGATATAAGACAAGCTTTGTTTGAATTGTCTAGCGTTAGTGAAGATGCCAAAACAATTATTGAAGTTAAATCTTTAGCAACACATGAACTTGAAAGTTTTGAATTTTTGTTGGGCGTGACTATATGGCATAACATTTTGAAAACAATTTGACTTGGTTAGCCAAAAATTGCAATATGAGGATATACAAATTGATATTGCAATAAAAAAATTTGAAGGGCTTGTTTCTTATTTTGTAGACTATAGGGAAAATGGGTTCATATATGCCTTACTTTATGCCAAAGAGATTGCACCTAAGATGGAAATTGACCCTGTATTTCTTGAAAAACATCAAATCTAATGATTTTGCTTCTCAATATGCTAGAAGATCAAGATTTTTTGGGTGATTATTTGTACTTTTTAATGTTATTATTTATGTTTCTTGGTTTGTAGATGATGCAGAGGAATTCAAATAAAGCAGCTATTTGTGTGCAATTGTGCATTGAAGAGCAACTGAGCCACGTGAGAACTTTTGTCAAATAATATGTTGTTTTGTTGTCATGTTATAAGCTATTTGGCTATGGACCTAAATATGGTTTTTGTTGTTTATCATTCATGTACTTTTGCTTTGCTAGTTGAATGAAATTATGTATATGAAACAAACAAAATGATGAATGAGAGGGAAAAAAAAAAAAAAAAAAAAAAAAAAAAAAAATCTTATTAAGCTTTATTGTATACCAAGGGAAGGAGCCTCATTTAATTTATCGCCCTAGACCACCCAAAAGTAAAGAAGGAGCCTCATTTAGGCTACCCAAAAGTCAAGTCCCGTCTTGATGAAAATAAGATATTGTTTAATCATCTAATTGTAAGAAAACAAATGGGCGATTGCATTATGCCAGATAAAATGTTGAAAAGATTGTGATGATGATAGTGAACTGACTAATGATTTCTGTTCATAATTCAATTGTGTGGTGGACCTAAAAGAGTGATTAGTGTGGAAAAAAGTGAAATAATGCTCGTATATGCACATATACACTTCATACAAATTAACAAGTGTAACTATAAAAAATCGATAATGAGTGAAATAAAAAAGTGAAATAAAAAGCGATCATATTAATCATATGTAAATACTATATATTATGATACAAAGAGCCTGATATGGCTCCATTAAGCATGCATGCGCTTTTCTCAAAGTGCATACCCCTTCAAAAGAAGTGCATCCTTTAATTATTCTCCTACATTTGTTAATTGACCAGCGCTCCATTCCTAAATGTAAACAAAATAATTAAACCACAAAATCTAATGTTCCACATAGCCACGGGCCACAACAAAATCGAAGCCCGCTTTAAGACACCATATATTAATTAAAACTCTAAAAAATTAAAAGAAGAAAAAAAAAAAAACATGTTTGCTTCATATTAAACCAAAATATCTTGTTTGAACTTGGCACATTTTGTGTCTTTCTCAGTATTCTTGGGTTGTTGGGAAGTGGCTAAGGATGAGGAGGACTGGAAGTAGTCCGGGGAGTGGCGAGGAAACTCCGATAGCATTTGAACAACTTCTCTCATTGTTGGCCTCTCCACACTGTGTTCTTGGATGCAAAGCGTTGCAATGAAGAACAAGTGCATTGCTTCATCTTTGGGTACAGATATTGCTAGCCTTGGATCAACAATGCTCGTAACATCTTCTTTTCGACAATTCGTGGCTTTCTTCGACCACTGCACTATGTCGACGCCTTCCCCGAACTCTCCCACTGGACGACGACCTGTTAGAAGTTCTAACAGAACAACCCCAAAGCTATATACATCGCTCTTCTCATCCACCTTCAGTGTATATGCGTACTCTGCAACACATGCATAATAAACATCAATTAATATGACGCACTGCAAGATTTCATGTTCTGAAAGAATGAACAGCAAAAGAAGGCCAAGGTCCAAACTAGTTTTTGAGCCAGCTAAGTGAAGCCCAAACTAGACAAAACGAGCCATAAAAAGGCGATAGGTTTGGGGATGCAAGTTGCAAGGAAGAGACCAAAAAAAAGAAAGAAAAGCAAAGCAGCTGAAAAAAGAGAGAGGGAGGTGTGTCTCTTTCCACGTAATAACAAACCCACTTTGTTGCTCTAAAACAAAAGCCTAAAAAGATTGCAGTGGTGGTGGTGGTGGGCATGTCGGGTTAGCTTTCACGACGCTCAACGCCCGTTGTGTTAGACATCACTGTCAGACTGTTGTGTTTTGTGCGTCAGATTGACCTCTCATATTTCTGATATCAGAATTGTACATACAGCATACAATAAATTATTAAATCAAAAGTTCTGAAAAAATTAAAAAAAAATGGACCCCCACAATAAGCTGAGGATCGAGAGGTCCTCCAGGCACAGAATTTAGAGGCAGTTTGTGTGTTTTGTGGTTACCAAGAAAATTCCATGCATCATCATCTTCTTTGCTTCTCTCTCTCTCTCTCTCTCTCTCTCTCTCTCCCCTCTCTGGCTGGCTCAAATCATGGTGGTTTTTTTTTGTTGGCATGTCATTTTAGCAATTGGGTTTTGTGCGTGCTGCAGAGAAAATCTTGGTGCATGGCTTATGGTTATGGAGTTCAAGAGATTGTGTAGTGCAGGGCTTTGTTTGTGATATATATATATATATATATATTACACATTTACCAAAAAAAAAGATATAGATATTAGGGAATCACAACTCAATGTGTCAATGGAAGCAATACACGAATCAATCAATAAGATTTTGTTTTGCTTTCCAAAGTTCTTTCTGTATGTACTATATTTTCCGTGGAGAGAGAGAGACAGGGAGAGAGAGAGATAAACATGTAGTAATAATTTATAAGCATAAACAAATAGTAAAACCATTTTGTTAGATTATAATTTTTTTGGAGATTAAAAATACTCAAGGCTAGCCACCTCAGTGGACCCATATACTTATTCAAATGATTACACAGATATGCATATTTCTTATAGAAATGATGAAGCCACATAAAAAGAAATCATATTCAAAGGAATTTTTTAAAATTATTCTATAGAAAATAGAATACTAGTACTAGGCATCATAGCATTTACTAGCCAGAGTTTATAAACACAAAATTTATAACATGAACCCGAAAACTAATTATGTTTGATTTTTTTTCAGCAATTCTTAAGTTTATTTTAAGGTTTTTTGTTGTTGTTGTTATAATGACTATTTTCATCACCCTTTTTTTTTGGAGAGAGATCGACACCATCAGGCTACTTCGTTCCTCAGATCGATAATCTGAAACATAAGAACTGAAAACTGACGGCTATGATTGTCTAATGTCATGAACCAGAAATTCACAGATTAACTAACTTAACTACCATACCAACTTTTGACTCTACACAACCTACACCAAAAAGCTTGGAAAAAAAAATTCACAAATTGGTAAAATTTATAGAGAGGGAGAAATAATGTACGTACCGGGTGCAATGTAGCCATAAGAGCCTGCAATTGCAGACATACACTCAGATGTTCCACCATCAATCAAGAACTTAGCGAGCCCAAAATCAGCAACGTGTGCTTCAAAGCTCGAATCGAGCAAAATGTTGTTTGATTTTACATCCCTGTGAAGTATCAGTGGAGAACAATCATGGTGAAGGTAGCACAGGCCTTTGGCAGCTTCAATGGCAATTTTGTACCTCAAATTCCACCCCAAGAATCCTCCCTTTTTCCCATGCAATGCCTCCCCCAAGCTTCCATTTCTCATGTACTCGTAAACAAGCAGATTGGTTTCTTTGTTTGAGCAAAATGCCAGCAATCTCACAATGTTTCTGTGCCGAATGTTGCCTAAGGTTTGAATTTCTGCTCTGAAGCCGTGATCATGGCTGTTTGGTCCAAAACCAAGGAGTTTTTTTACAGCAATTTCAACCCCATTTGGCATTTTTCCATGGTAAACAATCCCTGCTCCTCCTCTTCCAATCACATTCCCATCTTTCACGCATTCGAGGATGTCGAAGATTGTGAATTCCAGCTTCTGGAAGGAAGTCATTTTCCATGAATCCGGGCCGTTTCTTTTGAATGATTTGGCCTTGATTATAGCAGCAGCAGCAAACACCAGTGAGCATATTAGCAGGCCTAATGCGAAGATCAGCTTGAAATCCGCGGCGGGTTTTCGCGGTGTGTTTGTGATTGCGGTGAAGTTGCAAGGATTGTTTAGGAGTGAACCGCAAAGATGAGGATTGCCCGCGAAAGCAGAGGCATTAAAGAAGGCGAACTGCCCTGATTCGGGTAGCTTTCCCGAGAAATCATTGAAGGAAAAATCAGCAATTGTGAGGCTCTTCATGGTGCCTATTGATCTGGGAATGTTTTGGTTCAAGTGATTTCTTGATATGTTCAAGTAATTCAGGATGTGAATGCTGGAAATTTCTAGTGGGATTGAGCCAGAGAGGCTGTTCTGGCTCATGTCAAGGTAGGTGAGATGGAAACAGTTTCCAATTTCTGGTGGGATTTCACCAGAGAGTGAATTTCTGCTAAGATCAAGTTTTAGTACTTGATGGAGTTGGCCTATTGAAGGTGGGATTGGACCAGAGAATTGATTTCCACTAAGTAGGAGGATTTGGAGGGAAGAGAAATTCGAAAGCGAGTAGGGTAAAGGACCGGATAGGAGGTTGTCTGCCAGATTAAGCTGGCCTAATTTGGCCGGCTCCAATGAGCCATTAGAATTCTCTAGCAACATTCCAGATAGGTAATTGTTTTGCAACTCTGCTAAGCTCAGCAGAGGCAAATAAATTAAGCCATTTGGTATGCTACCATTTAAGTAATTCTGCCCCAGCCTTACTCTAGTGAGACTAGAACATGCCCCTAAGGCTTCAGGGATTGGACCAAAGAGAAAGTTTTTCAAGAGAATTAGTATTCTCAGCTGATTTGATGAACACAAGTTTGGTGGGATTTTACCGGTGAGCTTATTCGATGACAAATCGAGCAGTTGAAGCTTCCCATTCTGGCCAAGCTTCTGTGGAATTATGCCAGTGAAGTTGTTCATCCACAGCCCCAGAGTTTCCAAGTTAGGCAAATCCGCGACGTAGTCTGGGATTGAGCCATGCAATCTGTTCATGAACAGGTTGAAAAGCTTGAGCTGTTTGAGATTGGCAAACTCAAATGGGATTTCACCAGTCAATGCATTGTTGGAGAGGTCAAGATTGACCAAGTTTGTCAAGTTGCCTAGCTGCCTTGGGATTGAGCCTGAGAACAGATTGATGTGCAAGTAAAGCGTGTCGAGCGCCTTCAAATTCCCCAGCTCCCGGGGAATTGGCCCGTCTAATTCACAGCTTGAGAGATCCATGTGAACCAGATTGACCAATTTCCCAAACTCCTTCGGAATCCCACCTTCAAAAACGTTGTAGTAGCCCAAGTAAATCTCTCTCAAGTTAGTGAGATTGCCCAAGTCACCTGGAATTTCTCCATTAAGATCATTGCCTGCAAGTGACAAGTACTCCAAGCTGGCCAAATTCCCATATGATGCTGGGATTTTTCCATTGAAAAAATTGCCTCCAAGATCCAAGTACCTGAGCTTGTTCAAGCTCAAAATCCCAAGTGGAAGAGAAGCGGTGAAGTTGTTGTTATAAGCATCAAACACTTCCAAGTTGGCAATGCTTGAGTAGTTCCAATCCAAGCTCCCACTGAATTGGTTGTTGGATATGTTGAGGAACTGAAGGTTTGTGAAGTTGGCAATGGCAATGCTGCCTGCGAAGTTGTTTCCTGCAAGAGAGAGGTCGGTGAGCCGGTCGAGGCCTGAAATCAGAGGAGATACAGAGCCAAAAAGATTGAAATCTGTTAAGTCCACTGCAACAACTCTTCCTCTATAGCATCGAATTCCAGCCCATGAACAAACTGATCTTGGAGATGAAGAATTCCAAGTGCTTAAAGCCAGTTCGGGGAATTGGAAGCCGTGCTTGAGTGTGACCAAGACATGAAAATCACTGACCAAAGAAGAAGCAAAGCAAGAGGTGCCAAGAAGAGAGAAAAATGTCAAGACAATGAAAGGAAGGACCATGATGGTTTTTTCTTTTCCTTCTTTTTTTCTTGGGAAAAATATTCAAGACAAGTGGGTTTGGAAGTATTCAAAGAGAAGATGAAGGGATTTAAGCATTTGGGTAGTTGTGGATTTTCCGGAAAAGGAAGGCAAAGTAAGAGGAATCTGAGAAACTTCAAGTGAGTATGGGGTTGAGGAATCAAACATCTTCAAAAAGAAAGAGTCTTCAAATGCAAGGAAGAAACTATGCCTCTGCTTTTCTCCTTTTTCTCTCTTTCTTTTCTTTTCTGTTCTGTTCTTTTCTTTTCTTTCTCTTTGAGAGAAGAGAGGAGGAAGATTGAAATTCTGCTGGGACTGGACTGGTGTGTGTGTGAGCTCCCTTTCTATATTTCTCTAAGTCATTAGCCTTCTTCTTTAGACAAAGCTAAGATGGAAAAAGTGGAAGAAGGTTTGTTGAAAACATTATTAAAAATAAACATAAAAATTTGACAATAAGATGGAAAATAAGAAGGCCGTTGGATAACAGAAATTTAAAGTTAAGATTTGGGGAGGAAAAGTAAAGTTGATGATGCACTCTCTTTCTTTATTCATATGACAAAATTGCCCTTTAGCTTTAATCAAAGAATGGTCTTTATTGCTTTGAATGAGAAGAGTGGCAATGGAGCTGCACTTTCAATCATTGAAAATGGTTCCATTGTCTTGAAGATTTTGGTGACTATCCGCTGGTAACCTCATTTTCCAAGCACCATGATGTGCTTGTGAGGGGAAATGAAAGGTGAGGAAAGCATTTAATGCCTGCCAATACTGCAAATGTTGTTTTTTTATTGCCTCAAAGCCTATACTTATTGCCTTGTTGGTTTATTTGGACCGAAAAATCATCAAAATCTTTGGTATTGAGATTTCTCACTCCTATGAACCAGGACATGGTAAAATTCGGACGTGCGGATGCTATATTTCTATTACCCTTTTCTGCTTTCTTTATTGTTTACAATGATATTCGCACGATAATAACATGCGGATGAGAAAATAACTATATATACGTATGTTGTGCTTGCCTTGTTAAAACCTCATGGACTATAATTTTTTGCATATCACTTTTGCCAACATATAAAATAAAAGATTACCAAATTGATGTCAGGATGTTTTAAGAATATAGAAAAACTGTTTGGATAATTTCCAGAAAGCAATAGTACAGCTAGGTAGCATCTTTTGCTGTTCATCTTGTTATAAAATTCATATGTGCATCAGTGTGCCATGCATATAAACACTTGGGCCATGCATAAAGAATCCATCAAATCAAATAGTTATAATACAAATACAATGTATCAGATATATAGCAGTCCTGCTTGCCTCATCATGTCATGACAATCTGTAAGCATCAAAGTGTGCTTCATCAATCAGTCAAACCCAAAATCGGATTTAAAAGCTGCAGAATTCCATTGTGGATTTGTCATCCTAAAAACAACCCAGGAAGAAAAAAAACTAAACTAAAAACAAAAAGAAGGGGTAATTCCCCATGTAGACTGATTATCTTGAGGTTGGAAACATGTGCCTGCAAGATGTACAGTGGTTGTAAGAAGTAAAAGATGAGTGATTATTAATATATCATTACCATGTTGTTGTTGAATGATCAATATATAATTATGTTGCATGGAATATGGAACCACTGGAAGCTTTTCTGTGCAGCTTTATTCCTTCTCCTTCTTTGCCCTACAGAGGCTGCCTGGGACCAACTCTCTATGTTAGATGGTTTTTAAGGGCTTTATTAGAAGATGGAATAGTCTTAAAGAGAGGGCTGAAAAGTAAAAGCAGAGATGTATAATCTGCTTTTGATCTTCCACTTCAAAAGAAAAGCAAATTAAAGAACAGAAAAGAAAGGAAGAAAAAAATAATCCATGACCCCCCTCTCCCTCCTCCTCCTCCTCCAAATTCACATGGAAAAGAGTGCTCTTGTATTAACTTGAAGAATTCATAATCTCTCTCTCTCTCTCTCTCTCTCAAAAAAGAAAGAAAGAAAGAAAAATCCATGGCCCCTCACGCATGGGAAAGAGCGCTCTTGTATGAACATGAACTCTCTCTCTCATGTGGGCTTTGTCATAAAAATTACAATACAATAGTGGCTGTCTTGGCTTCATGAGAAGGAGGGGGCTGATTGGGTGGAAGAAAGAAGAGAGTGTGCTCTTTTTGAGGTGTCTTAATCTGTCTTATTGATGGGCAGGCCTGCCCTTTTGAAGGGTCACTATCTTGTGGCCTTGGCTTTACTATAAACCCTAATGTGGTCACTCAAATGCGTAGCTTGGTAATGGCATAATTGGAAGTCTCATGTTTAGTAGTTAAATTCCAAGAGGGAACATCTCAGTACTTTGCTTTTGTCTATAACCTTTAAATTTAGAGACAATGTCACAATAATACTAAGGATTTGATTGGTAATCAAAGATTTGCACAATATTGAGATACTTTTTTTTTATTTTTTTGGGGTGATAAATTCAGTGCCTACCATAGATTGGAAGACTATGGCTCCATTGGTGTGCATCGCATTTGTTTAATTTTGTCAATACCTGAAAGGAGTTACATTTATCAAATGTTTTTTTTTTGTATCTTACCGATTGAGAAAATAGATAATTCAAATTTAAGACATTTTCCAACATTAAAAAGAGTATTTAGAAAGTTGTGTGACGATTTACCCGAATAGTTATGTTATAATTTTTGTGAATTAATAATACAATATAGCAGTGCTACCGTCATATATATAAAAGTATCTCAATGATTGTTTGTGGAATAACAATATAGAGTACTTGTAATAGATAGAACAGCTGCTATATAGCAATAATAACTGAGAAGAAAACGTGGGACTGCAAATTTTCTGATAATTGACTTTCGGTGGCACTACCAAATTGTCCAAAAGAAAGAATCATGTTCTCTTCTTTCCTTTAGGGAAATTTAGTAGCTTTGTTATCTCATTATCTAGCTGAAAGAATGCATCTTTGTTCTCTCATTTAATTAATTATTATTATTTTTTAACAAATATAAGTTATAGTTGATGAGGGTACTGTGTCTATTCATTTGCACTCAAGTTTTGAATTCCTTATGACATACATTATAATAGTTTAGAGTGGTTTAGACTATCATATATATATATATATATATAAAACATAAAAAACTAGACTAGATCCTTGGTTATATTCTAAAACCCTAGCCCCCTTTCTCCCAAAAAACACTCTAGAGTTGTTTTCACTTTGAGGGGGGAGGAATCCACTATTCTTCCTCCCCTCTCTCCTCCTCTCTTCCTATCATCTCCCTTCTCATATCTTCCCCCATTTCCAAAGATAGAAGGTTTCCTCTATTTGTCCTCGCTTTATTGCTATTTTGAAAATTTCACGAAATAATCCAAAAATCCTATAAAGATTTTCTAATACAATTTTCAATATGGAGGGTCCTGAACTCAAATTTTGGGACCCTAAAATAATGACACAAAGGGTCCTAAACAATGTTTCCTCCAACCCAGCAGTCCTAAACAATTTGGGACCCTAGCTTTATTAATGGTTTAAACGTAATTTATTTACAAACATTTATTTAATTCATCGTAATTTATTTTTACAAACATTTTAACCAAAATAAAACACAATTTATGAATAAAATTTATTTCATAAAAACGAGTACAACAGCAAAGTACACACAATGTAAAATTTTGAGTGGTTATTCCAACGGACACACAATGTAACCCTTTGTTTACCTCGTCAAAGAAAAGAATAAACTTTTTATTAAAAAAATATATATTCAAAGGAGCAATTAGATTAAACCAAATAGTGAAAGTTTTTGGTTAATTAACTCTTATTTTGAACAAATTTTAGTCAAAGAATCACCTGAGATTTTCTTGTATTAACACTGAGATGAAGAATACGAGAAAATGATTGAATATCTATATAAGGACAGTCAAAATGGTTGAAGTTGGTGCCAAGTTGAAGTTTGAACTAAATAAGGGTACACGACATCATGATTACAATCTCACATATGAAACCAATGTTGGGACGGAAAGAGCATTATTGTCCTTTTTGACTAGGAGGGAGGGAGAGGAACCCAATTCATGAAAGCCATGGCAGCAGCAATATTTCTTCACGCTTGTAAACCTTTCATTGGATTTGGAAAAAACACTTTGGCGATGCCCCAAAGAAAAAAGCTTTCCTCATCAAAAGATAGCGAGCTTGTGTTTTACTTAAAGGAACATCTTCGATATAATGGGGCAAACTTGTCCTGTGGATCGCTTGTCTGCATTTTCCCTTAATAAAGGAAATTCAAAATTAAAGGGAGAATAAAGAGGATAAAGGGGAAAGAGAAAATTGACAATTATTTTTAAGGATAAAGTACAGCGTCTCTGCTCGTTTACCAAGCAATGACATGGATGTGGCTCGTTGTCGATTATATTTAAATCAGCAACGCTAAATACGATCGACAACGAGTAATAAAAATGAGTGAAGATTTGAAGTTTAGAACTAGCTAGGATTACGTAAAAACTCTGTCAAATCATATATATTTCTAAACTGATATTAGCACACAATAAATTGCCTTAAAAAAATGGCAAAGACATTTACATTGAAAACCAAATTAAAGACTCCTTAACATGCCAAGGATAATTGTGTTGTTTTGCTGTTAATTTATTTTATTATTTTTTATTTGGTATTAATTTATTTTTATTCTCCAACAAGGATCCTCTCCTATAAAAATCTCAAAGGTAGAAGCCAATATAAAAAAATTATGTACGTGTGGGGGGAGAGCTCTTTCGGGATTTGTCACTATCATTCTCAAGCACATGCAATGATGCAAGCAACAAACTAGATTTCATATAATTCTTACAAAATCTTAATTTGAGCAGAGCCTTTGATGGTTTTTTTAAAATCAATATTAGAGAATTTCATGGCCCTGCCATTACCCCAACAAGCGACCAAGATCATGTAGCAAAGATACGCAGATTTCTTTATGCAAGATTTTGTGCAAGTTTTTTGTCCATTGCATGGAAAAGTTGCTTGTTCTTAGCGTATTCAATTGATACATGCATGCAAAAGCTATACGCACAGAACCTCTTAAATCTGCAAAATTTTGTCTTCATTTGGTTAAGTTTGCTTTTAAAAGGTTTTGCTTTTCTTTGTTTTTATCGATAACAGTACTTTGAGGACCAACATCACTAGCTTGGAACTAGCTAAAGTGAGTGGGATATGTTGCCCGCACCTCTCTCTGTATATATATGAATGATAAAATCTGGTCCGCAATTGTTATCCAATCAGATCCCGAGCCTTTATATTTAAAGTTTGTATATTTATAATTTATTTGCATTTCTTTATATTTGAACTATTTTATTCTTAATTTATCCATTTATCAAGACACATTATTAAGCTTTGAATTTAGTTTTTTTTTCTTTCTAAATTGACGTTAACATTGAAACCGTTAGTTTGTTTTGAGTTTTATTTTTTTCCTTCTCCCAATAATTTATTTAGGATTGAAAGAGAATGAGAGAAGGTATCCCGTCAATTGCTTGTTTACTTTTGTAAATCCAAATCTCTTTCTCACATCTTCTCAATCCATGCTTTAGCATTGACAAAGTCGATACCACTATTTATACACTATTTAAAACAAAATTATAAAAGTGATACTGAGAATAGGAGAATCGAACTTTAGGACTTCGGGTGCATGGGTAAATGCTCTTAAGCACCCTCTTAAGTTAATATTCCAAATATATCATATATCTTACTATACATGAATCTTTTTTTAAATCTCATTATTAATTGGATGATCATTAGCAAAGAATTCTACACATTCTAATTGCAGCTTAAGTTTCTATAAAATAAACAAATTGACAAAAGTTATATTACCATTTGTGAAAGCATTTATCTTCTTTTGAGTTTATGATACTTTATAATGAATTTGGTAATAATATAAAAAACAACAACACTAATAATAATAATAATTAATTAATTAAGAGATATGCGCATGACGTATATTACAACTTAAACTTTATAATAAAATTTGCCCCAAAGTCAACTTGCATGATAGTGAAAGTGAATAGAAAGGTTATATTCTTGAAAAATGACTACATAACATTGTAGTGTGATAACATAATGCCAATTGCCAATGTAATATCCTAGGTTTGAACTGTATTGGAGTTGAATACAAGTTACTTCTTATAAGTCGAGTCCTAACATACCGAACAACACTCGTAACACTTGTCTAAATTAATTGAAATAGATCAATCTAGTTAATAATTTGACTAAAATAGCGTCAAGGGCTTTAGTCATACCTTGAAATTTACAATTCTGATTGCCATTATTTAAGGTCCACTTTCACTAGAGGAGGAGATTTAATTTGATAAATTATTATTGTTGTGGCTGAAACAAGTGCTTTTCGTGTCATTTAAGTTCCTAATCCTATGTGTAATCTTATCGTAATATTGGTGTCATTTCCAAAGAGAATCTAGTGACATAAGATTTGAAAAAGAAATAATTAATTAGCCAAAAGAGGGAGGGAGGATGTAGTCACTGACATAGATAGATAGATAGCTAGTGGATGACATATCTATGACTATGAAACCCTAATAATAAATTAATAATAAAATATTCAAGGTCTGCGCCTAGGTGGATCATGTGGTTCATAATAATTATATTTCCCATTTGGAATTTGACATCATGGCTTTGGGTTGGGGCTCTCTTCTCTCAACCTGGCACTGGTGGAATTCCAAGTCATGTTGAAATGGATTTAACCTTCTTTGTCGTCTAGATATCATTGCCACTCATGCTAGCTCCTGTGTTAGTCATGAGTCAAGAGTCATGAGTCATGCATAAATATATATATAATATTACCCTATGCTGAAAGCATATATTCAACGATCTCCCAAAATTCAGACTTGATTACTTCTGATTAGAAAGTTCTAGCAAGTGGACACCTCCAGTAAAGCAATTGTTTGTATTTTGCATCTAACTAGAGAGACTCTAAGACCAACTCCAATATAAAGATGTAAATTTGGGATGTAAAAATGACATTTACATCTCATGCATTAATTATTATTTTTGTTCCTTGTTTTTTTGTGCATTAAATTTGGGATGTATACTTAATATCATTATTATCTCTACTTTACAAAAAATTCAAAATCTGATATGATAATATTTTATCTCATCGTAAATCGTTAGATTAAGTTCTCTCATCTCCATCTCAACCCTTGAATTCTTATATTCGACAACATCCAATTATCTACGAATGTCAGAGCTTTATTTACAATCACTCAACTAAAATCATTCATCTCTTATTTGAAGACTCTTATCCTCCACCACACTACAATGAGCCAACAAAACTTGTTTGACTCCGATTCGAAAGATGAATATTTTTGTGCCACTCTTGTGTATAATGCATATAAATTTCAAAGACAACTTTGAATGAGACCCTCGTTGTTGAATTGAATCCTGAAACAAGTCGTCAATTTTTACAGTTACTTCTAACAACGACCAAATGCCCCTTGCAAACCTTGGTTTGTCCAGCCACGAAAAGTTGACAACCCCCCTTCATATGATTGCATATATGTGGATACAATACACGAATCAAGTTTAGACTTCAGATAATTTTCACATAACATGAAACTGACATGACACGAAAACATCAGAACACCCTAGGGTTCATCATATGGCCCGCGGCTCCATGGGCCGACTTGAACCCATGAGTTCACAACCCACCCGGGCTAATAGCTTTAAGCCGGTCGACTTGGCTTGATTTTTTACTTGGCATTGAATCAACCAAGGGTTTAAAACCTAGGCTTGGCATAGCCCAACTCATTTGAGTATGATGAAACTCAAGCATGGGCGGGCTTGGGTCGACGTAATGAAACACAATCATGGTCCAGCTCAGCCTTAAAAAAATGACTAATACCTAAAATTCCAGCCCAAACCCAACAATTTAGGGCCGGGCCTGCACAATAATGAACCCTAAGTCAACCTTGCCAGGTCTACATTTACCCTTTCTTGCCTTTCTTGAGAGCACAGATCCGACGGGTTTAATCATATAATCAATCAAATCGTAGCCGTGGGTTCCACTTTAAAAGCAGTGCAATTAGGGTTTCCTAGTCTCACTGAAACCAAAACATTCCTGGTTGCGGCTCTTGGTCTTCTGCCATCTTTCCCCTCTTATCTCGTTCCATAGGTAACATCGTTTAATTTCTCTGGAATTCTGACCAGAGACTTACTGAATTACTTCTTATTTATTTGCATCATATAATTGTTCTTGTAAATCATGAAAATGGGAGGTTTTTAACTCATTTTTTTTCTCTCTGTTTATTCCTTACACATAATTTGGGGTTTGAATCTTAACTTAAATCGTATATACATTGATATATGATGTATTTATGTTGACGTGTTCTTGTTGTATGCTACAATGAATAAAATCTTTCAAGCGTTTTGCGGTTTTCAATTTTTAGTGTAAGATTGTTAGCTTATTTTGGGGTGTCAAGGAAGTTTCATATGTGTTAGCTGTGATTTTGAATTTTACTTGTTGCCCTTATCCTTGAATTGAGCACGTGTGAAATACTACTATTTTTCTCTGTTGGTGTTGTGAGATGGCTTCCCCACGAGAACATTGTGAGAAATCAAGGCTGGAGTCTCGAGAGGGCTCTATTTTTGCCAAGACCCTAATTGGGTTTTGGAAAGAAATACCAAGGAGCCCGAGAATTGGCATTGTTTTGGTGCCACAGGCCTTTGGTTGTGGGGAGCATTTCATGTCATCTACCGAAGAAGATGGTAGTGTTTTACATCGTTTTCAGTTTAGTGGTACTTGGACAATTTTACATGGTTTTATGATGTCATTTTTTTTAATGACTGTAAAAAATGATTTGATCCTTTTTCCTTATAAAAAAGGGTTTTATAATACAAAAATCTTTTGTAAGATTTTGGGTTTCTAATGGTAACAATCCTTTTGATATTTGAAAATATTTGATTAATTCTTTCAACTTGAAGATGCTTGAATTTGTTTGCACCATGGTAAGAATATCTGAGGTTTTGGAGTTTTGTAGACCTTATTTTAAAGAGGAAGCATGTCTCATCGCAAGTTTGAACACCCAAGACATGGCTCTTTGGGATTTCTTCCAAGGAAAAGAGCAGCCCGCCACAGAGGAAAAGGTTTATACTGCTTTAGCAGCTGTTATTGTGTTCTTCAATAGTTTTATATCCCTATGGAATGCCATGAATTACCTTTGTCATATTTTAATTTTTGTTATGCTAAGATTACCATTATGTGACTGTATAGAGTTGAAGTATAGAACTCATGTGGTGTAGTATGGAGTAGAATTTAATTAGAACCTAATTTGACGACTTGTATCTTAGACATTAGATCAGATATGGATATATGGGATGCATGGTGGGTAATGACAGGGTAATATTCCCTGTAGAAGTTCTAAGTTCCTCAACATGTGTCCACATTGGAATGCTACTGTATGCATAGTTGGCTGTATTTGCCGATTAGTTGGAGGAAGTTACATAATGAAATTTTGCATCTTCTGATATTTTTTTTGTTTGTGATAGCATTTTTCCTTTATGGCACTATTCTTTGAGCAATTATAAGATCTGATTGACCAAAAGTTTTCACTGGGATTACATGGTTACTTTTGCAGTGAAGGCCTTCCCAAAAGATGATCCAACCAAATCTTGCAGTTTGACTGCTTTCCTGGGATACAAAGCCGGAATGACCCATATTGTGAGAGATGTTGAAAAACCAGGATCAAGTTAGTTTCCCTATCATTTTACGATTGTGATTTAGCATACTCTGAAGAAAAATTGTCTGATGAGAAATGTTAGAATATGATGCTAACATTTTTCACCGTTTAATGTCTGAAATGTGCATTGTGAATGGATGTTTGATTGGTACAAGAAGGCGTTTATCTGGAAAACGGAAATGACATACACATGCCTTATTTATTCATGGTTTCTATCTGCTTTCAATTTTCTCGAATTGTTGTCCCTTCTTAAAGTAAAGTATACACACTTTTTGTTTTGGAAATGTAGTTTGTAGTGTTTGAAATCAAAATAAGATATACATGCCTCACAGAATGATCTATTTGCTGTTTTATTATCTGTTTTCTATATTTGATCATGTTATCTTTTTTCTGTATTTATTCATGATTACCCCATATACTAAAATAAAGTATCATAGTTCTTTTCTCTTTCTCTTTTTGGTTTGAAAGACTGCTGTGACCAGTTCTTTGGGTAACTTTACAGCGTGGTAGATTACTTTGCCCATTCGTCTGTGGCCTACTTATATTTATCTGATTTATCGATAGTGCTTATGTTCTGAACCCACCTTTCCTTGTAGAGCTACACAAGAAGGAAACATGTGAAGCAGTTACAATTATTGAAACACCGCCAATGGTGGTGGTTGGGGTTGTTGGTTATGTGAAGACTCCCCGTGGTCTCCGTTCTTTGGACACAGTGTGGGCTCAGCATCTGAGTGAGGAGGTGAAGAGGAGATTCTACAAGAACTGGTGCAAGTCTAAAAAGAAGGCATTCACCAAGTACTCAAAGAAATATGAGAGCGAAGGTGGGAAAAAGGATATCCAGGCTCAGTTGGAGAAAATGAAGAAGTACTCCTCTGTGATTCGTGTTTTGGCCCACACTCAGGTAATGAGTTTTGATATTTACTTGGCTTATCTTATGCTGTCTTGGAAAGTGGATGTGATGTGACTACTTATTCCAAATAGAAAGGATGTGACTGTCAAAAATTTACTTTGTTCAGATGAATTTTGCTGTAATATGTACTGTTAGTTAGAACTAATCTTTGATGACTGTGTTTTGTAGATTAGAAAAATGAAGGGATTGAAGCAGAAGAAAGCCCATCTGATGGAGATTCAGGTGAATGGTGGAGACATTGCAAAGAAGGTTGACTATGCTTACAGTTTGTTTGAGAAGCAGATTCCTGTTGATGCTGTTTTCCAGAAGGACGAGATGATTGACATTATTGGGGTGACCAAGGGGAAGGGTTATGAGGGTGTGGTGACACGTTGGGGTGTGACCCGGCTTCCACGTAAGACCCATCGTGGGCTGCGGAAGGTAGCCTGTATTGGTGCCTGGCATCCAGCTAGGGTTTCATTTACTGTTGCCAGGGCTGGGCAGAATGGTTATCATCATCGTACTGAGATGAACAAGAAGATTTACAAGCTTGGAAAGGCTGGGCAAGAGTCACACTCTGCAATGACTGAGTTTGACAGGTTGGTGCTTCTTCCTTTACATTTTTATTATCGGTTAAGATTTTACTAGGGTTGAATCTGGAATAAACCCCTTGCAATATTGGTCTATTGTAATGGTTAGTCTTGTCCAATCTGCAATATTTAAACGTCTTGCTCATTATCATTTTCTGATCAGGACTGAGAAGGATATTACACCAATGGGAGGTTTCCCACACTATGGTGCAGTGAAAGAGGATTATCTTCTAATGAAGGGCTGCTGTGTGGGTCCTAAAAAGCGGGTTGTTACCTTGAGGCAGTCACTTCTGAAGCAGACATCTAGGGTTGCTTTGGAGGACATTAAGCTCAAGTTTATTGATACGTCATCCAAATTTGGCCATGGTCGTTTCCAAACTACCCAAGAGAAGGCTAGGTTCTACGGCCGGCTGAAGGCTTAATTTGGCATTAGTGATAGATCAACAGTTATCCCTTTTTTGTTGTTTGATCAATAGTTATTCAAGTACACAATGCTTTTGGTTTAGTTTCCAAGTTTTGTGAGCATTCAATTTTTGGGAAAGATTTATTGGCTGTTTGTTCCGCTTATTTGACATTGTTCAAGTTAGAAGTGAGATTGAGTTTATATCATAAATAGCTAAAATTTGACCCTTACTTTCAGGTTTTTATAAAAACTTTGAGATATAACTAAAAATCCACTTAAAAAGACACAAGTGCCCTTAAAATTAAAATGCAATTATGCAATTGAAAAGCCAGAATTTCTCTTAACACGTTAAACAAAAAATATCCAGCAAGCACGCTAAAACTTCAAAAGTGTTGCTTTGTTATCTATTCTCTTTTGGCTGGATTTGTTTATAAAAAAGTGACATTCCAACCATAAATTGAGAGATTTGGGCTGATTGTCTGATGTACTGCTATATGTTAAATCTTTGCAGCTAAAGGAACCATTGAACACGATAGTGTAAACGAAAAACCACTAAATTTTGACATTACAATACAAAAGGGCAACAAGATGATCTACAAAAGAAACAAAAAAAAAAATTAAAATGAACCATTCATTCATTAGAATTCATAAATGTAAAGAGTAAAAGGTTATTCCACTGTGTCTACGAAGTAGGATGAAGTGCTTCCGGATTCTTGCAAGTTTGTCGGTAATGACCAGTTGAATCACATCTTGAAAACTTGCGAGTTGATGATTCTTTCGCCTACCGCACCTTGTTTGTGTAATTACAATTCTATCTTGTACATCATCAGGCCACTGCCAGCAAAATTATCAAGCAGCAGCCATTTTTTGTAACCACCAAACAAAACTAAAACAGATTGAAAAACTAAAATGCAAAACAAAAACGAGGAGAAGTCAGTTAAAGCTTGAGCATCAGTCTCCCTCCTTTTGAAAGGGGGAAGCATTAGTCTCTGTCTGAAACGGGGAAGCATGCTGCTGCTGGCATATGCATATATTGTGGTGGATGGATAGTATTAATGATGAGGTTAGGGGTGTCGCAAGCTATGCCCATTTTGGTGAAAAAAAACTGTCTCTGCTTTCTGCCACTGCCATTTTGGTGAAAAAAAGCTTTCAATACTTCCCCCCCAACCCCCCAATCTCTTTATTGTCTTCTGGTTGGTTGGCTCAGCTCAGTTCAACTCACTTGAATTAAGACACCCCCACAGCTGCCCTCTCTAGAATTGAAACCAAAGCTTTCAAGTGCTTCCTTCCTCCTCCTCCCTCCTACAATGGCTGCAAAGAAAATTCCCCATTTCATGAAGACGATCATGAACACGAATGCTAGAGACAAAAGACTTGTAAGAAACCCCAACTCTACTTTTTAACTTCTGCTTTATGAATGAAATATGAGGGCTTTGTTTTCTATTTTGACCCGTCGTGCTCTGTCAAAGATAAGATCCGCCGTTTCATGCTACTTTTCTTGACCCATTCAAGCCATGAAAGAGGTCGGAGGCCTGGTAACTCCAGAAAGCAGAGAAAGACAAACGAGCGGAACCTCTCATCTTTATGGGTCTTGCAGAGTCTTGCCCTAAAGTCCCACTCCCACACACGCCTGCTCTTCGTAGATAGAGAGAGGATTCTCGTTCTCGGCATCCTGCCTTTAAAGATTGTTGATTCAACATTGATTTTGTGCTTGCGGATTCGAGCCCCGTCAGTCCCGACCTAAGATCCGATGAATCGATCTTTCCTAACTGGGCTTGTTTTAGACAAGTTTAAATGAGGGGCTTAAATTAATTAGCCCAGCAGCCGAAAAGTGGAAGTGTGAATTCTGACTCGGGTTTATTCTGATTAGTCATTTGCTCTTGCAAAATTGAATGGCTTTGTGTTTGGGTTGATTTGACAAAATTACATTTCCTGCTGTAAGGAGTGAAAAAGTGCGCACTTTTCCTTAGCCCCTCTTAGTCCAGCATCCCCACCAAACATAGGATAGGACTTAGTCCAAGCCAAGCCTATCCTTGTGATTAGTCCTAGCCTTCCCAATCCCATGTAAGAAAACATGCTGCCCTGCCCTTATTTTACTTAAAAAGAAAGAAAAAAGAAAAAAGAAAAAAGAAAAAAGGAAACCCTGTGTTTTATGAGTAGCAAAATGTTTTTATTTTATTTTATTTATCATGCCGACCTAGTTAGCTATCTAACTTACTGTGAATGAATTGAATTCTTCCTTTGATGTTGAATATTTTATGAACAATTGAATATTTTATATTTTAGGATTTATTATTGTGATATTAACAATCATATTTGATTATACTGGATTGATTATTATGCTTGAATAAGAATTAGTATTTCAATTTAATTATTTAATATTTTTAATATTAAAATCATGAAAGTGTCTCAGGAGGCGTACGCCTCAACGTTTTAAGGCTTACTTAAGAGACCTACGCCTCACCTTTCAAAACACTTCTCTGCACTACATATAGGGCTTTGTTTTTCTAATTTTTGTTTTGTTGGCTATGGAGAAGTTCTAGATTGCTTTATGAAATAGCTAGTTGACAAGTTTTTGTTTTGTGCAGAGGGTGCCAAAGACATTTATGGACAAACATGGAGAGCGTCTATCAGATCAAATACACCTTAAGCTTCCAGGTGGTTCGGAAAGTGAAATAAAGCTCAGAAGATGTGCTGGTGAGTTTTGGTTTGAAAAGGGTTGGCCAGAGTTCTCTAAGTTTTGCTCTCTTGATTTTGGTAGCTGCTTAGTCTTCCGATATGAAGGGAAATCCAAATTCCACGTCTTGATATTTGATGAAAGCGGCACAGAGATTGAATATCCAATAATGCCCCAGATTGAAGGAACCGATGAAGAAGAAGATGATGATATGTCTATAGAAGAAATTTTGGAGATTGAAGATGATGAAGAAGATAATGATAAGTCTGTAGAGAGCTTGGAGATTGAAACTGATGAAAGTTCGGAGATTTTACTAATTGATGAAGAAGATGATGATGATGATGATGATGATGTTAAGTCTGTTGAGAGTTTGGAGTTCTTTCCTCTGTCTCAAGAGAAAAACAGAAGAAAGCCACGCTCTTCATCAAAGCCATCATCTTCTTCATCTTCATCTTTGAGGGCTACTGTTAAAGCTGCCAACAAGTTCGTCTCAAGCCACCCATTCTTCAAAATCACTTTGGGGCCATCCCGTGTGGCGGTAAGGGATTTATACAACTTCATTTGGTTCAGACACTGATTTATAACATTCTACATGTAGCACTTTATTCAAAGTCTAGCTCTAAATCATCTCCACTATATATCATTGAGCCATATTTACCATATGCTATATCTGCAGCATGTTCCAGGTAGTTTTCGAAAGCATTTCACTCCAGTGAAGAATCAAACCGCGAGGCTTCTGGTCGGAGATAGATTGTGGCCTGTGACTTTGATTTTTCATTCTCAAAACTACCGATTTAGTGCTGGCTGGGGAGCATTTGAAAAGGCAAATTGGTTAAAAGAAGGAGATATTTGCATCTTTGAGCTTATGGACAAAAAGAACCTTGCACTGGAAGTGAACATTTTCAGATGCTGATTATTATTGGATATGTTAGTTGTAGGTTGTTTTATGAACTCTGTGTGACTTGCTGGGCTCTCTAGGGATCTTTGTTAGAACCATTTGGTAGGCCTTCTAGGCCAGGTTGTTGTATGGAGCTCTTTATTTATGTTATATATTTGGTTCTTGATTAAATTTGTTTTATGGGGTTGATGGTTGAATTTGGTTCTTGCCTTCTCACGAGATTAGATTTGGGTCAGGAGTTGATTATTTAATCCTTATTTGCAAGGCTTGCAGAACACTGGAGAGAAGCCCAAGTTCTGCTTAAACAAGAGTTGTGTTGTAGGCAGAAGAAGCTGCTATAATTTATCAACTAGGCATTAACCTATAGAAATGCTTTCTTGCTAGACTGAGAATATTTTTGTTTGACTAAAATATATGTGACAACTTTTTTATAGAAGCGCTCTTGACATAAGCGCTACTGGTATAAGCACTTCCAAAAGAGTCATAAGTAGATTTTTGCCAACATGAGTTTAAAGAAAACACAAATAAGGGTGCACCATCTTTGTTTCTGTTTTATCCTTCATACGTTTCCTTATGAAGATCATGGAAGATCATGAATAAAGTGGGGGTCATTACTGAGTATGCCTAAAGTAAAGAGAGAAAATAGCAAAACTTATGAAGGTGATATGAAAAAGCAAAACAAGTTGTTTCAACTCTTTTCCCATGCAAATTCTTTGTGCATTCCTTTCCTTTGGACTGTAGACTCTATAGTATGAGAAGATAATTTTAAAGTGTTTTGCTTGCTAAGTCTCCAAGGAAAAGAAAAACATATGCGTTTCAATCTATTTTCAACTATGCTTCGGTGTGCTTTTTCTTCGTGGGGGTCCCTTTGCTTTGCTTTGTGGAAATGTCTTACATGGAAATCAAAAGTAACAATCTTTCATGTGATGAAATGGGTAATTTCATTAAAAAGGGAATCATACTTCATTTCTCTTTTTCTGATTTGACATGGCATTTTAGCTCACTTTTAATTTAATTTGCCTTTGAATTCATAATTTTATCTAATTTTGTTTGTTATAACTTATAATTAAATTGCGAAGAAGATGAAGAGTTGATCAGCAGACCTTGGATAAAAAGAGGGGAAAAAATCTAGGTAAGCAAGGGGCTCCCTCACCCGAACGCCTTTATTCGAATCCCCATATTCCAATATTGCTTGTATTAAAAAAATAAAAATAAAATTCCGGCCAGAAGGTTAAGTTATTGGAATTAGTTGTGCACTTTTATTGTTTGCTCTGAAACTTTTATTCACTGTTTAAGTTAACAAGATGTTCACTTTATGCTGTTGTTGTTTGCATTTGATTGTTTTTAGATAAAAATGATGGTTCCTTTCTCAATATTAGGAATATGAAAGAGTAGTCTAGATAGCCTTTCACATCATTCTCAGACATGGTGATGGCCTTGTTGACAAAAGCCTCGCACTCAATGGGTTCACGGCAACAAACAAAACCCCCCTACTACCAAGGCAAGGCTTACCCCTCTTCCTTTTTCTCTGCATTTACTTTAATATATTCTTTATGTGTAATATGTATGTATGTATGTATGTATGAATGTATGCACCTCTCTAGGCTTACTTTTTTCATTATATTTTGATTTCTTCACTTCCAGATTTTATTTCATTTTTATTTTGGGTAAAGCATTCTTGGCTTACAGGTAATTTAACAAGCCCATTTCTCCGTAAACTTATAAACTAGTTCTGATTCTTAGTCTGAGGATACCCTTCTTTTTTTTGTCCTAATGTTGAAAGAGATTTTAAGTTCGAGTCGTGGTTGTCTAAGTTGGATTATCAATTTTTTGTGATTGAGAGAGTGACTATTTACTTCAAATTTAGCTTTGAGTAAGACAGTATGGTCCTTTCCTGCAAAATTTTGCTTTGAGTGTACTGGGATTTTGCAAAGAATACAGGTATTGGCTTTAGTGATTCTGACAAAACAAAAGTCATGGGTTTAAGAAAATATGATGAACAAATAAATAAATGTGGCCTATATCACCACTTTTCTGTAGCTCTGTTCTTTATGTTTGCTATGCTTACCCCTCTCATCCCATTTCTTTCTTCTCTTGAATCATTCCTCATCTGGTACAGCACAGCTGTAAGTTATCCAACATTGATTCTCTCTCCACGTTTCTTTCTTTCTTTCCCACCCACCTTAAATATTTATTTCATTTTGAATTCTTTCTCTCTTTCGGGTATTTTCATAACCTCTGGCTTTGTTAGGTGTGTGTGCTTTAACCCAAAACCCTATCAATGCCAATTTGGCAAAGCCATCTAAAAATCAATGCCTATGCCTTCTTTCTTTCTCTTTGCAAATTGCAGCAGCCTTTAGTTGCATATAGGTTGTTTTAATAATCTGTAGCAGCTTTTTCTTTCTTTTTATTTCTCTCTTTCTTTTATTTAGTGGGTAATTATTGGAGATTATGTGAGATATTGTCACCTTTCCATGATTACATTCAAATGTTAATGTTGGATTTGAATTGGGTTAGTCATTGATGCTATCTCTGTGACTTTTGAACCAAAAGAAAAGTTCATAAAATTGGTTCCACAAAAAAGAGAAATTTTTTATCAACTCTAATCTTGGTCTAGCTGGCCTGACCGTGTGGATTTTCTCCTATTTGTTATGTTGAATCTAAATGATAGTTCGAAACTTAGAATGATCATATGTGTGCATTGTGCATGATGGTTAAGCACTTGATGCATATAATCTTTTACTAATTCATAAGTTTATGTAAAGAGAATGCAGTTAATTATGATCAGAATGGCTGAGAAATCATAGCTTCTCTGCTTGTTTCCACCAAGAGGCAGATGGGTTCATGTGGGTTAATGAGTTGGGGTTAGAATTACAAATTGCGACCTAAATGAAGATTTAGCACTTAAAAAAAGTTGCCAACTTTTAAAAAGCACCAATGTGCCCCACTTTTGTTTTTGGCTACACAGACAGGGAGGCCCATTCTTTTGATTTCTTTAAGTTTGCTTCTTCAGACAAGGTATAGTATCCATTAAGCTAGGCATCAGGATCATCAACATGAAACCATAAAAAAGAAAAGTTGTGCCAATGGGATTTTCATATAACTTTGTCTTTACATTTTCTATGAGATATTATAAAGCTGGGTGAGCTGCTTCCTTTAAGTAATGCATTGAGAAGTGTTGGTGTCTTGTTTTTTCGTAGCAGCAAAGCTATGGAATCGGAGACTAAGATTATGGTTGTTGCTAATGCTATATGTATGAACCAAAACCAATGGCTTTACTGCTTCTAAGACCAGGTAAGTCTAGAGGACTCATTAAACATCAACTTTTTGTTGTTGAAATTTTTTCTTGTTAAGTGTCATTTTTTTCTTTGTGTTGATCTCATTTGCATTTTTAAGCCCAGCTTATGATCTCCGGTAGCTTCTCAAAGAATGAAAATTAGGAACAAGTGAGTGAAAATGATCTGCTGGGTTCACTCTTGTCTTCCATTTTGGAACCCAGGTCTGTTAGAAATGAAGTTGAACTGATTTTTACCTCATATTATAAGCAGAGTTCACTCAATTAAGTCCATTTTTAGAGTCACCCTTTCTGCAGTGAATATTTTTGTGTGTACATTTCTTATTTGGAGATGATTGTGATAATTGCCCTCTTTCTTTGAGTGTCCGGAAGCAGGCTTGCATTGTTTTAATTGAGTAGGCTGGTTATTTGGGTTTCTGTTTCTAAATGTTTTTGGACCAAGTATAAATCTTGCCAAACACTTCTACGAATTGGTTTTTAAATTTCACTTGAAGGAAATCTGTCCTTTTTCTTGGTGGAAAAAATACTCTTTTTAAGTGTTGATGATGACTATCATAAAACGTACTATTTAAGCAGTTTCCAGAATGCTACTCAACATTTTTTTCTGTCCAAACTGTACTTTTCATTCTCCTTCTTCCTGTGCCCTGAAGCAGTCAAGTGCCTTTAAGTTAGCAATTGACACATTTAGACTTCTTCGTCTGAAGTCTTTTCTGTTTTCAGGTTTTCTTTGACCTGTTTTGGAGCTTAAGCATAGTATTGTTTTCAGCTGAGTGTTGTGGAATTTTTCCCCAGAGCAATATAAGAAATTTGAAGATACATTGACAGTCTGGTGATCGTGAAAGGCCTCATGGTCAATTATCTTTTTAAGCATACAAATATCACATGTTCCAAGTTATGAAAGATTATTTGTAGCTTAAATTCATGATATCGGCTTTGAAGAAATCCTTAAACCGTTTGAGCTATCATACAATATTCTTCAAGAAAATGTTTCAATTATTTGCTTATTTTACTGCTTTATGAGTGGTTGTCCAGAGTTCCAAAGTAGATTGCCTTGTTCACTACTCATCCCCAGGAAATATAACCAATACTGTGCCTTTAATGGTACTTGACATAATCAACGCATTTGTACAAGTCTAGAGCTTCTCTTTTGTTGGTATTTAAAGAGGCAATAGCTACATTTTTCTTTTCTTTCTATTTTCTACATCTTTACTGTGATTTCTTGCAACATTGGTTTTGAATCATCCTTATATCAGAATGTTAAAGGTCTTTTTCATGTTTTCTTTTTCAGCTTGAGGCGTCAATATATATGTGCAAAGAAAAGCTTTTAGAAGAATCAAAATGTTGCCAACATCTGAATTAGGTAGAAGCCTGCATTTGATCACTCTCACCAATTAGTTCTTACAGCATCCATAGCAAATACCCCAACCCCGTTCCGCCCCCGAAATTGGCTTTAAAGCGGGGAGAAAGCAAAAACCTAGTGAGTGGGACTATGAACGAGATTGGTTCTGCAAGAGAAAAACCATGGAACATATATACAAGTTCAGACTCAAGCCCGTCTCAAGCAGGAATTGATCGGCAAGTGCAATGGAAAAGCTCTGGAACATCCATGAATGCCATTTCTTTTGGATTTGTTGCCACAGCTATCTTGATATCTATGTTTCTTATCATGGCCATCTTTGAACATTTGTTCAAGCCAAGTCCTTCCTTTTCCACACCTGAAGGCGCAACTCATGGTTCTCTAGAGTCTGGCACTTTTAAGAAGCATGGAATTCCACAAACTGTAAGTTCCTACTTCATATTGTTGTTGAAGTAATTACACAAGAGGAATTTTATGTTGTGTTTAATATGTTCCAATCTGATTTCAAACCCTTGTGATTTTTAATGTTCTCCATTCCCTTTAAGTACTAGTTTTACTTCCATAATTGGAAGGGAAATCTGAAATTTTTCTGATGCCAAAAAAAGAAAGTGCTTTCTTATCATGCATGAATAACAAAATTGCTAGCATTCCAAGTTGTTATATCTTCACCTGCATTTCCCCTTTTATTCTTCTACAAGAACAAGGGAGATTTTAGATTTGAGTACTTTTTGCACTGTCCTTTTTCCCCTAGTTATGTCTGCTTCTGCAAGCTCTCTGTGCTTCAAATGATTGAGAATTCTTCACTTTTCTGAGCTCAACCTAGCCTTAAAATGTGAACTCTTCTAAGTACTTCATCTACTTGTTTGAGCTGATCTTGATTTTTCATCTTACAGGTTTCGACATCTTATGCGCCTGATTTCTCAGTATTGATGCCAGGACAGCAGTATCCTACCTACCTTGCCCAGCCTGCTCCTCTCCCCTCCTGCTCTAGGGAAGGGATTTATTGGCCTTCCCATGAACATAAATTGGTACTTCCTTAGGATATACATACTTCCATTGCGGCATTATAATTACCGGGGCTGTTTGTATATCTACAAAATGGTCATATTTCTTCAGTTCCATACTAAAATTTTCTATTAAAAGCTGTCTTCTGCAAGAACATACTATCCTTCACCAGATAATCAGCATTTGACTATGTACTTTTGTCAAAAATCAGATATTCCTTGCTGTATTTTGTGGTTTCCCTCTCTTTCTGGAGAAAATTATTGCCCACTTGAAATTTGTGTGGCAAAATAGTTGAATTAGAAGGAAGCAATTGCATAATTGAAAAATTAAAACTCGAGTCCAAGTGCGCAGAGTTTGAATGAGATATACAGATAATGCAAGATACAAAAATAATCCACCCGGTATTCTATAGTGAGGGCCTTAGATGAGGTTGTATTTATTAACTGTTGGAATAAATTAATTAATTTGATCTGATGGCTGAAAGATAGGGCCTCATCTAAGGACCTTAGCATGCTAGAAGAGGGTCAATGGAACAAAGACTAAGGCTCTCAGCACACTCATCTAAGGACCTTAGCATGCTAGAAGAGGGTCAATGGAACAAAGACTAAGGCTCTCAGCACAATGAGGAGCCAAGCTTAGGGCCTTTTTTATGAGGACATTTTGGAAAAGGACAAAGGAGAGAAATATTTTGAAAAGAAGTCAAAATGGACAAAAATGCCCTTATTATTTTTGGATTTCCAAAGGAATCTTTTATATTTGCATGTCTTTGGTTTGAAAGTTGATAAGTTTTTCTGTCTTTTTTGAAAAAGTTTTGGCTTTTTCCAAAAGTAAAAGTTTTTTTTGTGGCTAAAACTTAAATTTACTTCTTTTATATGAACCTGACTTTTTTGTTACAAGTCTAAAGTCGCAAGGGGGGTGCACAATATTGTAGAAATATCCAAAAAAAATTAGAAGAAACACAAGAATTAAAAATTGTCTGGAGGAATAACTCAAAGGCATAACTGATTTAGGAGCTTAGCTTGTAAAATGAAATTATTTCCGGAATGTCAATTCCATGCAAAAATGGATTTTGATTCCCTTTCCCTATATGTTTACAAGGAAGACGAAACCACCTCTTCTGTTACGGTAAATTCAACCAAATCTAGACACCACGGCCAAAGCCTACCCAACCTGCAAACCATTGAAAGCCGAAAGCTCAGCTCATATACCCCACCCAAAAATTTTACATCAGATAAATTTGCAAATGACAGAACCCTGCCCTGTTATGAACTTGTGAAGATCAGAAAAATCTACATTCAAAACAAATGACATCAGAGGTGAGAAATGAAATATACACGAATCCTAGCCCTCTGATTTCAAATACCCTCACCCTCTCACATCCACCCCGTTCTTCCTCCTCTTAGTACCATACATCTATACCATGTAACTTCTTTTCTTCTTGGGAACTTTTCCATTTTAATTTGACAAAAAGCAGAATGAGCTAATGTCCCTCCAACTCTTCATCAGGTAATATCACAGTCAATAAAGAATACTTCACACGAAGTGAAATCCTGCCCTTCTCAACCACTAGCCTTGCCCCAGAGACAATCCAATAACCTGGAGTCTCTTGTGGCCCTCTTGTCATCTCTGTTGTATCAACAAATTTCCGAAGCTTTGGAGCTTGGATGGGAACCGGAGGACCCCCAGGGTAAACAGCAGAATTTATGTTCACATCTGCTGGCCGCGGAGGTGGCTTCTGAACTGTTGTAAAATGATGGCTGATTAGTGTTGATATGAGTCCAGATTTATGTGCCAAACCTGGTGATCCATCCCATTCAGGATGCTTTACAACCGTAGCCCCGAAAACAGTAGAAAACCGGAGTCTCAAGAAGAGGATATTCTTTATTCCATAATTCTCAACCTGTAACTGGGCTCCGGTTACTATTGAAAGATCCTCATCAGACTCCACAGGCGCAGTGCAGACATGAGAGAAGTTCTTCCATTGGACTTTCTCATAGTATTTACGATCATAGGAATCACGACGGAAGTTTCCATTTGGATCATCTTCGAGTTGGAAGATTTTTGGAAGAGAGGATAGGTGTTGTAAGTGGATGGCCAAACGGTTGCTTCTTTTGCCTTCTAGGTACAGCCGCAGACCAGTCACTGGCCTCTTTCCTACGTCAACCTGATATCAACGTATAACAAATAATGATTGCTAGAAAGAAAACTGTTTTAAGCATGCAAAGTACTCACATCACATTCTCTCTCTCTATTTTCTGCTCAATAATCAGATGGTATAGTTTATGTCATGGAATTAGTGGAGCATCATGACAAATGCGAAGACAGTAAATCACCACTCAAACAGAGGCCATTATCAATTCAGAGATTTGCAACTTAGATATGAGAACAGGGATTGACCAAACAAAAAAAAAGATATGAGAACAGCATGACAAAAGTTTTCTATTACCTTCTGTTCTAAAAATAGACAGAATAAAACAGTTTCTAGAGTTAATGGATGAATGACTGGTTCAACTTCAACATGACAAAAAAAAATTGTCCCATGAACATAAAAAATGTATTTTAAACCACTCAGTCGCAACACATTTTTTCTTTTCTTTCTTTCTGAAGAAAAAAAACGGTAAGCATGGGGATACATTACCAGACTGGTGTTAACGTAAAGTTTGGGCCCCATTAAGCTAAACTGTAGGGATGCATTGCTTTGTTGTTTCCGCTGTGGACCAAGAGGAAGTTCACTAAAAACTGGTGCCCACTGCCTTGGCAGCTGGAATTCCAAAAACTGATGGAGCTCTTCAATTGGTGGTTTATCTGCAAGATAGGAGCAGAACTGAAATTTACTCCTGTTTCTTTTCTTTATTATTATTATTTTAAAAAAGAAAAGAAAAAAGATAATGCTTTGAATCTGTTGCAAAGCTAAAAACTTATCCTGTAATATTGTGGACCAACCCTACAGATTATAAACTGCTCAGCTCCAGAAGGTGTTTCTCCATTAATGGAACAATTGTGCTAAGTTACTCTTAAAATTAAAAGGATCATGATTCCTTTTCACAAGCATGCTTTCATAACAGAAATGTGCAATATCCATTAGAAAAGCACAATCAGTTTTGGAAGTTGTAATCTCCTCTTAGTCAAAACAAATTGGCCCCAATATTCCATTGTAGGCAGTATATGCATGGCCACTACATTCATACGCTAGAGTGCTTCGTCACTTAAACAGACACTCTTTTTTTTTGGCATCAAATTTCACAATAGCTAATATTTTATTCTTCTAAAAGTAAAGAAAACAAAACATGGTGGAGGATACTTTCCTGGAAACTACAAATAAAAGGTTTTAGAAGCTACACATGAAAATCTGACATAGTTTCAGTTTAGGAAATGATGCTTTCAAAAACTCAATATCTCAGTAAATTTATTATCTATATTTAGTTTATTTCACAAACTAAAAAAAATTACAAATCAATACCAAAGAAAGTGAAAAAAAAAATTTCCAAGAAACTTCTATTTAGAAAACGTTTAGGAAAGACAACTGCAGTCCTAGAGATTTGGCTGGGATGGAAAAAGAATTTAGCTTGGGGCTTTTAAGGGCTGTAAACAGTGCTGATGAAGTTAAGTTGGCTACTTGTAGATTCTAGAGTTTTTGAATAGGCTGACTCACAGTTTTTAAGGTAGGAATTAACAGTTCGCGGTGACAGGAAGTTGGAGAATTTGCATAACTTCGTCTAGTAAAATAGATAGAAAACCACTGACCCTTGTTACACAGCAGTGCCTTTCCCCTTTTGAGTCCTAGCACCAGGGATGGGCAACGGATACGCAAAAGACACACAAACGTCACCATCACCACCACCAATTCCTAACACCAAATGGGTACCCATTGCCCATCCCAACCTATGGCACCTCAGATTAGGATTGCACATAATCTTGAACAAGCATCAACGGCTAGAAACCTGAAATTAGACCCACGGGTGACAACAACAGCCCATCTCCAGCAGAAGAACTCCCAACTCCTAAAACTTAACAAACCATAAATAAATGTAAATAAGCAGCTTCCTACAGCATGTGCAAATGCAAGTCCATGTTCTCTTTCCAAATATATGACATGCTGCCAAACTGTGAATCTATACCATGCATCCAAACAAGATTCCGCTTCATCAATGATTTGAATTGAAACTCTGGCAACCTAACATACCAAACTATCTATAGATATGATATACACAAATGAGAGTCAAGATTTTTAAATGCAGTAAATAGAAAATCAAATGCAACAGTGATGCAAACAGAATAATTTTTGCTTACATCGTAAATAAAGATTTATGGCATGGCTCAAGAATCCACTCCCTGGAACTCCATTCAGCAGAGAGGTAATTGGTATAAATGACATCGCAATTACATCAGGTTCAAACTGAACAGTTTGTAACCATTCATTATGGGATAGATTTCTCGTATCACTTCCACCTCTCCTCTTGCAAATGCTTACAATATCCTGCAACTAAAGTAATTTAGTGACAAAATATACGGATGCACAATTTCAAAAGTAAGATTTACAAAGATATCTGATAACCAATGAATTCAGTCAGACAATGAACGAGGTTTAGTAATAAAACGCACTTCCTTGCGTGAATAAGAACTTGATGGACTAGTATCTGCAAAGCGCAACCTCTGCTCCCTGATTTCGAACTGAGAAAAAAAGAAGAAGATAAGATCTCCTTTTGAAGGGGAAAGAGGGATATGTAACTAATTCAGACAATAACTTTTTAAGGCAATCCATTGTTGATAAAAAGAATTATATTAGGCAATCCAAAATCAAATCCCACAAGGACAAGGAAACAATAAATCCCTGCCAAAACAAAATAGCAAAACTATTACTTCAGCACCTATGCCTAAAAGAACCACAACTCCCATCAACTTATGCTTCCATATAACCTAAATCATCCAAAAGAATAATTTTATTCAACAATAACAACCATTTTGCAAATCTTTGGTAATCCAGTTTCAACAGGCTTTTCCTGCACATGTGTCACACAAATGAAAACTTTAAGAAAATGAAATAGATTTTCAAGTCATAGTCTAATATGAATTACTCTGAAGGTTTTCTTTTCAACTCATTGTATCAACTCAGGAATTTTGACACATCTAGGAAAGGATACATCCTTGTATCTATCCCACATATAATCACTAGAAACTCTGGAACACCAAGATTCAAAATTATCCAGAACAAAGGATATTAACCTTTAACCTTCAAATACTTTGTAATCCATTCTTTTTATAAACAGGTCAGTAGATTCAGAACTACTTCTTGCCATCTACTAAGAAGAGCAATGTTATTATCTAACCAAACAGACAGGATTTCTTTGAGAATTAAGAAATAAAACTAATAGTTATTAGCAGTCCATAGACCAAACTCACTGTAAGGAATCAGATTGTAGGTAAAATATACTATTGATTGAAACAATTTAGATGCTAAAATTAAAATGTTGAACTAAATTAAGTACCATAGATGCGTTACGAACCTTGTCATTCTTGTAAACTTGTTCCGAAGGCATACCATACTGACCATTTGCATCTAAAAACCTTTTATCTGCCATATCCTTTAATTTTTTCTGTATATCGGCTGGTTGAAGAGTTGAAGAATGCTGCTGCTTCATATATATAACATCCTTCCCTCCCATCTTCACACCAACAACAATATGGGTTCCAAATGTCTCTATAAACCTAGAATGAACATGAACTATAAAAAAACACATTCCAGTTTTCAAGTTTGAATACAGTACACTTAGATAAAATAAAACTAATAAAAGAAAGAAGATATATCATAACATTTGTGTTCATCACGAGACAGAGATCATAACTCTCGATGGTAAGAAGACTTAACCCCACCTATTACTGCATTTTACAGATGCCATATAGTTCAAACCAATAAATACATCAACATAAAAATTGGTTATTTCACTTGAGAACCATGAGGTCCAAGTATTTTGCAATTATTTGCATAACCATGAAACATAATTAAGGTCCCTTGCATTGGATGCAATTTAATTTTGGCAAGTGTTTTAATGAGGTGTTTCCTTGGCAACGTGAATACTAAGTTATTTCTTAGTTCCAGAACATAATCAGGATCCTTGGGCAACAGATGCTCATTAATGTAAAGAGGTTCTTGCATTCCCTAGACAATAAAAGCTTTAGACATAAATGGCAATAAATAAGTCAAAAAAGAAAGGAAAAGTTTGCAAAGCTGTTGACACCTCTGGTTATACACAAGAAGATTGTTAAGAAGAGTTCTTTAATAACAAAGCACACTTGTTATTTCTTGAAACAAAATGTTTGCCATGCAAAAATATTTCCTAGCTGGCACAGAACCAGAAAGAAGAATCTTGTCAGTTATTTGCATCATTGAATATGACCAACCCTAGTGTCCACTTTGTTACCACATAACCAAACACTGAAGTGCAGGAGTATGGTACAAGTACAACAGAATTCTGCTAAAAATGAATTGATGAAGTAAATAAATATTTTGGACAAGCCTTATGAACCATGGTTCTTACCCTTTTTCTCTTTTTATACCTCCTTATGCAAGGCACATATGTGCATGGCATAGGCAAATCAAATAGCATTTGAAAAGTATATTACAAAGACAAGCTTCCTATCAGAAGTCAATAAACTGTAGTATGAATTAAAGACATGAAGCTTTAAAGACTGAGCTTCGCGTAGATCAGCGCTAACGTTATCATTTGCCCAAAAACTCTGTAAACCCAGCATGTAGATAGACACTAATGTTATCAAGTAATTCACCTTGCTAATGCAGCAGGTTCCCATGATGATGGGACTGCTTTTTTAACGTTATCAAGCAGTACCATCTGAGATTTTTCGAGTGCAACGGTATAGAGAGTGATGAACACCCCATCAAAAGCAAGGGTCTTAGTGTTAGCTGCATCTTTCTGCCAACAGCCTGAGAATTCAAACATAGAATTGAAAAGACCTGAGGGTATTTTTCCAGTCAATGAAATTTCCTGGTTGAACTGCTCTGACATCTGCAAGGGAGAGAGAAAACGAGAGAGATTATAAAAAAAATAAAAAATAAATAAAAGGCAGCAAATTCACTTTCTGCTCTACTACCACTTTACATGCTTAAAGCAAAATCACAATAGACAAATAAAATTCACTTAGGAGAATCTAATGCAGTATCTTAGCATAGAAGCTACTCTGGTACTTTTAAGGGTATGCAATCCAGCATTCAAATATTTGTTCATTACTGGAAATCCAGCCTAACACCACCCAATCCCCATGACCAAACAACAAGGAGCCTGGATTTCGCACTAGGACTTTTTTTGTTCCTTTCTTGGGGCAGGGTAATCATCATTCAGCTATCTCATGGTTTTGTCCATTTTTGTGTTAGTTAAACTACTATAATCATCAAACGAGCATAAAAGACTGTATACAAATAACATTTTTGCTAGATTGTATTGTATCCATATGTACAACTGTTTAAAAACAGGCCACACATATGAAGATTAGATTTTAAATTTTAGATAACAAACTGCAATGGTGGTATGCACACCGAAACATGTGAGAATTGGGATTGAGAACAACTGAAGATACCTGTTGGAAAGAGAGAACATCGGACCTGAAGCGTGTGCGCTCTCCTTTATCGCATTTTATCGATTTGGGAACATTGGGGATTGTAATCCCACCTGGAAGAACAATCTCACGACCCCCATCGTCATCGATTTCAATCAATCGAGAAGTGTACGACTCTCCTTTGCAGTACTTGAGCCTTAAATCGATGGATATATCATATCCATGCCCAATTGATGCAATCGCAATCTCAGCAGCTTTTGGAGCTGGAACCTTAAGCGCCATCACTCAGCACATCGCTATTTTTCACCAAACAAAGATCCAAAGTCTGCATTTTTCACAATATAAGTTTATAAAAATTCAACATACAGCTTCGCATATGTCCTAATCCAGAAGCTATCATTAGAGTCCATAAATTCAGCTCAGAAGTATTGAAAAGTTGACAAACTTTACACAGAAACCAGATCCAAGCTGAAAATATAGCTCACATTAAACAATTCAAGGTCGAGCTAACCAGAAAGTGTAATTAAATGTGTAAATGCATGAATATTTTGCAGAAATTAGGCAGATGCAATACATTTTTTTAGCTCAAACTAGAAATGGAACTGGCAGGAAACAGAGCTGAAACGCAGTCTTTCAACTCGTAATTCTTGCGAATTGTGCAATGCCAGTGCGAGATTCGTACAAAACCCTGGCTCGAGGACTAGGTTTTCGAAAGAGAAACCCTACTAAGAGAGAGAGAGAGATGTATGTCAAATGTGCGAAAAGCACGGGAGTGAGAGAGAGAGAGAGAGAGAGAGAGTTTGTGTTGCGGGGTTTGACCGAATTTGACAGATTTTTATTGACTCGTGAGTTGTTGGTAGAGGTGGTATTTTAAACCGAAAAACCATAAAATTAACTGACATTATACCGTATTGGAACTGTAATAATTAAAAATCAATCAAAAATTGCAGTTTTAGAAACCGAACCGCAATTGCGATTGCGGTTGTGGTATGTGATTTTGGCAACTCGCAATTACCGCAAACCGCAAATATATATATATATTTAAATTGCATTTTAGTAGTTAGATGTTGTGTTTTAATTTGGTTGAGTTTAATATATTATTAATATGCTTTTATGTTGTTGCTTTTGTGTTGTATTGTGTTATAGATGAAGTATAGCCACTCTAACACACCTAATGCCTCTAATCCCTCAAACACAAATCGATATACCCGAAACACAACCTCTACTCCAATAATAAAGAAGGGTTTCTTCTTATAATAAAATTCACTCACCACCACCTACACTTGAGTTCTCCTTTTGGTTTGTTACTTGAATTAACTTTGAATTAGATTTTTCTTTAGGTTGTGAATGCTTGAGAAGTTGAGGTTGATGTTGTGAATTTATATATGTTTGAGAAGTTGAGGTTGTGAATTTATATTTTTTTGTTAAAGTATGCTTGAACTCAAAAAGCTTCAAAAAAAGCATCAAACATAGGCTTAAAAGTGTGGAATATTGAATTTTGATGACACAAAAAGACCACACTTAAATATCTAAAATTGTCTAATTTAGGCCTAAAATATTCAAATCGGTTTAAACCGTTAATTCACGGTAACCGACCGATTTTTGCGGTTTACCACAATACTGTAAACTGCAAAAAAGCGGTCGATTTGCAGTTTCAAAAATCACCATACCACAAATAGTCGATCGATTTGCAATTCGGGAAAAAATTCGCAATTACCGAACCGCAGCCACTAGTTGTTGTTATGAGAACTTGAAAACGTATGGGGAATTAACGGTGGGCCCCTAATGTATTATTTTTTAATTTTTTGGGGTCAAGGATTTTTAATTGCTAGTTGATCAACAAATATAATATAAATAAATTGTCCAAACGGCGCTCAATTTGTAGCACACTTTCTATTTATATTTTCACCATATTTTTTATTTTTTATTTTAAGAATAATTGTCACTTGAAGTTTTTTTGGGACAAAAAATTGTCACTTGCCTCAAAATGAGGATATTATAGAATGGTTTCGATGGTATAATCTTTCACTTTCCTATATAATTAAATGTTTTACTGTTTGATGGTATAATCTTTCACTTTCAAAATAAGGCACCACAAATACATGTTTGTAATCAAATAGGGGCTTGCCTTTCTTCTACTAATTCAATTTGTATTTCCCTCTCTCCCTACATTATGTAACTCCACTTATTGAGTTAGATACTTCTAGATAGGCATGTAAAGTGGGCTCGTCCGACCCTATTGAGGGTTATTTCATGATCTGACTAGGGTTATTTCATATCCTAGTTAGATCATGAACGGCCCTATATGGCCCTATCAAACATGCCACATATATAATTAATTAAAGTATGAATTTCGGGAAACTTAATCAAGATACGAAGTTAATACGAAAAAAAACATGATGTAGTAAGCCATAATAATGAGTGGGGCCAGCCAATGCCCAAAAAGTAGGGCCGAGTTCAGACTAGCCCATTAGGCTTGGACAATTTTTACAAGACTATATCAGACAGCTATTAAGGACCCTCATTATAACCCCTCACTATAACCCTTCATTTTAGCCTCCTTGCAAATGTAATACCAATGAGGTGCTAGTTGGATTAGCCCAAACCCTTGGTGCGCTCCCAAGCGGTCTTGAATTCAAGCTCTCATGGTACCCATATGTGTGAGTTTTTTCCCTTTTTCCTTCCTAAATTGAAAAAAGAAAAAAAAAAAAAAAAAAAAAAAAAAAAAAAACCAAACCTATTCACCACCATATTCCACCACCACCAGTCACTCTGGATGGGATCTTTATTGGCAACTCATCTTACCCCAATTCAACCTTTCACAAATTTGTTGAAGCATCAAAATAGTTGTAAACAAAATTTTAGGTCAACCATTCACTTCTCCATTTGATTTTGGTAAAAGAGAAGGTTCTTCATCATGATTTCTACACCTAAAGAGAGTACGAGAAAGAGTAAATTAAAAAAAAAAAGACATCGCATCTCGTCGATTGAAGTGGATGAGAAATGATTTGTTTGGGCATACTTTTGTCAACTGTTCTTTTGTTAGAAATATGTCAAAAAAATTGTTAAAAATCAAAGTGTATACTGGATAAGTATTTTCAGACTCGGAAGTACTTTTAACTGTTTCAGCTAAACGCTATTAAAAACGTCTTTAGCACCTCAAAAAGCATTCCCAAACAAAGTCAAAGACTAACCCAAAAAATAAGATAAATAATAGAACAACCACGATGACTTGGGCTAATCTTTAGCCCTTCTTCGGCTTCATCACTTTTAAACCAAATATTCTCCTTACATAAAATTTCGATTTGTAGAAACATACCACATCTATTGATCATGAGTAGTTTCAATTTTCAAACCTTCCAATCTTAAAGGTTTTATGTCCTTTTTGTAAGGTATACTCCATTAGATTCTAACAACCGTTCAACCCTGACTAGAATGTCAAATTCATTGACAATTGGGAGGAGAAGCAGTGAAAGTGTTTTGTGCGTTTAGCTAATATTATTTTTTATATTTATTATACAAGTGATATTGAAGAGAGGAGGAATCGAACCTAAGACCTCATAGGTAAATGCTCTTAATCACTCGAGCTACAAGCCCTTACAGTTAATGTTGTTTTCAATTTAAGTCATGTAGTACTCGTTTTTATTTCAACGTTGTTGTACACGTTTTCATTTTCAACGTTGTTGTACTCGTTTTCATTTCAAGTGAAATAAAATTATGTTTTTGGAATTTCAACTTCTTTAAGTTAAAATGTTATAATAAGAAATCCCTTTTCTTTTCTTTTTTTTTGGGTAAAAAAATCTCGATGGTATAATAAATGCATTGGAGATGGTCTAATACCAAACTTCCTACACTATTTATCATAAAAAGAAAAACTTGTAATTAACCGCAATTAACACCCTTTTTCCTTACATGCATAATAATAATAATAAACCTTTTCCCTATTCTCCTGTTACTACACCATCAATATGTTGCCAAATCTGACATCTTTCACTTTTTAATGCATACCAGATGGTTAGGAATCTACCCTTTAGCTATTTTCAACTCACGAGTCTTCTCATCCACAACATGTCTCCAGTTTCTTCTCACCTTCTATACCCCATCCTTTGGACCTTCCCGCACTCACAGGCCCCACTTTCAAAAGCTCCATTGTCTTTATAAGCAAATGCAAATTACCATCTACCTCCGCCAATTCAAGCTCTACCTCTAACTTCTCTTCTCTTCTCTTCTCTTCTTCTTTCTTCTTTTTTCTTTCTGGTGTATATACTTCTAGCTAGCTAGCTAGCTGTCTGTATTCACAAGCCACACCTCCATTTTCAAAACACACCAAAATGGATAAATATTCCAAGATCAACATCATGAGGCACTCCCAAAACTCAAGATCCATAGACTTTTCAGATCTTGTATCATTTTCCCCAACTCAAAAATCCAACACCACAAACCCCACCAAGAAAACCCAAGAAACCAATCTCCAGATCAAGAAAAACAGCACAACCCAAGATCAGAAAGGAGATGAAGATGATGAACAACAAGGCAATAGTGTTGGAGAGAGCTTTGGTAGTGTGGTGGTGTTGAAAAGGAACAACTCCATCTCTTCTTCTTCTTCTTCAGCTGCTTCTGGATTTCAGTCTGCATTCAAAGGAGCATTCTCAGTGAGAAGATCTTCTTCAGTGTCAGAGAGGTATTGCAGGATCCATGACCAGTCTACAACAACATTAACATCATCACCCAATGATGATGATGAAGATCAAGCTGCTGCTTGGGGGACAACAAGATCTATGAAGAAAAAGCACAAAGGAGGCAAGATCCTTAAAGCCTGTAAGCGCTTTTTTGGACTCTAGCTTATATTAGCTTGTGGTTCACTTTCAGTCACATACATTATTAGTAACAGACAGATACACCCCCCAGTGCACTGCGTTCTGTTTCTTATTTTTTGGTTGAGACTACTTGAGATGAGATAGATCCTCTTATTATTTAATTGTTTGAAGAGGAAGAGTGAATTTTGGATGCTGCCATTGTTGGACAATCAGAGCTTTATATATTATTATATATAACCAGTCTACTTTCAAAATTTCACTTCACTTTTGGATATAATTCAACCCAATTATTACCTAATTAGTGGCCTTTGAGGCTTTTGACTCCAACCAACAAATGGGAGACAGAGGGGAAAGAACACAAGCAAACACCTTCCAACTCTAATATTCATTAAAGAGATGAGATGAAATATGAATATAATTCTCTGTTTATGTAATTTATGTGTTGGAATTGTACTTGTCCCAACACTAACCCACTATCATTATATAATAATAATAAAATAGCATTTTCATGAGCAATAGTCTATGAACTTGTACATGATTCACATTTTGGTCTTTGAATTCAGAAAATGGTTGTTGTAGTGTCTCAACTCCACTTTCATTAGCCCCACTGTTCCTATCGTCATATCTATTACATTGTCAAATTTAGAGGCATAATTGTCATTTTAAGTCCACCTCTAGAATTTTTAAGAGCAATGGTCAATGAACTTATACATAATTCAATTTACGTTTTAGTCCTCCAACTTAAATATTGACTCTTGTAGTCCTCAACTTCACTTTCTCTCACACCGTCCAGTCGTCAAATCTGTTACATTTTTTTAAAATTCTAAGGCCAAAATGGTCATTTTACATAGTTTTTACTTCCCACCAGCTTCCCTCCCAAATTCGTTGCAGTCTCTGACAAATTGAACCCTAATTCCTTCCCCATGCATGTCCCATTGATTCTGGTTTCAATAATAAGCATTGACCCAGTGAACTACCCCACCCACCCAACCAAACGACAAGCCACCCTCCCCTCTTTATTGCCAGCTGAGCTGATTTTTGAGAAGAAATAAAGGATCTATGGATGAAGTTTGAAGATGGGGGAGAAGGAGGGAGGTGCAGGGGTTAGGAACAACTCCTATGTACGAATTACTTAGAATTTTCCAATGTAATCAATCCTAATTTCAACTAAATTTATGTTGTTATTGCACTAGATCGTTGAAGGCATAAAAAGAAAAATCAAGCTTAGTCAGTTCCTCCACTCGGATCATAGTGGCTTGGTTGGTAGCCAAGTTGCTTAAAGCACAAGTTATTATTCATCATGCTATTAGGCTCTTTGCAGTACTAATAGTGGCAAGTTTGCAATTCGCACAATCTTCTAGTCTGTTTTTGGGGCTGGTGAGATTGTGGGTAAACATACTTATGAAGTTATGATTAACAAGCCAGATTTGCATATGCACACATCCAAGGGAAAAGTGAAAAACATATAAACATAAATATCTTTTAGGGTTGGCTGCGTGCATTTATTTCGCATATTAAAAGAACTTGTGTGAATGGAGCTCCTGGTTCGGGCATCACATCATCAATCTCCGTATCTAATGATAATTGTTCCCACTTGTTCGAGGATATCTCATGTTAGATTTCCATGAATGCGACAACAACGTAAGTACGTGGTAAATTCGATATCTAGTGTTGGCTAGTCCATTTTAGCGGCGCTTGACAAAATTGACTAAACTAATGAAGTTGAATAATGCATGAATCTTACTTTCTTTTCTCACACTCACGCGGTGTTCATCTAATTCATTTGAATGAAAGCAATTAGAATGATGGATTTTGGTATCTGAGATTTTAGCGTAAAGTGCTTTACTAGAATTTAGAAAATATTATTTTAGTGGATCCTCATCTTCAAATGTCACGTTTTAGGTCTGGAGCTGATGGTAACTGTCCCTTGTCGTGTCAAATGGTCAACTTTAGACATGCTTTTAACCTTTACTAGACGAGTCACTAACTAACTCTTGATCTAGTGATAATAATCTTCCACGATGTTGCAAAGTGCTTTAATGACATGGTCACGTGGCTATAACGCTGCTTAACCTTATGTGCTTTGTACTTGACTGCATCTAAAGGTATACAATCCATTGTCACTGTCACTACAGAGCAAAAAAAGAAGAGCCAAGATGAAAGCAAAACACCATCCTTTCAAGTTCTCTTATTTCAGTCGCTGAATCAAATTGAACCAAGGAGAAAAAAAGAATATCCTAGGAAATCAAGTGGATGACGGATATATATATTGACAATTAATCTTTCTGTACATTTATACAGTAAATGCCTTTCAAAGTGGACAATAGAAGATGCCCCCCCTCCTTGTTTTTAATAACATGGCGAAATTGATTTGATATGCAACCTACCTATGACATGGTATTGGCTTGTGGAACTTTCAAATACACACAGATATGAAGAAAGTGCTCAGGGTTCATTAAGTTGTTTGCCACCCAAGAAAATGGTATCTCCAATTTCGGATGAATACCTTGGATACGAACTAGCTTGATTTCAGCATCATCATGTTGATAGCAAGACGTGATACGTTCGCTTGAGTTTTCTACTTCCTCTTCGGCCTTTCTATCGCTGCTTGCATCTTCAGAGGAAACTCTTTGTTCATGCTCATCACCTACAGTCAATGATTCTTCATTGGTCAAGGATTTGTCAAGAAAATACTCTGGCAGAAGGCTCTTCACTGCATCATGTAAAGTGAAGCATCTACCTGCAGTGCAACATAGGTGAACTTGGTCAAAACTTAAAAGCTTAGAAACCCTAATATTATTTGTCAGACATGCTTAGCGGTGCCAATTTCATAAATAAATTGATGAGGCCAGCAATCCATTTACACCTTGACCTGATGTACATTCTCCCTATATAAATAAGTTAATTCAATCAAGGAACTACAGCTACCAAAGAATAAGAGCTAATGTAGCTGCAGTAGCCGGGAATACATATAGATTTACGTGTAAGGCACCTTGGAGTTCTTACGTAGGAAATACTCATAAATAAATAAAATAAAGTAAACAAGACCCTTTGATTCATGAACTTGTATCACAAATAGAGTGCTTAAAACCCAAAAAACAAGTATCACACAGAGTAACAAAGACATCTTTCTTTCTCACTTGTTCAGATGTATATATATAAAATATTTTTTATAATGGTGTAGGGAAAAGGCTTTAGTGATACCATGATCGGTATAGCAATCACAAATCAGATAAACCCTGCCAGCTTACCCAGATCAGACATGAAAACTAAGAATACAAGATGTGGAATGCAATTCCAAAACAAAACAAGTCATGGGAGTACTGCAGAAACACTATAAAGCCTTCCACAAGAAAGTTGATGAAAGTTTCCTTTCTATTTTTACAGACCATATTAATAGGTGTCTATTTTGTCTTGATGAAAATATCCTCGTCTCTTACTAGAAATAGCATTAAATTAATGAAAAATGAAAAGGAAAAAAATAAAATAAAATAAAACATGAATTCACCACACACATATTTCTGAGATAGGTTCATATGAGAAATAAGAAAATTGTCTTACCTCCTTCTCCTCCTTGTATCTCAACAGGCCGGTTTATGTAAGAGACTTTATCCCAACTATCAATCTGAGGTGCATCTTCTAAATCTTCAAAGTCCTCACTGACACTCCAAACGTATAAGCGAACTGGAACTCGGCCTAGGAAAGCACCATCATTTGAAATTTAATTGCAACATTATAGGTGTATCCATATACATAAGTAACTATTTCAGTTCAATTCAAAAGTAGGAAGCTCTTTTGAGGATTTCGTCATCCAATTTTAATTCGAGCTGTCGGACAAAAGGAAACTTAGGTGAAAGGCTACAACCTCTATATCTACGTAAGTCTTTACTTGATTAACGCTAAGCCATAACCAGAACTGCTTCAAACAACACAAACCAATGTTTTCGTACTGTTCTCAGCCCCAGATTGCCTCCTAAACTGTCAGTGATACAGGAACATGTAAGAAGCTTTCCAACTCTGGGCAGCCCACTAGGCAACTTGGCTTGGTTCTAGTTAGTTTGGGTTTATATTTGTTTCCTTGTCTTTTATTTTTCTTGTTTGAACTTTATGTCATATTCACTTTAGCAGTTGATTGTTATGTTCTTGGTCCTTCTAAATAGTCGTGTGACGGTCATGTTTTTAAGTATTTTTGGAGGGAATATTACTATATTAGTGAGGTATAATGCCAGGGCTGCTGTCACCCTAGAATAAATATTCTTTTAAGAGTCTTTCTATGCAGTTTTATGCAGTTAATTTCAGAAATTTCAGATTGAGTATCCCTGGGTCTCTTTGCCCTAGAAATGAATTATTGACGTTCCACCCATCTGTCTTTAAACCATTTCGACACTAGGCCCTACAAATTCTCTTAAGCCTTTGAAAAGCCTAGAACTCCACAATTTTCCTAAGCAGAACAAGGTAAAACAACCTCTTGCTGTATCTGAAAGCCAGAACGGCAACACATTTGAATTTGACATGGGCCAGCCCGAACAGAGCCTGTATATAAAAAGTAAGGAACTGATATCAGCCCTTTTATCAGGACACCGGTGGAATTGATGCTGGGCAGTACCTTTAAATAGGGAATAAATCTCTGTGACTGATTTTGGGTGGGCTAGAAGAAAGATGTGGGCTGAGTGACTAGGGTTTAAGCTAGGAAGACAATATGAAGTTATAAAGAGATTTGACAGGAAGATGTGGACACAATTATCACAAAAACAAGCTACAAGATTAAATAATTTGCTAACCTGCCTTCACTTGTCCAGAAAAATCAGTGTCACCACTTAAATTCAACTTTGCTCCATATTCATCGCCAACTGTCCCAAGCTTAAGTTTAGTAGACACCCGTCGGTAGGGTTCCAAATTACCTGCGCCAAAATGTGTGTTGGAGAGTGATTAAGCACAGAAGGTTCATTGATACAGTCACATTCACAACGGAAAAGAGAAATAAGATAATAACTACAACCCCAACATGATGAAACTAAGGTAAAAAGAAGGGAGGAAAAGGCTGCATGGGGCAATGGGGTACCCATACATAAGCCACAAAATTACTAAAACACCACCTTAACTTTCATCTGTTTTCACAAAGAACCTACATGCATGCATGAAACTCTCAATGCAAGTTAGTGTCCTGTAAAAACTTAAACTTGATACTAATATTTCATGAGGAACGCTCAGAATTCCACTCCGATGCAAAGTTTATCCACTCTGGTGCAAAGTTTATCCACATATACAAAATGTTAGACTGATAATATCCACCGAGTAAATGTTTTCCCAATGTAAGAACAAAACAGAAGTGTTGATGATTCTGTGATGAGAACAAGCTGGATTGGTTCATCTTGGAAATTGCTATTTCATGACTAAAATGAATATTGAAGTGAAGTAAATGAGACAGTCATATTCCAAAAATAACTATATGTGGACTCAGATAGTGCACTCAGATATATGTGGACTTTTGTATATCCCTTCTGAAACATAAATAAGAAGAAGCTCTACTAAAAGTTAAGGGGTTATAAGAGCATGGCAGAAATCCAACTCAGTAAACCACACACAAAAGGTGTTTCTTGCCATGTATTTGGCTGATCATCTATGCTTCACTAAGTATAAAAAAAAGGCCGGCAAAATAACCTGCCAAATTGTCTGGAAAGACAGTATTATTTCATATACATGTTATCTTTTTTTCTGTATCAATACATACAATTCACATTTTTTACTCTTTATGAAATTATCATAATAAATCTTATTTTTCTAGGGCATGTTGAAAGAAAAATATGGCAAAATGCAAGTGTAGTTGAAGATACTCTAATATCAAGTACTAATGTTACAAGAGTTATTTATCAATCAGCATGTGACCATGCAACTTCAGATGATTAGAAAGATAATTATCTTAAATAATGGTCAGCAACATCACCTATCTTTGCATTGCCTGATATTTAAGACTTGAAAGGATTATATTCTATCTACCTAGAGATGATTGAGAACTGCCATCATATTTACATGATTTACTTGTTTCTTGGCTTTGCAGCTGAAGCTCCATTAATAGGTTTTTTTTTCTTCTAGAAGTAGTAAAGGAACAGGGTTTGGTATACAGAACATCATAATTGCAGTGGATAATGGAGGTTATTGATGGCTAACGATTGAAGAGTTAATCAAGAACATTATCTTTGTTTGGAGGATAGAAGACTACGTCACAGTCTCATTAGGTCCTGATCAGAGGCAAGGCAGCTAACAGTAGTCATTGAAAGGTGATCACCAAGTTGACAGAGCTTAACCGAGGAACATCATACGTGATACATTGCAAATTATACTTGCTTGTATTAAGTGCAAGATGATAAAAGTGTGATTGGGAGGAAGGAAAGATGGAACTGTGCAGTGGTATGCAAAACAAAAAATGTACAAGACTATTTTATTTTTCACAAAAGTTATGTTTCCTATGCAAAATAAATGAACATCCATTTACATCTTATAATGACTGTCAATCAAGAAACATTTTGCACAAGATAACTGAAATTTTCATTTTAGCAGGTATACCATTTAAGACAGAGCGCCAGAGCTCCACCTGATCAGGTTGAGACATGTTCATCACATTCTTGCAATTCCCATTAATTATATATGCAGCCTGCAGTTGTAACAGATACCATCAGAAATGATTTAAACTGACATCTACATTGTGAGACAAGCATTTGCAATGAATATTGTCACCAGATCCCAGATTAAGCAGTAAAACCAAATTGAGTCTCATCTAATATATGGCAAGAAATGAACAGTTTTATCAAGAAAGATATGAAACTAACAAAAAATAAGAACCCGACCTCTTTCAATGAATTAATAAAGCTCCACTTTACGCTATCTTCACCTTCACAAGGAATCAATATGTTCCCCGGATATCCTGTAAAATGCACCTGTACAAAGAACCAAAAGTTGACTTCCAATCCACAAATGTGTATTGTAAGAAAAAGAGATCGATCAAGAGCATAAGAGTCGAAAGATCATTAGAAACTATCCATAACATCATTCAAGTCGATGTATACTTTGACATCATAAAATGCTTGTACAGCATTTTACATGGTCCAAATCTCATCCTCCACACCCAAATACATAGGTGGGTGTATGGGAATCCTTTAATCTAGTTGAGATTAATTAACATGTTAACCAAACTAGTTTGTTAAACTCAAAATTTAAGCTATAACCTTTAGAACATTTTTCTTTTTTGATACCCAGAAATCCACCAATCTGCTTCGCAGACACAAGTTTGAAACTGGGGTTCCCCGCCACACCCTACAATCTTCGGGAGGCAGGAAACACTAGCATATAGCTAGGTAGGTACCTTTTGGGGTTTCGAACCACAGACCACATGGGAGCAAACCATGGGCCTGACCCATTCCAACTAACCCCACGTTGGTTTATAACCTTTAGAACATTACTCCAACCAAATAGAGCATTACCCAAAAAAGTTGGAACATTACATATCATATAAATAAAATCTTGTAAGTCTTAATTAAAAAAGCAACTGTGGTGTCATTGGTGGTAGAGTGGCATTAACAGCTGGTGATGGCAGTGCTAGCAACATGGTTGTGGTAGTCGCAGTGGCTTAATGGTGGTGATGGTAGTACCAGTCACAGATACAGTGTAGCAATGGAAATGCTGGTGATGGCACCAATGGTAAGTGGCAGATCAAAGGGGTGGCAGTTGCAATGATGGTGGCAGCATGGTAGCAGTGTAGCACTTGTGATGATTGTGGGATGTTGGCACAAGATGAGATTAGGAAAAGAATAGGGCATCATAGAAAACTGGATAATGCAAACCAACTCTTTCTAGGTTTGTTTTTGAAACAGTTTGGTCTCAAGTTTGTTCAAACAAGAATGGGGATTTTTCATTTCATTGCAAATTTCAAAGCAGGCCCCACAAAACATGGCTGACCAATTGTTGAGATTTTCCAAACACCCCCCATAAGCAAAACAAAAGACACATTCTTGGTGCTACAAAGCAGCCTAATAAATTTTTGTGAAAGTAATTTCTTATTTATTAAGTTTGAATTAAATTAAAGATTCCAGAATATTCAACCTTATTAAACTCTACTTCTGTATTAAAAGCTCCAATGTCCAAAATTCTTTACAAGAATAAATTCTAAAATAAAAGTATGCATGTAATTGGGCAAGACTACATCAACCAGAAACAAGTGAACATCACGATTCACATACTAGCTGCTGTACAAAAAGTACTGAACTTCAATGGAAACTTTTTTCTCCTAAGCTCCTATCTAAGGGTCCCAAGAAAGTAATTGCAGTCTCATCAACTTGAAAAATGGAGATAAACAATTTTACCGTCAGATTCCAAGGTCTTTCTGGTTCTGCACATAGAAGATCAAATAGAACTCCTGTTGGTATATACCTGCAAGAAGCTCTTGCCATATTATGAAACAAATAAAACTAACAAGGACCTATTAAAATAGGAAAGTACCAATGCTATTTATTCACTATTTTACTCCATCAGTTACATCACTGTGAATTCCAGATACAAACGTTTAGGGCTTGCAAGATCATTTATTGAACAAAAAATGGAAAACTTAGAAACGAAACTGAAATTCTACTGTACACTACACTGGCACATAACATCCAAATCAAGTGGCATATCATCACACTTCGTTTTATACACAAAAATGCTAAAAGAGGGCATGAAAAAGCACCCATGATGAACAAAACAATAGAAGAAATAGGTGCTAATGCAGTTGATTAAGGTACAACAGAAATTTCCATTATTATTTGAAGTTGGGTTTTTTGAGTTTGACAAGCCATTCAGTGAATGATCTAATCAAGTGTGATGTGATGGAATGAGAACAGTGTTTGATAATATAGAGAAGCAATGAGCATGAAGAAACCAGTGCCTACCCTTGTAGTCAAACCAAATCTGATGATCATAAGGGCATAGTACATACCATTTCAAGGGCAAGCCTTTGTACTCAAACCAAATAGTATCTAGCCGAGGAGGAAGTGCACTACTGAAGTGAGGTTTTAGATGCGATGCCAACAATGGTAGGTACCCAATTCGAGGTGCTAAGATCTGAAACAAATTACAGCAACAGTCACGGTAAATGAGAATTGGGTCGCATAATTTGAAATTAAAGAAAGAAGGAGAGAGAGAGACAGACGTATAAGTTTACCAGGGCTGGTGGGGGAGCAGGGAGAGTGGCAACGTCGGATTCATGGAGATGAATCTGCAAAGGAATTGCTCCGTCCCATACGTACCTCTGTGCTTCCATATCCATTCTTCTTTTCTTTGCACAATTCCCTTATGTCCTTTTGCTGCAGTCGAAACTGAGATACTGAGCTTTGACGATATTTGAAACCAGGCAATCAGCCCCAGCGAGATTGCGGGAAGGAGGAGGAGTCCACAGGCCACTCCCTCTATTCTTTTGGGCTTGAGCGAGAGAGGGTCTGGGTTTGCGATCAGCCACTCAGCTATACTCGGGATTTTTGTTTTCAAAAAATAGTATCGCCGCACGGCTATACTGTCATTGACACGTGGAACAAAACCGCTAACCGGGTCTGTTATTATCCTTTCATAAATAGTATAGCCGCGCGGCTATACAGTTTTTGACACGTGGACGCCGAGTCGCTGGCGATTTTTTTTTTTTTTTTTTTTTTTTTAAGAGCGAGTATAGCCGGATTTTAAAAAAAATAAATAAATAGTACAGCCGGGCCGCACGGCTATACTGTTATTGATTCGTGGACGCCAAACTGTCAGGCGGGTCTTCCTTTTTTATTTATAAATCGTATAGCCGCGCGGCTATACTTGTTTAAACAGTATAGCCGTCCGGCCATACTCCTTTTAAATATAATATACTTAAAGGGTCTAGCCGGGCGGCTATACAATGGTTTTTAAATTATTAAAAAATAGTATAGCCGCCCAGCTATACGGTTATCGACACTTGAATGGCGAGGCGGTCCTTTTTTTAATTTATAAATAGTACAGCCGCACGGCTATAATCGTTATTTTGTTTTTTAAAATAATAGTATAGCCGGCCGGCCGGCCATACTGGGGATTTTTGTTTTTTAAAAAGTATAGCCGGCGGGCGCAAGGGCATTATGGGTCAGTTTGAGTCCCTGCCTCTCACACCAAAATCTAGTTGGTCAGTTTGATTTGTCTTGGACTAAAATTGAACGACAGCTAAATGTTAACCGGAGAATAGAATTATCCGAATTTTATTTTCGTACGAAAGGTCAAGGTGAGTGAGTGAGGAAGAGAAATGTGTGTTGGAAACAGAGAGATTTGAGGAAATCCGTACAAACAGCAAAACCTAATTCAATTCAATCCGTCAATAAATTATTAAAATTAAAAAAAACCCAACAACAGCAAATGCCAATTCCCCTCCTCCCTTATTTTCCGCTATTTTTGGATTCTTTTCCACTCTTCAAAGAAGAAAAAATCACTCCCAATTTCATCCTTCTTCCCCTCCTTCTCTTCAACTGCGGCTCCCCGTCCGTACAAGTATTCTCTTAAATCAAAAGAATAAGTATCTATCGTATCGTATTGGGTTTTTAAATTTAATATTAAAATTGGATTTTATGTTCGACGTGCAGATTCAGGGGACTTTTCTTGATAGTGATTCAAGGACCCAGAGAAAGAGAGGGAGGGGGGCTGCAGTTGCCAACTGGTTGAGCTAGTTATCATTTTAATTATACGATCAGCTGCTTATCATATATGACACATTTTGATATGAAAAATGGCGGGTGAAGTTGGCGGTGCTGGTGCTGGTGAAAGCTGCACGTCGTCACCCAAGAGCAGGGTGAAGTTCTTGTGCAGCCATGGTGGGAAAATCCTTCCCAGGCCCGCCGACGGCCAACTCAAGTACGTCGGCGGCGAGACTCGCGTCGTCTCCTTGTCCCGCGACATTTCCTTCTCCGGTACGTATTTGTTGGTTGGTTGTCTTGTTATTAGAAGCACGTTTATAAGAATGTTGAAATTTTTGTTAAAAATCGCTTAGATGAGTTTTTTGGAAAAGTATTTGAAAGCACTTCTTGGAAAAGCACTTCCTGAAGAATAACGCAACCTAAATGCACTTCTCCAATATATAACCATATATATATATATATATGTATGTATTTATTAATGTTACATTGTGTTATATATGTAATACATTACAGAGTTGATGAAGAAGCTGAGCTCGTTGTTTGATGGGGACATGGTGTTGAAGTACCAGCTAATGACAGAAGACCTGGACGCCTTGGTCTCCGTGAAAAGCAACGAAGATCTAAAGCACATGCTGGACGAATACAATAGGCTTGAGAACGAAGGGAGCTCGAGGCTAAGAACCTTTTTGTTCCCCTCAAAGCCGATCATGATTGAGAACCAAACGGCGGCGTTGGAACACCAAATGCTGGAGCAGCGTTACATCGACGCCATCAACGGCATTGTCCGGTTGTGGCCAAAGATGCAACCCCAGCATCCGCAGCAGATGATTCTCGCTCCTAACATGATCATTGGAAGTAGCCCCATGGCCAGCATGAGTATATCCTCGGCATGTTCGTCTCCGAAATCAGCGTCCCAGGAACAACAGTTGTTGTTGGCGGACATGAGCATGCCGTCTCATAGGATCACGGTGTCGCCTCCGATGCAGAAAGTGCATAGCTCTCCTAGTATTTGTAGCAGCAGCTTTAATATTCAACCGACGTACCAAAACCATGTCCAGGGGCGTCATCCTTACCTTAATAATTTGCAGCACCATCATGCCAACCAATCTTCATTTAGTGCAAGAGCACACCACAGAGGGATTAGGACTCCTCCGCCTTTGTTGTCACCGGGTAGGTTGTCGCCGGGTAGGTCTGAGTCCGGGACTGGGAGGAGCTCGTTGATGGGTACAACTAGTACTGCCCACGTCCAAAACCATTACAACAACAATAACCACCACCACCACGCTGCTAGTGGTAATAGTAGTCCTAGATCAATGTCATCTCACCACCGAGTAAGTGGAGGCGGCGGAGGGTATTATAGTAAGTGCTGCTATCACGACGAATGTCCACCCTATGCTTGTAACAGGGCTGAGAGTCTTCCTCGAAGTCCTAGATAGATGGTACCGGTGTTTGTTGTTACCACCAAAATAATATATCCTACTGCTCCTTTGTCAACAGTACATTTATAATATATACAAAATTTCTCAACTTTGCTCATGGTTTTATCTTTTTTCTGTTGAATGTACATGGTGCCTCTTTCTTTTTCAATGGGAAAGAAGAGAAAAATAAAGAATGAGATACTGATCAATTGCAAATCGCAGTCAAGTTTTATAAAAAAGGGAAGACAAGAGACTGCTTTGATGATATGGTTTTCTGCTAATCAGCTAAAGATTAGAGATAAATGACTATCCAACACCAAGATGACTTGACCAAGAACATATAACGATGCAATTGTGTGCACATATTCAATGGCAATGTCGAAAGAAACATTCTTGCCTCGGGAAAAAAGGTACTGGATCAGGTTCATTGCTCTTCTGCATTTTTATGAATTGTTCCTGGTTAAGGCAGCGATGGCATCGTTTATAGCTGGAGCTGTACCCCCTGAAATAGCTTCCTTGGGCTCTCCAAGTTTTGCCTCAGCCTTCTCTTTAACTGGGGCTCCAAGCTTGTCTCCCAGCTCTTTCAACTGATAATCAGCCTGGTTCTATGTGCCTGGGTGAGTGTCAACATGTTGTATGTTTTTTGTGCTTGCTTGTTTCTTGATTAATTTGGTTATTCATTGTATTCATTCTACTTGTTTGGTTCGATCTTGCTGTGAGTAGGAACTACGAATGTAGATGACGTAGAAAAACAGGTCGACAAGTTCTACGATACAGATTTTGAACTTTGGAAGTCACAAATAATCGACTACTATTTGAATTTCAAGAAGCTTACTGCTCCTTCGGCTGGTAAAGAGCCTGATGGGATGAACAAAGAAGATTGGAAAGAGCTGGACAAGATGACTCTTGAACTGGTAAAGATTTTACAAACGTTATTTCTAATTCGTTTTTCTCAGTTGTCACTTGAATCACGACATGTTGTTCAAGATGGATTAGAAGGAAGAAAATATTGGATTTTCTGCAACCTTTTATTCTTATAATACTTGAGTGTCTTGACATGATGCTAATGCATTGACAATAGTTACAGATGGACAACTTTCTTGAGGTCTACACACAAACAACAATCTTAAAAACTATAAAATGGTAACCCCACAATAATCTATATAATTATTTTTTAACAGAGAATTATTTTGTCTGAAATCGAGCATATATTATACATGTATCCCAATAGAAAAAGAGTACCTCTTAAACTTTTCCAGCAAGCATAAAAGCCTTGCAAGTAACAGTTCTGACCAAATCAGCCCCACCCCAAGCAGTTTCAAGCTCTTCAATAACCTCTTTTGATAACAAATCCACACCTTGACCCTTAGCTGCAGTGACTGCAGAGGAGGATCTTAACATCCTTAAGATCCCTTCAAATGACATTTCCTTTGGTATTTCTAGTGGCAGTGGCTCACCCTCAGAACCCAAACCAACACTTTGAAATGGAAATGGAAGTGTCCTATAACCTTCCCATAAGTACTGTGTCTTTCGGTCCCGAAAGGGTTTAGCTGTTTCATAAAAACGCTTCACTACACCATCAAGTGTAGGGCTTGTCACACTAGCATTGTAGCCCCAAACAGCGATTACGCCTCCTGGTTTACGCAGAACTTGCTTCACCAGTGAGTAGAACTTCGGGAGGTCAAACCAGTGCACGGCCTCTGCCACGGTTACCAAATCAACTGAATTCTCACCCCCTAATAACGCAACCAATTCGTCATCAGACATGGAGACCGGAGTGTGAATGTAACGAACTCGAGGATGTTGAAGTGCATGCTTCAGTTGGGACTCACTTATATCGCTTCCTATCACTTGCTCATAATGCTGTCCAAGCTGTACACATACAGTACAGAGATTAAATTTAAAACATATTTGAGAGATGGCTACAACAATAAACCTGCCTAAAAACAAGATTATTAATAGTTGAGAGATATGGATGAAGTAAGAGTGATACTAACGGAGAAAGCAGCTTGGCCGTTGCCGGTGCCGACGTCCCAAGCTAAAGAGTGTTGGGGGGTAAGAGCTGCCAACATTGAAAACCATTCCTTGGGATAAGTTGGCCTTGCCACCAAGTAATCATCTACCTGCTTGTCGAATAAACCTGCCATTTTTTGCCTTATATCGCTCTACAATAGTGAATTTTTGTGGGGTTTTATACACAGATGTGGAATCTGTGAATATCTCTCCTAGTAGTAGTCAATTCCTAATTTTCAACTGCGTGCTTTGCAATTTCGTTTCAACTATTTAATTTGAAGGGCTGCAAGAAAGTAAAAGCAATTCTCTTTTCTCTTTAGACTAGTCTAAGGGTTATGCCCCCCCCAAAAAAAAAAAAAAAAAAAAAAAAAAAAAAAAAAAAAAAAACAAGGGGATCTGCAGACTTTGTCCTGCAAGTGCATACAACTGGTAAGAGAACAATGTTGCATGAAGATTGATTTTATATGTTTCTTTTTATTAAACTGTAAATAACATTTGTTTGAATTATAATGGCTTTCATGAGCCAATGCCATTGCTCTGCATTGAAAGAAATGCATAGAATAATCCACCAAAACAGAGTTTTTATTTTTTGGATAGAACCACCAAAGCATAATTAAAAATAAAGAACAATCAATCCTGCTTCGTAATGGATGGTGTCATAATTTTGGACTAGTTATTGCTGGATTGGACTGGATTTGAACTGTTATATCAAAGGCTTCGCAGCCTAACTTTTCCAGCAAGCATAAAAGCCTTGTAGCTGACTGACCTTACCAATTTGGAACCACCCCAAGCACCTTCAAACTCTTTAACCACCTTTTCAGGTAACAAATCTACACCTTGGTCCTTGGCTGTAGTGACTGCAGACCATGACCTCAGCATCTTCAAAAACCCTTCAAATGACAGCTGCTTTGGAATGTCCAGTGGCAATGGATTCCCCTCCGATCCCAAACCGACACTTTCAAAGGGAAATGGAAGTGTCTTATAGCCATCAAACACATACTGGACGTTCTTGTCCCAAAAGGGAAGTGTTGTGTCATGAAATCGCTTCATTATAGGATTAAATGTTGGATCAACTTCAATGTCATTGTAGCACCAAACAGCAAATACACCTCCTGGCTTCTTCAAAACACGTGAAACAAGATTGTAAAACTTTGGTAGGTCGAACCAGTGCACAGCTTGAGCTACAGTCACCAAGTCAACTGAATCTTCACCCCCTACCAAGGCTATTACTTCATCGTCGGTGATGCTTAACGGCGTGTGGGCATATCGAACCCGAGGATGCAGCATCGCACGCTGCAGCTGGGATTCACTCACATCGGTTCCAATTACTTGTTCATAGTGCTCAGCAACCTGTTATGAATTTAGATGACATTATGAGGTATAAATATTTGTCTTAACACTATTACAATCTATGTATGTCAAGATTTGGACAAGAGAAAAAAAAACAAATGAATTTCAAATGATTCCTCGTATATAATCAATCATTCCAAATGAACTATATCTAGTTATTTCAAATACATTCAATTTAACATTGTTCTTGTACTTTGTTGTCAAAACCAAATCATTTCTTTCTAATTCCTCCATCCAAATCCAAATGGGGCATTAATGTCTTAATTTTAGAATTTCTGTTTGAGTTAAGAAAAAGAAATTGATTTTCTATTCTGTTCTATATAATCTTAGATAGTGTTGAGTAAACAAGCTAGAGAAATTAAAAACAATCCTCCAAAGAGAGAGAGAGAGAGAGAGAGAGAGAGAGAGAGAGAGGTAGTTATGTAATACTGACACTGAGAGCGGCTTGGCCATTGCCCGTTCCAACATCCCAAGCGAGAGTGTGGTGAGGGGTGAGAACTGCTAATTTGGAATACCATTCCTTGGGATAAGTTGGCCTTGCATCCAAGTACACATCTGCTTGCTTGTCAAACAAACCTGCCATTTCTTCCTCTCTGCTCTGCTGATGATCTCTCTCTCTCTCTCTCTCTCTCTCTGTGAAACAGGAGAATCCTTCAGCAAGAACAAATAAACTATAAGAGAAGAGGAAGCCTTCTTTTTAATTCACTAAAACCTGACGCATATACATGTGTCATCTTTCTGTCTCAACTCCTCACTCGTGAATTCCCTAAACCTTCTTGTTGGACTATCCTACTATTAATAATCCATAATTAATTTATTCAAACTTCAACAATAATAAAATATACTATCTCTCTACGTCAAATTTAAAAAGTAATTTTTTTATATTGATTGTAGAAACAGGTACACGGAGATCCTGACAACACCAATTAATTTTGTTAATTTATGAATTTGTTTTTTCATTTCTTTTTGGGTTGTTACTACTGACAAAGACTAATTATCTACTTTTCCCATTTTTTAGAAACTTTAGAATTTATGATAATACTTAACCCACCAAGTTTCTTTCCCACGATAAAGAGGGTAAATATTGCAATTTTTTCGAGTTCTTTCTCTTACCAATAAAAGAAAGCGGGTGATGACATATAGGCCTCGTTTGGTGAGAGATGAGATTTTGGGGCACAGTCAAGAAAAGGGCATGTGAGACAAGAAGAAGGAAAAAAAAACAGGACGTTAAATTTGCCGTTAGTTGGATTAGGGTTTTTTTTTCTTTTTTAAGTAGGAGTAAATTGGGTTTTTGTTTGAAGATGTGTCAATTTTTAAGTCCCTTAGATAATATTTTAATGAGGTGGCGTATGGAGAACAAAAGTGAAGTAAATCATGGCAGAGAAAATCATAGTAGAGGATCCGGAGAAAAAAATAGGAGGCATACAATATGTCACATGTCATTATAATGTTTCATATTCATTCATATTCCTTCTTGCCTTTCATTTTCAATCTGGAATTCCTGAACGAATGCAAGTAATCACAGAAAGGAGGGTTGCTTTGTGTCGGAGTTTGACTTCACTTTGCCTAATGGTTCTTTTTCTTTCTCAATCTTTCTCCAATAATTCATTCTTCACAATCAAAGATGTTAAATCTTTTGGGTAGATTTCAACATGAGGTTTAAAAGCTATACAACTTAATTTCACTTCTTGTCTGCCAAACCAGCGTAATTGAGTGAAGGCTTTCTCTAAGTTTGTTTGTAAAAGTGTTGTGAGTAGTCAAAGTGTTTGATATAACAGTGATGGACACATAATTTCTTACATGTAGGGGCATTTAAAAATTCAACCGATATATAGTTTAACAAAAAATTTCTATCCAGGTTTGTTGTCTATAAAACCAAGCTTAAATAAAACGAAATAACATTATATGATGAACTCATGATGCTATATATGGAAATAAAAGCGTTTACATTTATATTATGATGACCTGATCCAAAAGAAACATAGATTAACTTATTAATCCAAAACATAAACATACAACTACATAATATATATATATATATACATACCAATCACTCATAATAAATTATTCATATCAAATATCGACCCAATGACCGTGGATGTTCTGCCTTTGCGCCATAACTTGAAATATGGTTTCTCTGAAATGATCTACCTGAGGACGAAAAATAATCTTGTCACCAACTTCGAGCCCCTTGTAATTGACAAACTTGAGCCAACCCTCGGCCTGAAGCACCGGATTCCTGTAACCTCCGTTTCGGATGGAGCAGCAGAACGGAAAATGGTTGCCCTTGCTGTCCAGGACCCCGAAATGGACCTCACGACAGCCCTCTTCAATTGCCCTCTTCAAATGGACCTCATCAAGCAATCGCCCTGGAAGCACCAGCTTATGCCTTACATCGCTTACAGTAAGCTCTTTCTCAAGCTCATGTGCATGTTCCATAATAATTCTACATATACAAAATAATCAAAATAAATACTCACAACATAAACAAACCATCAACATAATCAAAATAAATATGAATTAGGTTTCAATTAAATTAAATATATTCTACATATACAAAATAATGAAAATAAAAACTCACAATATAATCAAAATAAATATGAATTGGATTTCAATTAAATATATTCTACATATACAAAATAATGAAAATAAAAACTCACAATATAATCAAAATAAATTAAATATATCATACATAGTGACATAGGGTTTATAACTTACTTGAATTGTGAAATTTCACAATAACAATGAGTAAAAGCAAAGAGACTAGCTGGCGGCACCACCACACGACAACGACAACGGCAGTATAGAGGCACTTCAATGGCGGCAGCAAGGGAGGAGATGGAGTTGAGGGTTTTGGGGAGGGGGGGATTGAGTTGGGAACTTAGGGTTGGAGGAGGAAACAAAAAAAATTAGGGATTTTAGAATGGAGGAGGAATCGGGTCTGTGGAGAGAAGTAGTGGCTAGAGGAAACGTTGGCTTTTTATTATTTCAGACTTGGCCCAAAACGACGTCGTTTTGCTTAGAAATTTTTGTTTTTTTTTCTTCTTAAAACTCCTGCGCGCTGCCTTCTTTTTTTGTGGAAAATTAATTATACACTTGAACACTTGGACTTGGTATTCTATTTGTAGCAAAATGAGCCCTCGTTTGAGTTTATACATTGTCCACCGCATTTGAGCCAGCCACGTGGCCCATAAGAGCTACCTGCAAGTTAATATCCCATTAGAAATTAATCCTCTCTTGCATCGAAATTATTAATTAGACGAATTCTTATATGAATATGTGATGCTAAATTCATAAGATAAATATCTGAGAAAACCTAGTTTCAATGAGAAAGACTTTCATGAAATGGGGATTTTATTATTTTCGATCAATAATGTTATGACACGCGTAATAACACTTCCACGTGTTAATTATGTTACATTTGTGTAATTTGTCTACGACATATGTATCTCCACGAAATGAAAAGTAAATTACTCCACTTTTTTTTTCATGTATGATATCGATGGATCTTGACAAATTAGAAGGTTTACAGAAAAAACTACAAACTAATGGAAACAAAGAAAAAGTAAATTGAAGTTACTTACCCATATTTACAAGAAGCATGAAGAGAGTGAGGAATTTGGGAACCTTAATCATGTTGTCAATCTTGTAAAGCTAGCAAGTAGCAAAATCCGTAGTTTATTGCAGACGCACGCTTATATCATTTTGCCTCAACCAGTCAGTTTAAGATACCCTTTAATTGTTCTCAAGTATAACTCAAATTTAATAAAATATTTCATGCATGTCGTGAATTTAATATATAAAATTAGTGCTAATTAATGTGTTTAATTTACCAACTTTAAGCTTTAGATGGACTTGAGAGGACCCAGTAATGCTAATGTTTAGTTGAATATTTTTAATTAAATCCATGCCCATTTGGCCCAAAGTCTAAATCCTAGTCCAACCCCATAGGCCACCAACCCCAGTCACTAGCTTTAGTTTTGTTCCATGGCCGACCAATGCAATTATGCTCTCTGCCTTTTGGCGTCGGTGGAAAAGTTGAGATTCCTTTTGCTTTTTTCTTGTTAAATGTGTATGGTTTCCAAGTCTATGAGGAAAAGGTGTCAAGAACAATGTCGGCCCTGGGCCCAATATCTTAAGGGGAACATAATTTTTTTATTTTTATAGAAGTTATATGACATATATGATTTATTTTCTATTTAATATTTTGGAAATGAGGTTTGTTGGACAAAGTCTGTGCTGTGGGTGCGTGCGTGGAACTCCAACAAAGAAACAGAATATACTATGAAAATAAAAAGATGGCATTGAAAGTTTCGGAAAAAAACATAGATGCACGAGGATACATGTCGGTTCAAATGTGCATCCACAGTAAAGGGTGTATTTTCGGAGGTGTAAAGTCACTTTTACATCCCTTTTATACTTCCGGGGTTTGTAAATATGATTTTTGCTCCAATTGGGAAGGTGTAAATCTAAAGATTTATAATTGATTTATTTCACCTTTTCTGTTGTAAGTCTCACTTTTATCCATTTTTTCTCACATTTTCTCATGTAAGTCCCACCTACAAGATATATAAAAAAAAGATGTATATGTACATCTAAATTTGCATCTCATGGTGATTATGCAAATTTACACTCGTTTACACCTCTTCATTGATGGTGATTCTGATCACAAATGGTGTATATTTAACATACACCTCATTATACACTCACCCATTATGAATGCTCTAAGGATAAAGATATTGAAATACTTAAAATAAAAAACTCACACTTCATAACAAGGAACTAATTAACTTATTACATTTTTGCGGCGACGCGTTTGTACAAGTGCGAAGGAAGCCTTGGTGTAGGCACGGCTTGCAATGGGGTTGTCATGTAAGTGACAATCCCTGGATTTTCTGACATGTCAACTTCCTTTGAATTAACTCCTTCAACAAGAGACCAACTGAAATGGTGCAATAAATGCCCCAACATGGACTCTACCAAATTCACACTAAGTTGTGCTCCGGGGCATACTCGCCTGCCGGCTCCAAACGGAAGTAGTCTGAAATCATGCCCCTTCATGTCAACATCCTCCTCTAGGAACCTTTCTGGTCGGAACTCATGTGGGTCTTTCCAAACTGTCGGGTCACGCGCTACGGCCCAGACGTTTACATGAACACTTGCACCCTTGGGGATGTCGTAGCCACCGATCTTGACATGGGAATTGGCTCGGTGGGGGAGCATTAGTGGAGTTGGAGGGTGCAACCGCAGAGCTTCCTTTGCTACACAATGGAGGTAAGGGAGGTTTGGGAAATCGTCTTCGGTCATGACCCGTTCGAACCCAATAACCCGGTCCAGCTCCTCTTGGGCCTTTTCTTGCACCCTAGGGTTCTTGATTAGCTCGGCCATCGCCCATTCAACTGTAATAGCTGTGGTGTCTGTACCCGCAGTAATCATGTCCTGCATGCACAAATAACATCAAACAAACATGATTATGTGCTTATATTAGTTTAGTGGTTAAGATTTTTTAAAATGCATATAAATTTACCGATGCTAAATGTAAAAGGCTCGGAAAAATACTTACCCAGAGAAGTCCGATAACAGTGTCCTCACTAAGGTCATACTCGTCCTTCAATGTAAGCAATGCATCGACGAAATGTTGCTTGGCATCACCGGTCTTGGTGCGAGCCTGTGTGTGCTCTACCATGATTTCCCTAGTGAGCCGATCTCTTCGAGCAAAATGTTGAACAAGGGCCTTTTCCTGTTGAGGGAACATCCAAACCAACCATGGAATGTACTCGGCAATGGCAAGAGATCCCCCCATCTGCACTCCATTGGAAATAATTTCTTTGAATTCTCGGCCTTGCTCATCGATTTCATCCTCTGAGTTAGCATAACGTTTTCCAAATGCTAGCCTTGTTATGTTGTTGAATGCCACTGTTCCTAAATACTTCCTCACTAGCAAACTTTCTCCACTGCTTTCTGCTGCATTATGGTAATTAATTAAAGTAGATTAATAACAATATGATAATTAATTAAAGTCAATAATCACAATCCAACTAAAGTACTTCCTGTCAAAGAAAAACGAAGTACCATTTTATTTTATTTTTTGGAGTGAAATTGTAACACTTTGACGTGATGCTATTAATTTACATGTTTTTTTCTTAATAAAATGCCACCGAAATTTATTAGACGAACGAGAAAAAAGAGTGTAAGTATTACAAAGGTAAAGGGAGTCATCTCATTATCATTAGGCGGACATAGTAATAAACAGACCCTACCTGAACCAACATGTAGGTTTCTATGGTGGTACTTCTTTTTTTTCTTTTTTGGTCAGAAGGAAATAATTAGGATGAGCACGGTTGGAACATATAAACTCTTCTATATATATGCATGCATGAGTTGCCATAGTTATCAGCTGCAGCAACAGACTTCAAACAACACCAAACCATGGCAGTGAGATAACAGAAGTAGCATATAGGAAGGCAATTTGGAACATATATAAATGCATACCATGATTGGTGCAGTCATTGAAAATGGACTCAACCATGGCAGTGACCTCATCTTCCCTAATTGGTTTGAGAGCTTCAATCCTCTTTGCAGAGAAAAGCTCAAGAGTGCACACCTTCCTCACCTTAACATAATGGGGCCCATAATCAGCCCAAATGAGGTCTTGACCGTCCCTGCTAAACATGGTGGTTGATCTATTCCTATGCCTGTCAGCCAGTTTCTGGTCATGCTCTTTGAGCACCTCCTTTGCCAATTCTGTGCTCGACACTACCACGTTCAGTGTGTATCCAATCCACACTGAAATGATGGGCCCATAAATCTGGGCCCACTCCGCGTAGCATCGGAACCTCACGGGGGTTATGTGGTAGAGGTTTCCGAGGACCGGCCACGGACGTGGACCTGGGGGGAGCTTGAATCTTAGCCGTTGGTAGAGCTTGTAAGCAAGGAAGATGAGGATGAGAAGTGATGAGATGGGAAGTAGTAGACCAGAGAAAGCCATGTGTAAAATATTAGAAGAGAGGGTTACTATCAAATAAGGTTATTGGAATGGAAAGAGCCCTTGTGTGTGTGTATATATATATGGGCCTCGGTCAATAAAAACAAAATTTGATACATCACGAGACATGCACGCTCTATAGATATTATAGATATCTATAATATGAAGAAGAAGATATTTCGGATATAATATATCCAAGAACTCGCTGTTATTTTAGGTATGAATGGTGGAAGAATTATTTTCTGGAAGTACTCGCTGTAATTAACTCATTATATCCAAGAACTCTAGGCAGAGGTTAGGTTGCACACGTGCTTATCTGCCCCCCAAGCCAAATTTCGGTAAATAAGTACTTAATAAGTACACCATACTCACCATATTCAACCTTAATTAAAGGTACGTAGATAAGTTTCAAATAATTTTAAGGGCCTTGATGCTTCAAAGGCTTAGAGCTTCTTTACAAGCATGGTAAAATACAAGTGTCGGCATTGTACTTCATCCTTCAAGATGCAAAAGATGGCCAGCCATATTTGAATGAAAAGTTTATTCCAGTGTGACTTCTTAGCTCAACATCATCCATACAATAAAGTTAAAGTTGATGACTTTAAAATCCAAATGTTTAAACTTGTCTTCTAACTCGTAAGCATCCAAAATTCTCAACGATTTCGGACTGGTGATGATGCATTTCACTAGTAATGTGATATGTTTTTTTTTTTTTTTTTTTTTTTTTTTGGTTTTTTTTTAAATGAAAGATTGCATTCATAAATCATGCTAGACGACCGTTATTGATTTTTCCAAAAAGTTGAGTGATCAAGGAATTAGATAGCCTAAGAACTTTAAATTTATTAGCAAACTTTGGACAACTGGTAATATCATACTTATATTTGAAGTTTGAAATTCTACTGGTAATATGATAATTATAATGCTACTTTTACCACATTTATATACCACATTCTCATACCATTCTATTGGTAATTGATGTGGATGTTCACATCAACTATTTAACTTTTTTTTTCTTTTGTGATTTATTAACACTTTAAAAAACTGTTAATTAAACTTTCTTTATTAAAATACAATTCATTATTGATTTAATTGATGTTGCATGTGATATGGACATGCCGCATCATGTGATATAGAATTATGGAATAAAAATATCATAAGCGTAACATTACTCAAATAAAGTTAAATTGGTAGTCAGTGCAAGCCCACAACTTTTTTAGGTATGAATGGTGGTTGAATTATTTGCTGGAAGTACTCACTGTTATTAAGTTATTACATCCAAGAACTCTAGGGGGAGGTTGGGTTGCACCCGTGCTCATCTACCCCCAAGCCAGATTTAGGTAAACACATGCAATATAGATTGAGAATCGATCTTCCTTGTGCTTTTTTCTTGTTCAATGTACGTGTTTGGTTTCCAAGTCTATCAGGAATAATATAGATGTTGTTGTATTAGGTTATAACTTATATGGTGTGGGAGGATAACATAGGTAGGGCCATTTACAATGCATTTGTACTTTTAAACCCAAAAAAAAATTCAAACTTTGAAAGTTAAAAAAATTAAAATTTTTTTTGAAAACATAATTTTATTTCACTTTAAATACCTTTCCATCTTGTCTATTCTGAATTTTTCGTAGGGCATCTTTGTTATCTTTATTTCTTAAAAAATCTTTTTTTTTTTAAATTCCCTATCGTATCATGTCTTATTTTCATTATTTCTGACTTAACTCATCTTTCTTTATCTTTTGAGTCAGATATTTTTAGAATATATCTTTCTTTGTCTTTTTCCCACTTGCACTGGGCTATAGCCCCTTATAGCCTAAGCGTAGTTCCGCCACTTGTCACAAGAAAGATTGAATATCAAATTTTTGCATTCATATCAATTATGTCACAAGAAAGATTAAATGACTTAGCTATGTTATATAACATTGGATATATATTCATTGAAAAAGACATGGTATAAAAACTTTGATTATGTAAAGTTAATTGATAGTTTGCATTATAAAAAAATGTAAGATGAGTAATATTTAAGTGATGTTTTGATGCATTTTATTAAGTTGTTATGTGGATTACATATTGTTTGTTTCTTTTTATGTTAGAATTGTGACTTTGAATTCACATGTCGTGAAATCAGTACGTTTGATAAAAAAAAATATATGTAAACAAAACCACTAACCCGATTAAGTGATGAAGAAAAATGAAAATGACTTAGATCTTCTACTCTCTACCACTTCACTGAATGTATTTCAATGAGTTTTTTATTTTTTATTATAAACAAAAGGAAGATTGCATTCATAAATCACGTCAGATTGGAATGGAATCCTGAGATTCAATTGAACTTTAAGTTCAATTTGTATATTTGACTTACATTTAAAACTAAACTACACAAATCGAAGACATAAAAAATAAAGATGAATATTTAGAAAAAAGAATGACCTCATTTTCAATCCAAGATTTTTTGGGTTCATGAGATCTTGATCTTGCTGATTTCTAAATATTAAAAAATATATATATTCATCCTATTTGCTTATATAAGTTTAACTAAGCTTGCATGAAGGGATGGGCTAACATTTGTGGGAATAAGGGGAGTTTATTAAAATTTGAGTGATCAAGGCCCATAAACTTTAAATTTATTAGCAAATTTTGGACAACTAGTAATATCATACTTATATTTGAAGTTTGAAATTCATTAATAAAGTTCAATCAGTGTAAGCCCACAATTGTTTTAGAGAGGTTTGGTATGGAATTCATGGATGCAGTTGAACCATTAGGTATGAATGAATGGTGGTTGAATATACCGACAAACAATGGGGTCCAAAAACAGCCACGTTACACTGCTGTTATATCCAAAAACTCTATGGAGGTTGGGTTGCACACGTCATCTTCCCCCAAGCCAGATTTAGGCAACCACGTAGCGATTTTTCTTTGATGAACTTTGTGTCATCCTGATCCTGGGACATATGACATTAACTACAACCATAGCAGTCCCATCATTTCAATTAGTTTCGATGACATTAACTACAAGGCTCGGTCGTAGTAATTGAAATGATCGCATGAACATTTGTCTTAATGAAGCTAAAGTTATAGTAATTAAATAATCAATTAACGCTTTTCAGTTTTTGACCCAAAAAACAATGCTTCTCAAAAATTGAATGGCAAAGAATTTAAATTATCAAGCTTGGTTATACAAAATGGATGCTTATAATTGCCGATGTTGAATTTTCTCGTCTTTTCAAGTCTAATTGGCAGGGAACATTCTGTACATAAAATAATAATTTCGTGAATTTAAAGGAACATTTGTTAAAATAACCCATTATGTTATAATCCAAAAACCCTACGAGGTTGCTCATTTAGTTCCCAACCCATTATGTTGATTAATGATGAAGAGGAATATTACATATGGCGTTTGCTAAAGGAAATCCATAAAATGGATGCTTTTATTTTTTCCAAATAAGCAGGAGAAATAAACAGTCCCATCATTTCAACTACTACAACCATAAGAATAAATTTATTCTTCCAATATTTGGACACTAAATGTGTTCAGTGACCAAAATCGGTACATTACATATCTGCGGCAACACGTTTGTACAAATGCGAGGGGAGCCTTGGAGTAGGCACGGTTTGTAATGGGGTTCTCATATAAGTCACAAGCCCTGGATTTTCCGACATGTCAATCTCCTTTGTATTCATCCCTTCTGCTGGAGCCCAACTGAAATGGTGCAATAGATGCCCCAACATGGACACCACCAAATTCACACTAAGTTGTGCTCCCGGGCATACTCGCCTGCCGGCTCCGAACGGAAGTAGTCTAAAATCATGCCCCTTCATGTCAACATCCTCCTCTAGGAACCTTTCTGGTCGGAACTCATGCGGGTCTTTCCAAACCGCCGGATCACGCGCTACGGCCCAGACATTTACATGAACACTCGCACCCTTGGGGATGTCGTAGCCACCGATCTTGACATGGGCATTAGCTCGGTGGGGGAGCATTAGAGGAGTTGGAGGGTGCAACCGCAACGCTTCCTTTGCTACACATTGTAGGTAAGGGAGATTTGAGAAATCGTCTTCGGTCATTACCCGTTCGAACCCGATGACTCGGTCTAGCTCCTCTTGTGCCTTTTCTTGCACCCTCGGGTTCTTAATCAACTCAGCCATAGCCCATTCAACTGAAATAGCTGTGGTGTCTGTGCCCGCAGTAATCATGTCCTGCATGCACAAATGGTAGGAAGCTCATAACTAAGAACATAAAAAATGATATATGAGTATTTACAACAAGGTTAGAATTTAAGGGTTTGTGCAAAGCTTAGATTGGGGTCACACATGCAATAAAAAAAAGTTTTATCATGAAGTGGTGTCATAAAATAATGAGCATAATGAGCACAAAGAGCGTTATGAAAGTATGTTGTGCGTTCACATATATACATATAAAAAGCGACTCTAAAAAATTAGGGCCCATGTGCGGTGGCACTACCCCTATTTGGCAATGCTTAATTCTACCATATATGGTTGTATCCCACATAATAGGAAAAATAACTCTTCTTTTAGAAATATCAAATTGAAAAGACTGCATGTATACATTACTTACCCAAAGAAGTCCGATAATAGTGTCTTCACTAAGGTCATACTTGTCCTTCAATGTAAGCAATGCATCGACAAAGTGCTGCTTGGCACCGCCACTCTTGGTGCGAGCCTGTGTGTGCTCCTCCATGATTGCCCTAGTGAGTCGATCTCTTCGTGCCCCATGCTGAGCAAACGCCTTTTCCTCCAGCGGGAACATCCAACGCAGCCATGGAATGTGCTCGGCCATCGAGAGCGATGCACCGATCTTCACTCCATTAGAAACAACAGCTTTGAATTCTTGGCCTTGCTCATCCATTTCATCCTCCGAGTTAACAAAACGCTTTCCGAATGCTAGCCTTGTTATGTTGTTGAATGCCACTCTTCCCAAATACTTCTTCACTAGCAAACTTTCCGCATTTTTTTCTGCAATATGGTGATTAATTAAAGTTAATCACAAATTCACAACTAGCAATGCATAGTAAAGCAATTTGGGAACATAAAATGCATACCATGAATGGTACAGTGTTTGAAAATGGACTCAACCATAGCAGTGACCTCATCTTCCCTAATGGGTCTGAGAGCTTCAATCCTCTTTGCAGAGAAAAGCTCAAGAGTGCACACCTTCCGGACCTTAACATAGTGGGGCCCATAGTCAGCCCAAATGAGGTCCTGCCCATCCTTGCTAAACCTGGCGCTTGATCTATTCCTGTGCCTATCAGCCAGTTTCTGGTCATGCTCTTTGAGCACCTCCTTTGCCAATTCTGAGCTCGACACTACGATGTTCGGTGTGGATCCAATCCACACTGAAATAATGGGCCCGTAGACCTGTGCCCACTCCGCGTAGCACCGGAACCTCACGGGCTTTATGTGGTAGAGGTTTCCGACGACTGGCCACGGACGTGGGCCGGGCGGGAGCTTAAATCTCAGGCGTTGATAGAGCTTGTAAGCAAGGAAGATGAAGATGAGGAGTAGTAGTAGTCCAGAGAGAGCCATGTGAAATGAGAAACACTGAGAAAGAGAGTTTGGTGAAGTAATTTTGTTTTGAGCTGTGGATGTGTGGAGAATTTAAAGGCACATGCAATTGTACGACGACGTTACCACGTGATATTTACTCAACGTAATTATGCAAATTGTACAATTATTGGTACGGACGACCGCAGCTTGGACAAGATTTACCCTATAGTGGGGCCAGAAGAAGCATCGCCCACTCACATTCTCAACCATCATTAAAAGGACACGTGTCAACCATCTATTGAATGTCGTTCGAGATGGGGCGGTAGGTGGTTAGAGCACCCCAGAGCGTCCCCTCTCAACTACAAGTCTACGAGGGACTTCAATGGGCTTCTTCTTTTTACTGCTGCACACACACCAAAAAAAACACACACACACACACAACCACCGGAACTGAAATTGATCTTTCCAGATATTTCTTCCTTTACACAAAGCACACCATTTTCATCTATAGAAAAAAGATAGTTTGGTAAGGAAGGTGATGTTGGATCAAAACGATCCCATCATTGGGGGGAGGAGCGAAATAGCAAAATATGATTGTTAAGGCGATGGTAACATTCCAAAGTTGAGTTAGGACTGTGATGTCACATTAATCCAGTATGCAGATCCGTCACACAAGGGTGTGCGGGCTGGACGACCGAACAAGACCCCTTGAAAAAAGGGCCTCCTATAAAACCTTGTAGTCCAATAATTATATAAGCAAAAAATGCCTTTCTGGTGTGTGTGACTGATGTTTTTTGAGCTTTATAATGAATTTTTTGGGTCTTTTTTGTCCCCCCATATAGTGGGCCTATTTTATTTATTTATTTATCATTTTGGTCATAAAGAGAATCCATTTATAAGGAAGGAAATACGTGGCAACAAAATAATAATAAGAAATACAAAATGGCAGTTACATCATAGTAGCTCAATATAATTTGTGGTATGTTTACTAATCAGAATTTGGAATTAGAATCGGGAATTGAATTTCAATTATGGAGGATTCATATGTTTACTTCATATTAAGGAATTAAAAATAAAGGGGCCCCACTCAAAATAATGAGGAATTCAATTTTGGGTGGGAGATAGTATTCTAATTTCGAGAACTAACTCATTAGGAATTCATCTTTTTAATTCATTATATCCTCACACAATTTTAAAATTTGTCATTTTTTTTAACCCAACAACGAGGACATTTTAGTAATTAACACCACTCATATCCTAATTTCATATGGTTTAGTAAACAATTTCAATTAGAATTTTCAATCTAATTATCCTCAATCCAACTCTTCATCAATTCAATTCATCTTAATTCGATAAACATGCCATAAATTTAAAGGATCTAGGCACGGATACTTTTTTGACAAGTCCAAAAAGTAGTAGGACACCTATTTCCTCCAATCACAGGTGAGCCCAACCACAACAACACAAAAGACCAAAATCCCAAACTGGACTTAAAGCCTGGTCCACACCAACCACATTGTTTCCAGTCTACTTGGCAGGGAACATTTCGTACATAAAATAATAATTTCGTGAATTTAAATGACCATTTGTTAATATAACCCATTATATTATTATCCAAAAACCCTATGAGGTTGCTCATTTAGTTCCCAAGCCAACTTAGTACAGTCCTAAAAACATATCTAATCTTTTTTTGGTGAATTTGTCATACTAAGAAATTTGAAAAATTAAGTACGGAAATATTCAACAGCAATATATGCTTTGCAGTGCAAATATTGAAAAAAAACAAAAACAAAAAAAACAAAAACAAAAAATTATCAAGTTTGATTAATGATGAAGAGGAATATTACATAAACAGGAGAAATAAACAGTCCCAATAAGCAGGATTACTACAACCATAAGAATAAATTTATTCTTCCATTATTTGGACACTAATTGTGACCAATAAAGATACTGAAATCCTTTCAGAAGAAACGAAAAGGTACATTACATGTCTGCGGCAACACGTTTGTACAAATGCGAGGGGAGTCTTGGAGTAGGCACGGCTTGTAATGGGGTTCTCATGTAAGTCACAAGCCCTGGATTTTCCGACATGTCAATCTCCTTTGGATTCATCCCTTCAGCCGGAGCCCAACTGAAATGGTGCAATAGATGCCCCAACATGGACACCACCAAATTCACACTAAGTTGTGCTCCCGGGCATACTCGCCTGCCGGCTCCAAACGGAAGTAGTCTGAAATCATGCCCCTTCATGTCAACATCCTCCTCTAGGAACCTTTCTGGTCGGAACTCATGCGGGTCTTTCCAAACCGCCGGGTCACGTGCTACGGCCCACACGTTTACGTGAACACTCGCACCCTTGGGGATGTCGTAGCCGCCGATCTTGACATTGGCATTAGCTCGGTGGGGGAGCATTAGAGGAGTTGGAGGGTGCAACCGCAACGCTTCCTTTGCTACACATTGCAGGTAAGGGAGATTTGAGAAATCGTTTTCGGTCATGACCCGTTCGAACCCGACGACCCGATCTAGCTCCTCTTGTGCCTTTTCTTGCACCCTCGGGTTCTTAATCAACTCAGCCATAGCCCATTCAACTGAAATAGCTGTGGTGTCTGTGCCCGCAGTAATCATATCCTGCATGCACAAATGGTATAACTGGGTTAGAATGTAGGATCCTTATATATATGTATAGTGTTTTCAGAAAGGTATACGCCCTCCAAGGTAGGAAGCTCATAACTAATTAAGAACATAAAAAAGGAAATATGAGTAGTTGGCAACAAGGTTAGAATTTGAGGGTTTGTGCAAAACTTAGATTGGGGTCACACACACAATTTAATATGAAAATACTTAAATTTTTTTATATTTTTTTTATCATGAAGTAGTGCCATAAAATAATGAGTGTAATGAGCACAAAGAGCATAGCAAAGCAATTTCAGTAGGCACACAGTTACGAAAGTATGTTGTGCGTTCACGTACATACATATGAAAAATTACTCTAAAAAAATTAAGGGCCGTGCGCGGTGGCACTACCCCTATCTGGCAATGCTTAATTCTACCATATATGGTTGTATCCCACATAATAGGAAAAATAACTCTTCTTTTAGAAATATCAAATTGAAAAGACTGCATGTATACATTACTTACCCAAAGAAGTCCGATAATAGTGTCTTCACTAAGGTCATACTTGTCCTTCAATGTAAGCAATGCATCGACAAAATGCTGCTTGGCACCGCCACTCTTGGTACGAGCCTGTGTGTGCTCCTCCATGATTGCCCTAGTGAGTCGATCTCTTCGTGCCCCATGCTGAGCAAACGCCTCTTCCTCCAGCGGGAACATCCAACGTAGCCATGGAATGTGCTCGGCAACCGTAAGCGATGCACCGATCTTCACTCCATTAGAGACAACAGCTTTGAATTCTTGGCCTTGCTCATCCATTTCATCCTGTGAGTTAACAAAACGCTTTCCGAATGCTAGCCTTGTTATGTTGTTGAATGCCACCCTTCCCAAATAATTCTTCACTAGCAAACTTTCCCCATTTTTTTCTGCAGTATGGTGATTAATTAAAGTTAATCACAAATTCACAATTAATACACATTAAGTATGCAAACTAATAAAGTAGCATTGAATCCAACACTTGGTATAACATGAGTGAATTATATCGGTTGGACAATTAAAAAAGTACAAACTGCAAATGACATTTGAAAAACTGAAATTAAAATTATTTAAGTTTCAAAGTCATACCAAAACTAGCATAGTCAAGCAATTTGGGAACATAAAATGCATACCATGAATGGTACAGTGCTTGAAAATGGACTCAACCATAGCAGTGACCTCATCTTCCCTAATGGGTCTGAGAGCTTCAATCCTCTTTGCAGAGAAAAGCTCAAGAGTGCACACCTTCCGGACCTTAACATAGTGGGGCCCATAGTCAGCCCAAATGAGGTCCTGCCCATCCTTGCTAAACTTGGCGGTTGATCTATTCCTTTGCCTATCAGCCAGTTTCTGGTCCTGCTCTTTGAGCACCTCCTTTGCCAATTCTGAGCTCGACACTACAACGTTGAGTGTGGATCCAGTCCACACTGAAATGATGGGCCCGTAGATCTGGGCCCACTCCGCGTAGCACCGGAACCTCACGGGCTTTATTTGGTAGAGGTTTCCAACGACTGGCCACGGACGTGGGCCGGGCGGGAGCTTAAATCTCAGCCTTTGATAGAGCTTGTATGCAAGGAAGATGAAGATGAGGAGGAGTAGAAGTCCAGAGAGAGCCATGTGAAGTGAGAAACGCTGAGATAGAGACTTTGGAGAAGTGATTTTGTTTTGAGTTGTGGATGCGTGGAGTAAGAAGAGACACAGAGACGAGAGAGAGAGAGAGAGGGTGGGCGAGCAATTTAAAGGCACATTCAATTGGACGACGGGGTTACCACGTGATATTTACTCAACTTAATTATGCAAATTGACGACCTCAGCTTGGACAAGACTTACCCGTTCTTAGATGGTCGCCAACTCACATTCTCAACCGTCATTAAAAGGACACGTGTCAACCATATATTGGATGTCGTTCGAGATGGGGTGGTAGGTAGCTAGAGCACCCCGGAGCGTCCCATCTCAACTACAAGTCTACTGTATACAAGTCAATGGGCTTCTTCTTTTTACATCTGCACGCAAAAAAACAATAAAAAAAGGCTTAATTATGTACATGCCCCATGTGCTTTCCAACTTATCTCAGATTACCACATGTGGTGGAAAACGTCTCAAAGTACCCCCCAACGTGCAAAAAACTATCTCACGTTACCCTTTCCGTCAGTTTTTTGAAGTTTCGTTACGAACGTTACTGTTCATCTCCCCCAAAATTCCAGAACAGCAGCTCCTCCCATTTGTTACTATTCATCGCACCAGTTTTTGGGCTGCCATCGCCTCCTCCGGCCACCCCAAGCGACGACATGGATATCAAAAGAATCAGCACGTTGTCCTCTACCACCCTCACATCTCAGTCGCTGCCAACCGTCGTCTGGATCACCGAAAAAAGCAAGAAATTGACCGGTTTT